TGAGATGTAGGAAATGTATGAAAATGATTTTGGCTTTCCTGCCCACTTCATAACCCAGTGAAAGATAAAGCAAAGCATCTACAATAGATTGGTGAAGTAAACACGTGGACATATTTTCGTATAACTATATATATATATATACACAAGTTTACATTTTTCTGACCGATTGTGGTAGACCTAGATGTATTCACATATCAGAAACACATACACTTGTGGAAAACATTAGTTCGTCAGCTACAACAGGAATTTCACGTGAATATCTCCGTTATTGTCTATAGCGAGTAAAACTGTATTGTGTTGGTCAAAATAGCATCGCGAACTATCTTATCACATTGAGATGAGATCTGATGTCCAAGAAAGCAATTTAAAGTTTTCTGTCCACGTATGGCTTGGTCACCAAAAATGGTAGCACACTTTACCACGTTTGTTTGTTTTCTTATATACATTATGATGTTGGACAAAGTGTGGGAGACATTGGTCTGAAGACATACTCACAAACCAGTTTTGCAGGCGTCCTTCTGCAGTCTATATAACCATTACATATCTGATGATTTACACACAATGTCCGTAACACTGAAGAATGGGTTATACGAGAGAAAATACTGTTTTAATCTGGACCTACATTTAATTCCCGTTCCTCGTTTTATTATCACGAGGTAGGATTGGTTTAAACCAGGTGCGCTAAGGGGGATAACTCGCGATGTTGATCGATTCAAAATGATTTGCTAATGAGGTGGGGATAGACGGGGGAGTGGGGTGCTTTTCGCGATCTTGTGGGGAAAATGGTAAGTTTTTCCAATTGATACAGAAGGGGTTTTAAACATTCGATATCTACTTGGACCACAACAAGACTCGCACTTTTAACAATACTAGTTTATATCATTCCTTAATATAACCGTTTTTAAAACACAGTCGCGCAAAATTCTTGGTGTTCGTTATAGGTGAGATAAAAAAAATCCCTATTCTTTACGCGTGTAAATATATTTAGGCACAAAACAATGACTGGTGTTGGTGCATGTCTTGCTGCTCATATCAAATGTTTTAAAACCCTTGTATATCCATACTAACACTGACCTGTATACCCGCAATACCCAAAATATCGAATAAATCCTCCCATTTCATAATTATTCTGTATCCCAACCTATCTAATGTCAAGTATTCAAAATGTAGAGTCAGTTTTCCGTGGTAAAAACGAACGAGGAAGCAGGATGAGATTGACTCTATAGTGTTGATCTCCTACAGGTCAGAAAGCTGAGGAGAAATGGAGTGACTTTATCATGAAACACAAGTGCTTTCTTCCGTAGATGATATTGTGTATAGATAAACACTAATGATACCCTACATCCTCTTGTCTGTTTGGTCACGGATTTCATCGCTAGAACTTAAGTGTATGTTATAATAATATAATGAAATATATTTAAAGATAAATGAACCAAAAAGCATCACCCGCCTTATATAGAAAGTATTGTGTGATTTGTATATTGGTGCGATGCAGAACATATTTACGGGTATGAATTAGGTTCACCAATATCCTATCATCATTTCAAAAACAGTACAGTTATTCGTTATTGGTAAGTTGGCTGGTTAAATAAATAAATTTTATTTGCTTTACAACAATTATGAAACAATCTTTTCTAACTTATATTAATCACTCTTGTTGACCCAGACGGAAGCGCGTGAGGGGTCTTACTGTGGGAGGAAATCGGAATACCATGGGAAAAAAAACGTGGTCTGGCAGGTGACTCAATACCTTTTCACATTGGTGATTGCTCAACAATGGTCAGGGTAAGAGATTACTGGTAGTCTACTGTCGAGGTAAGGGTTCTGATCGCCTATAGTCAGGGTAGGGGTTACTGATCATACACAGGCGAGGAAGGGGTTACTGATCATACACAGGCGAAGTAGGTGTTACTGATCATACACAGGCGAGGTAGGGGTTACTGATCATACACAGGCGAAATAGGGGTTACTGATCATACACAGGCGAGGCAGGGGTTACTGATCATACACGGGCGAGGTAGGGGTTACTGATCGTACACAGGCGAGGTAGGGGTTACTGATCATACTCAGGCGAGGTAGGGGTTACTGATCATACACAGGCGAAGTAGGGGTTACTGATCATACACAGGCGAAGTAGGGGTTACTGATCATACACAGGCGAAGTAGGGGTTACTGATCATACACAGGCGAGGTAGGGGTTACTGATCATACACAGGCGAAGTAGGGGTTACTGATCATACACAGGCGAGGTAGGGGTTACTGATCATACACAGGCGAAGTAGGGGTTACTGATCATACACAGGCGAAGTAGGGGTTACTGATCATACACAGGCGAGGCAGGGGTTACTGATCATACACAGGCGAGGTAGGGGTTACTGATCATACACAGGCGAGGTAGGGGTTACTGATCATACACAGGCGAAGAAGGGGTTACTGATCATACACAGGCGAGGCAGGGGTTACTGATCATACACAGGCGAGGTAGGGGTTACTGATCATACACAGGCGAAGAAGGGGTTACTGATCATACACAGGCGAGGCAGGGGTTACTGATCATACACAGGCGAGGTAGGGGTTACTGATCATACACAGGCGAGGTAGTGGTTACTGATCATACACAGGCGAGGTAGGGGTTAATGGCCGTCCACGGTGGAGATAGGGTTTACTAGTCGCCCACGGTCGAGGTTAGGATTACTAGTCGTCCAAGGTCGAGGTAGGGGTTACTGGTCGTCAACGGTCGAGATGGAGGTTACTAGTCGTCGACGGTCGAGGTAGGGGTAACCAGTCGTCCACGGCCGAGGTGAGGACTATTAGTCGATCACTCTCGAGGTACGGTTTACTGGTCGTCCACGTCGAGGTAGGGGTTACTGGTCGTCCACGTCGAGGTAGGGGTTACTGATCTTTAACAGTCTTTATCCATGATGATGCCTAGGAGACCATTTCGTTACCACGACAATTCATGTTCCGAACAAAAAATTGTAAATCCTTGTACTTCTGATTGGAACTGACACCTTTAAGTAGCACAAGTCTATATAATAAAAGTGTTTATCCTTGACGCTATCTCAGGGTCTAGGTAAGGTATAAAACAGTAAAAAAATCGGTTACCGTGTTGCACTGAAGGTCGTGTTAATTGGTTTGGGTGTTCATGCAGAACGCAGAATGCAGAACAATAATTTACACGAAATATCTTATCGATTGTAAATTCACAATACAGTATTTGAATATCTATACCAAACATGAACTGTTCTCGACTGTCATGTACAAATCCAAGTGAACTAAGTAAACCACAAACACTAAATCCCATTACCCCAATAAGACGGTAGATGTAATTTAAGTAGTAAGTACTCATACGTAATTATCATAGGATATATATGTACTTAGTTTAATAAGGTCAAGGTAGGGAAGACTGGTCATCTATGGTCAAGTAAGCGGTTACTGGTCATCGACGGTCGAGATAGGGGTTAAAAGTCGTCCACGATCGAGGTAGGGATTAGTAGTCGACCAAGGTCGAGGTAGGGGTTACTAGTTGTCCATGATAGAGGTTTACTGGTCGTCAACAGTTGAGGTGGAGGTTACCAATCGTGCATATTCGAGGTGTGGGTTTCTGATTGTCTACTGTCGAGATGGGGGTTACTTGTCCATTGTTGAGGTGGGTTACTGTTCGCCCATGGTAAAGGAGGGGGTTATTGGCCGCCCATCGTCTAGATAAGCCTATCGGGGAAAGAGTTCCTTTTGAACCCCCACCCAAAATGACTACCAGTAGGCTATAATAAGTATCTAAAGGGTTTATTTTAAGGGGTACCAAGAAAAATTGGGGCATAATCTTAAAATCAACCCTTTCAGACACTTGTATCATATTTACTATGTATAATAACCCATTGGTAGCCACTTTGGGTGGGGGGGGGGGGGTTCAAAAGGAACTCTTACTCCTATGGGTACATGGATAAGGGCTGTCTTTGGTCGAAGTGGGAGTTTCTGGTCACCAATAGTCAAGGTAGGGTTTAATTGCCACTTGGTGCTCTGAAACACAGGGGTTCGACTCATAATCCTATTACAACAACCTTCCTTTATAAATGAACGTACCACAAGTGTTGTTGTGGTAAACGTTGTATCCCGATTATATTTAATTACCACTAGAAACGACTTCATGCATCGATACAAGAATATATTTTTTATCAGATGTACTTAAATATTCAATGTATTTCAAATCAAATAAAATTTGCAGAAATTGTGATATTTTGTAGTCTAACACATGAGGAGCAAATATGTTTATAGCTATGTACCAGAACTACACGAATACAACAACACAGTAATATAGACGAAAACACGGAATATTGCGACCAATTCATACCGAAATCTACTTTTAGATGTCATTAACGCGACATAACTTCTACTTTTTATGTGCTTGTGTACTTACAAATGAAATTTTAACAGCTACAGTATAGTGTGTCTATTTCCACACTGTATTTATGCCTTGTTTCAGACCAATTCCCCTGTTCCGGTTATTATAAAGCTACGATCGTGCTAGGTTTTATCTTTATAATAATCATATTATTAACGATGGTAATCAAGAAGACACATTTCATAGTATAATTCCCAAATATTACGTGGAGCCATTTCAAACTGATTATTTTTCGTATGTAAAACAAAATTTGTGCATATGAAAGAAGTTGGTATTTGTTTACTCTGTGACGTTAGTATAAAACCACACAAACAGTCGATATACACAATTTACAGTGTTCTCTTTATGACCTTTGACATTAGTACACTAGGTCATCATTGTGACCTTTGAAACAGGTATATAAAACCACATCTAAACATTCATATGCACTAGGTCCCCTCTGTGACCTTTGACTTCTGTCTACGCCATGTTCGAAGTCTTTATAACGCTTGAGACACCACATCCGAGTAGTTTTGTATAACGTTTGACAGACCCATTTCATTTATTATTTTAAGTTTTACAGATATGCATTTTAAATGCTTAAGTTGTGTTGACCTACCTGAGCTGTTGCGTCCTTGACCTTCTGTGTAACTACGTATGAACTCCTTTTATCGGCGATTTCCATGTGGCGTTGATCGGGGTTAGGGTCATTCTGAGGGAGAAATGTGTCCAGATGAAAGATACTGTAGCGGTAGTTGTCTTTCACCCACCTGTAGATGGGAAAGATGAAAGTGTCGCTGGGGAAAGCTGTATTGCAGACTTCGATGGTGTCTACGTACCAATCAGATGATACGCCAGCGTTGTCTCGCCATAATTCTATCTTAGAAATACTTTTAATGTCCACCTCGTCCTCCACTGTGAAATTGTCCGTCCGTCCGCGCTCAAAATCATCTCGGAAAAGGTTGTCTAACTTGGCCGCAGTAGTCTTCTGACCTTCTAATCCGTGTAGAACTATCCGAATATTGGCATCGGTTCCTGCCTTTTTTCGATCCCCAGTTCTGACAGTTACATTGTAAGAACTATAAGACGCTGACATAATGGTACAGGGACTATGTGTTTGAAACATAGGCTTTCTTGGCGCCCTGAAACCATTTGGCGCAAGGCTCTTGGCATTGCCCATACTCCTAAGCTTGCAAATTAGTGTCGCTGGGCGAACTAGCATGTGATTGATGCTCAAACGCATGTTTTCAGTATTTAATCCACTCAATGGAACAATAAACTAGCGACACCTGACTTCGACTCCTTGGGAGTAATTGACACCAACGATCTCGTTACGTGTTTTCATTCAATGGAAGTATGGCGTGATTGTCCAACGCTGCACTCTCCGTTTAAGTGAAACGAGGACGGAACTGTTTGTATGTCCGTACAAACGAAGTCATTAATCCCGTCTCTTACATTTCCATTCGCAAACACTTCCAGTCGGATGTATAAATATGAGCGATAAGTATGGGAGTTCCGGTCGTTTTTTAACCAACAGCCCTTACAAGTTCTCTCTACATAACACGACAATATGTTAAGAAAGGTCAGTGTGTGTACTAAGTCCGGTGTGTAATATTATAGTCAACTAGACTGTATAGTTCGTGAGATTAGTAAGGATTTCTAACGTGCTGTTCTATAGATTAATGTTTGTTCCGCCGCACAAAGCCAACACTAGCTGTTCTATTTACTAACGCCCTCCTTCATTGATCGGTTTCCTTTAATCTCACATCGATGACCTATCATCTCAAAAATTCATCGCTTCATAACCCACCAAAACATAAATCGCTTTCATAAATGTGAATTAAACTGTACATTTACGATACCTTGGAGACCATTTCGTTACCACGACAACTCCAGTTTCGAACAAACAAATGTAAATCCTTGTACTTCTGATTGGAACTGACACCTTTAAGTAGCACAAGTCTATATAATAACAGTGTTTATCCTTGACGTTATCTCAGGGTCTAGGTAAGGTATAAAACAGTTAAAATCGGTTACCGTGTTGCACTGAAGGTCGTGTTTATCGGTTTGATTGTTCATGCAGAACGAACAATAATTTGCACGAAATATCTTATTGATTGTAAGCTCACGATATTGCGTTTGAATATTTACATCAAACATGGAATAATTGTTTCCGGCTGTCATGTACATGATATCGTTTGGTTCTTTCCCAGAAGCCGGTTGGACGAAGAAGACCACAAACACAAAATCCCATTATCTATAGGACGGAAGGTGTAATCTAACCAATGGCTACTCATACTCAAATATCACAGGATATACATGCACTTAGTTCAAGCACTTCCAGAAATGAATAAATATATATATTTTTTGATGTATATTACAGATGCCCGTACCCTATCTGTAACACAGACTGATTGATTTATCTACACACGTTTAGCAACACAACTATGTACAGCAGAAAAAAGGTCTGTTTCGGAAATAATGATTTTATTGTATTGTACGCTTAATGTAACACTTATTATAACTTAAATGCTGGAAAAACTGACAAAGAACAGCTATTACATGGATAAGTAGACGTGCAGAGGAGGCTGACTCCCCGCCGCTGCTCAGTAAAGTACTTTTCTTTTTATATAGAGTAAGATCATGGTACTAACCATGAGAAGCGAAGATAATGATAAAAACTACCTGACTATGTATGATAGGTATGAAATACCTACCCGACGATGTATTATATAGGTATGAGATATCTACCAGACCATGTGTAGCATAGGTATGAGATATCTACCAGACCATGTGTACTACAGGTAGGAGATATCTACCAGACCATGTGTACTATAGGTATGAGTTATCTACCAGAACATGTGTACTATAGGTATGAGATATCTACCAGACCATGTGTAGTATAGGTATGAGATATCTACCAGACCATGTGTAGTATAGGTATGAGATATCTACCAGACCATGTGTAGTATAGGTATGAGATATCTACCAGACCATAAGTACTATAGGTATGAGATATCTACCAGACCATGTGTAGTATAGGTATGAGATATCTACCAGACCATGTGTAGTATAGGTATGAGATATCTACCACGTATATATATATATAGTATAGGTATGAGTACCAGACCATGTGTAGTATAGGTATGAGATATCTACCAGACCATGTGTAGTATAGGTATAGATATCTACCAGTATGTGTAGTATAGGTATGAGATATCTACCAGACCATGTGTAGTATAGGTATGAGATATCTACCAGACCATGTGTAGTATAGGTAGATATCTATAGGTATGTAGTAGTATGAGATATCTACCACGTATAGTATATAAGTACTATAGGTATGGGATATCTACCACGTATATATAGTATATGTATGAGATATCTACCAGACCATAAGTACTATAGGTATGAGATATCCACCAGACCATGAGTAGTATAAGTATGAGATATCTACCAGACCATGTGTAGTATAGGTATGAGATATCTACCAGACCATGTGTAGTATAAGTATGAGATATCTACCAGACCATGTGTAGTATAGGTATGAGATATCTACCAGACCATGTGTAGTATAGGTATGAGATATCTACCAGACCATGTGTAGTATAGGTATGAGATATCTACCAGACCATGTGTAGTATAGGTATGGGATATCTACCACGTATATATAGTATATGTATGAGATATAGGTATGGGATATCTAACAGACCATTTGTAGTATAGGTATGAGATATCTACCACGTATATATAGTAAAAGTATGAGATATCTACCAAACCATGTGTAGTATAGGTATGAGATATCTATCAGACCATGTGTAGTATAGGTATGGGATATCTACCAGACCATATGTAGTATAGGTATGAGATATCTACCAGACCATGTGTAGTATAGGTATGAGATATCTACCAGACCGTGTGGTGTAGTATAGGTATGAGATATCTACCAAACAATGTGAAGTATAGGTATGAGATATCTACCAGACCATGTGTAGTTTAGGTATGAGATATCTACCAGACCATAGTATAGGTATAGTATAGGTATGAGATATCTACCAGACCATGTGTAGTATAGACCATATAGGTATGGATATCTACCAGACCATGTGTAGTATAGGTATGAGATATCTACCATGTGTAGTATAGGTATATATGTGTAGTATAGGTATGAGATATCTACCAGACCATGTGTAGTATAGGTATGAGATATCTACCAGACCATGTGTAGTATAGGTATGAGATATCTACCAGACCATGTGTAGTATAGGTATGAGATATCTACCAGACCATGTGTAGTATAGGTATGAGATATCTACCAGACCATATATAGTATAGGTATGAGATATCTACCAGACCATATGTACTATAGGTATGAGATATCTACAACTTATATATAGTGTAAGTATGGGATATCTACCAGATCATATGTAGTAAAGGTATGATATATCTACCAAACCATGTGTAGTATAGGTATGAGATATCTACCAGACCATGTGTAGTATAGGTATGAGATATCTACCAGACCATGTGTAGTATAGGTATGAGATATCAACCAGCCCATGTGTAGTATAGGTATGAGATATCTACCAGACCATGTGTAGTATAGGTATGAGATATCTACCAGACCATGTGTAGTATAGGTATGAGATATCTACCAGACCATGTGTAGTATAGGTATGAGATATCTACCAGACCATGTGTAGTATAGGTATGAGATATCTACCAGACCATGTGTAGTATAGGTATGAGATATCTACCTGACCGTATGAGATATCTACCAGACCATGTGTAGTATAGGTATGAGATATCTACCAGACCATGTGTAGTATAGGTATGAGATATCTACCTGACCGTGTGGTGTAGTATAGGTATGAGATATCTACCAGACCATGTGTAGTATAGGTATGAGATATCTACCAGACCATGTGTAGTATAGGTATGAGATATCTACCACGTATATATAGTATAGGTATGAGATATCTACCAGACCATGTGTAGTATAGGTATGAGATATCTACCAGACCATGTGTAGTATAGGTATGAGATATCTACCAGACCATGTGTAGTATAGGTATGAGATATCTACCAGACCATGTGTAGTATAGGTATGAGATATCTACCAGACCGTGTGGTGTACCATGTGTAGTATAGGTATGAGATATCTACCAGACCATGTGTAGTATAGGTATGAGATATCTACCAGACCATGTGTAGTATAGGGTATGGGATATCTACCAGACCATGTGTAGTATAGGTATGAGATATCTACCTGACCATATGTAGAAAGGTATAGGATATCTACCAGACCATGTGTAGTATAGGTATGAGATATCTACCAGACCATGTGTAGTATAGGTATGAGATATCTACCAGACCGTGTGGTGTAGTATAGGTATGAGATATATACCAGACCATGTTTAGTATAGGTATGAGATATCTACCAGACCATATGTAGTATAGGTATGAGATATCTACTAGACCGTGTGGCGTAGTATAGGTATGAGATATATACCAGACCATTTGTAGTATATGTATGAGATATCTACCACGGATATATAGTATAGGTATGAGATATCTACCAGACCATTTGTAGTATAGGTATGAGATATCTACCAGACCATGTGTAGTAAAGGAATGGTATAACTACCACGTATATATAGTATAGTTATGAGATATCTACCAGACCATGTGTAGTATAGGTATGAGATATCTACCAGACCATGTGTAGTATAGGTATGAGATATCTACCAGACCATGTGTAGTATAGGTATGAGATATCTACCAGACCATGTGTAGTATAGGTATGAGATATCTACCAGACCATGTGTAGTATAGGTATGAGATATCTACCAGACCATGTGTAGTATAGGTATGAGATATCTACCACGTATATATAGTATAGGTATGAGATATCTACCAGACCATGTGTAGTATAGGTATGAGATATCTACCAGACCATATGTAGTATAGGTATGAGATATCTACCACGTATATATAGTATAGGTATGAGATATATACCAGACCTTTTGTAGTATAGGTATGAGATATCTACCACGTATATATAGTATAGGTATGAGATATCTACCACGGATATATAGTATAGGTATGAGATATCTACCAGACCATGTGTAGTATAGGTATGAGATATCTACCAGACGATGTGTAGTATAGATATGAGATATCTACCTGACCATGTGTAGTATATGTATGAGATATCTACCAGACCATGTGTAGTATATGTATGAAATACTAACCACGTATAGTGTACGTATTGGATTTATTTCCTTTTTGTGTAGAAGAAAGCCTTGGTTCTCGTTAGACAGTGATACTTACGCCCAGACAACGTACTGGTGCGAGGTCATGTATTGTGTAGGTGCGAGACGAGGTTGACATGGTGCTATATCAAACTGATAGAAAAATGTTAACCGAGGGCGAAGCACGAGTTATTTTATTTATTTATTCATTTTACCGGGTTGATAAAACCGAAATTATTATGTTTATATCCATTACCGGAAAGTTGATTGGATTAATATATAATGATATAGTCTTATCTTAAAATTGAATACATAATTACCTACATCTGCAGTACGAAAAAAAAAAAACCAGGAACATGTCAACACAGTTCTTACGCATCATCCTGCACGTGACTATCACTTAACCAATCAAGACATAGGAAATCCTTAAATAAGTAATAAATAATGTTTCGCTTGTCATTAATCAAAAAAAAAATCAAATTACCTACTGGTTTATCTAAATATGTTAGAAATATTGTTTTATTATGAAAATTGATGAGTGTATAAAGAAATTAAAACAACTAAGATGCTAAATACATGTAGTAAGATGTCATTAAGAAAATTACAAAGTAGCAAGTAACAGTTGGCAACGAACTAGGCAACTAGACAAGCATCAATAGTTGGATAGCACAAATCAGCGTAATATTAATGAAAGACAATTTATGAAATAGTTTTATAAAATTTTACAAGCACAAAAGAAAATACAAAGCGATAAAAAAGAATTAAATTTGGTAGGCATTTTATGCAAAGGATATAAAGCAAATGTAGTGCAAACTAATGGTTCATGCATTATTTATATTTTCATCTGCTGCATGTACATCATGCCGATATGTAATGTGTCATACCAGGGACGTCCCTGGTCATACCTAGCTTGCTCCACAGACTAATTGTCTTGACTTCATACTCGAAACTATACTCAGAAATATTTAAATTAGTTCAAAATAGTTATGTATTGAAGACTGATGCTTTATAAAATCGCAAAAACTTCCATAGCCATACTTCTTAGTCCGTAAGACACGAGAAATGCAAAGGAATAAATTTAAAATCATGCACGATCAATTTGACTTCCATCTTCTCTAATTTCCGATCAATTTTTATTCCACAGAAGAGTTGATTTTTTTTTCAAAATCTCAATTTTAATTCATTGATTAAATGACCATCGTGAAATTACTTTAACATGTAGAATCTATAAATATCTTTAAAATAGTTTTGAGAATTTCTCTGATTCAGTAAGATCAATAATTTAAAAATCTTAGTACAATTTTATTTTGAATAGAAGTCAAGGTTGATCCGAATTATTCTCGCGTGACTTTTACATATCGAAGAACCTTGCACACAGGAAGAAATCCGGAAGCTGAGGAGTTAAGTTTCCTGGACTAGTAAGAGATGGCGCTGCAACTAGCGTCTATTTCCGGTTTTGTTTTTGATGTAAACACTGCAGCATGCCAAGAATGGTTAGAAAGAAGAGTTTCGACAGAACTGTCGTTAAGAAATGTCCAAAATGCGACCAGCAGGTGTTTTATTTTGTCATGTTTTACATTACACATAAAACAGATACATGTTTATATTTGTAATTTATTAATGTATCGGCGATCTCGGTTACCGGTGAATGTAGCTATTCTCGTCCTCTCAGGAGGGGGTCGTTATAAACAAAAGTATTTACGTATTTACTTACATATATGAGTAGAAAACGGTTTATATTTTCATACATGTGTCTCGGTATCAAAGAAAATATATTCTGACGTTTTATCATCTTATGTACGCGGTCCATTTAATTGTACTATATATATATGTAGAAATACAGTAATATATCTACATGCGAGTCCCGAGTTACGTACTCACAAAATTTCATGGGGCTCAAAAAATTTCTAGAAATACAGAATTTTTATATAAAGGGACTCATTGTTTTTAGCAATGAAATTGAAAAGGACTCATTAAAACACACTGTAGACGGATCACTGGAAATATACTATTACAGGAATCGGACATTCTATATGAAATAAAATCCTTGTTAGGATTCCTTATTGGGAATCATTTATATCAAACGTTTGACAGTGTCCTCCGTTGGACATTGTTTTATCCTGACTCATTCAAATGAAATCCAATATCCAGGAAAATTAATTGTGTTATAGGTTTCTGTCAGAAGACCTGTTAGTTGCCTTTATAAAGTTATGAAAAAATACTATTGGTTTTATGGACTAGTACATTTTCTGAATAGTTGATTTATTAACACTTTTTTATTTGAAATACAAGATTATTCTTTCTTTCCCTTGTTTCAGATACCAGTTGCATGCAAACATTGTCCGTGTGGTCACCAGTTCTCAAAAAAGCCATCAACACCAAGTTAGTACAATTAAAAATATTTAATCTTAAGACAATGTACGGTATCAATGACATATTGACGTTGTCACTGGTATAAAAAACACTAAATGGTGCATAAGTGTATACACAGCTATGCAAGATGGTCACCATCAATGCTCAAAAGTGACAATATTTATGATGCATTTAGTTAGTGATGGAAAATCAGTTTTACCCCAGAGTCATTATCAATTTTTTAAGTAGTGATCAAATAATTGACTAAGTATGTTGAATTTACATTGAAATTCTCTGATACAGTGATAATTATTGATTATAGAATGAAATGTTTACAGCAATTGGCATCTTTATTATGCATAATGACATTTGTTTTGGCCTAAACGCAACAAAGTATCAAGGTACCAATGATTGATAATAAAATTTTACAGTTGATAATCAACTGAGGTTAAAGGATCAGTTTTTAGATTATATCCTTTTCTTGTCTTAGTCCTACAAGTATGTTAAGATTTTTAACTTGAAATTCTCATTGACAACAAAAGTAGCATTACCAGTCAACTACCTATAAGATGAATGAATCATTAGACCTTGTTTAATGGTAAAAGGATTTTAGACATTAACTCTTACTTTTAAAAATTTACTTTATTATCAATCTACTTGAATAGCTGAAGAAGAGCAGGCAAGTTTTAAAATCCGACGTACAGAACGGACACGCAGAGAGAGACCAGATTTCTTCAACCCAATGGTACTTGATGTTCAGGCAAAGCGTGCCAGGAAAAAGGTACAAAAATACAACTGGGCCCGTATTCATGAAACCATTCTCATGCTCATGCATAGATTTTGAGCTCAAGCAAACTTTTTCATAATTCGCCTAAATCATACAACATAACAGAAATGTCAAATATAAACATTGAATATAACTTTAACTTGAAGTCCTTTCAAAATTTGTTTAATCTCTGGGAATTTTTTTTAACTTAAACAAGACATAAGCTTGAGCACAAAATTCATGCTTGAGCATAAGAACGGTTTCATGAATACGGGCCCTGGAGTCAGTGATTGTCAAATTCAAGCTTGTCAGCAGCAGCAGCAAATTGATTCATTAATGTATGTTGCAAATGGTAGGGTTATGGAAAGTTTATATATGGGCTTTGTAGCCTTTTTCAGTCTTGTACTTATGATACCTTTCAAAAAACTGTGAAGTGTTTTGAGGACCATTGATAACATGATCATTCTTGATTTTCCTCCACAACCCAAAACAACAATAAACCTTAATTTAAGATCAGATCATCTTCTGTTAATAGCTAGGAAAAATGAAGGTTAATTTTTCTTCCAATATGTTTCACAATCTTGCTCTGATTTGATGTTAACTATGATCTCTATGAAAATAAAAAAACGGCTTATTTATTTTACTTGCAGTCCCAGAACTCTCCACAGGTACAGCCTGTTGAAACCCCTCCTCCTGTACAGGTAGAAAAAGAGACACCCAGTCGTAAAAGAAGAGGCAGACCAAAACAAACCCCAACCAAATCTGTGCCTGAAATTGAAGAAAAACGTAAGAATGACAAACAGTATTTCCCCTCATCACACAGAAAAACCAGACTCAGTGTCATTACTTCATTACAAACCATAAGTGAAGCTGTAGTTGATCCCAATTGTTGCAAATGTTACATCATAACTAGAATTTGATTACACGAAAAATTAGAATGGCATGTAAATTACCTTTTTAGAACTATTTTAAGTATAGGAACTGGCTGATTTCACAAAAAAAATAGCAAAACAATTTTTGATATCAGTGGTAAGTGATAAGTCTTAAACTAGTATTCCATTTCTTGACATAGATAAGATTCTGACACAAGTTCCCTTAGCTCATTTAAGACTTGTTAAAACTAAAATCTGAATCCAGGTGATTAAACAGTTTAAACTTTCACTTATATTTTAAATATTAGGAAAAGGCAGACACTGGTATTTTTTGTTTATCTGTTGAACGTCAGCATCATCACCAGATTGGGGGAGGAGGTTTGGGGATGAGGGTGGGTTTGTTAGGTTAGAGTTGTGACAACTGTTAGATGCTTGGGCTTATTTCAGGGAAACTTTAAACACGCAACCATTTGTTTACCTTGTGCATTTAATAATAATTTCCTTTCTGACTTGAAGGTTGATGGTTGATTTACTTTATACAATGTCATACAACTACCTCTTTGCATTGTGCATTCAAGTGTATTCTCTAGTTACAAAAACAGTATTCCCCAATTTGGAAAAAGGGTTTGGAAAATTGTGATCCATGGATTGTTTAGGAGGATGATGATGACGATAATGTGTCGATAAAGAATGTTTAAACTCTTTTTGTGGAATAACTTCTTCAACACTCAAATATTTTTGGCTGGGTTGCACATAGTGCAAATTCGGGTTATAGTATGGTGAATGTCGAGCGGGCAGGGAATAGGGGTACCAGTTTTGTAGAATCAACCCCTCCTAGTGTTTTTGACATAAAAGCTAGAAACTTTTTAGGATGTTTATATATATGTTGAAGATGTGCACATCCTATGATGGATTCATTCCAGACATTTTCTGGATTTTTTGGGCTTTGAAACTTGGTCATTTTCCATAGTTTGGCAGGGAAAAGGGGTACCAGTTTTGTAGAATCAACTCCTCCTAGAGTTTTGACGTAGAAGCTTGGAACTTTGTAGGATGTTTATATATAAGTTGACGATGTGCACCTATTAATTAAGGATTCATTCTAGACATTTTTCTTGATTTTCCGTGCTTTGGAACTTTGTCATTTTCAACAGTTTGGTGTGGAAAATCCAAGATGGCAGCCTTTGCCTCTCATTGGTTGAGATGTTGTTTTGAGCGCGATAGCCTGTCATTGGCTGAAATGTTGTTTTGAGCACTATATATAACATTGCACTCATCCTGCAACCCGGCCAATTGTGGCTTTGCTCCATTTTGATATTTTTTTTATTGGAAATAAAACCTCTCTGATACAACTTTATTCATTGGTTACTTAGATTGTCTAATGTCTTTTTTCTCACTCTCCATTCTAGCACAACCAGTAGAAGATGATATATTAATCAAGCTGCGTCCAGAGAAAGCCCTCCAGTTTAGCATAATCCTCTCAGAACTCAACAGGAAATTTGGCTCACAGAACTTTCAACCATTGTGACAGTCTGCTTGGTGTGTGAATGTGGTCAAAGTGTGTGCTGTATGATATTGTGAGGATGTGTATGTGTTATATTAATGCCAGGTATCATAAGTTGTGAAATACTATGTCTAATAACGGGTGTGCAATTTTATTGTATATATATTAATCTTCATAATGTAAGTACATTATATTTAGTTGATATGAATGAACGTCAGTAGAAACAAGATATGAGATTTATATGAAATCTAAATATAGCTTTATCAATCAGGCTATGTTTGTATAAATCATGACTCACCAAATTTGATACAAGTAGGTTACAATTTCATTAAAAATGTTTCAACGACCATCCTTGTAGATGTCTGTTTATCAGTCTTTCATTGGCTGAAAATGTAAGATTTTTTGTTTCTGTCAGAAACAGTGTTTTAATTTCCTTTATGATCTCTAAATAGCTGCCTGTTAACCGCACAGGGGTCTTTATGTTTGCAAATAAAGATTTTCTGAAAATGAAATGTCACGTACTGATAATAAATATATATGACTTTGTTACAATCCATGGGAGACAACTCTTTCATCTTACGATACTTTTTGGGAGAGTTTATCAGGAATTTGTAACCATTGCAAAGGATTTTAAGTGGAGGCTGTTTGGATGCGTAAAAACATTTTGAGTCATTTGTCCTTAGAAATATTTATCAGACACCAAAGAATTAGCATTAATGGAAAGAATTGTATCGCAGATTCTTGTCATTAATACATACTGATCAAACACATATTGAAAATTCAATGAACATCTGACCTCATTTTATTATTTTCAATAGGGTCAGTCAAGTGATTGACCTCATAATGTCTTTTACATCTAAAGGTATTGAGGAACTTTTTGAAAAATAAAGAAAAGTGACATGAATAATCTCAGTCAGTCTTAATCAAAGTGTATGGACTTTGAATAGCAACATTACTCGTGCAGAAGCATTGAGGAAATAAAATGTTCTAGATTACCCTGTGTAATGTTATTTATATGTTTAAGAGGGACAATTAAGTCCACTGACAAGTTTTTAAATGGCAGTGTAGGTGGTGCCTGTTACAGGTCCATGATGCTGATTAATATGTCTTGGTTATCCAGGAGTTATAAATTCAAACTCATTCAATCTCTATGCACTCAATGGTCAACCGGGTCATTCATTAGAAAAAACTTAATAGATCTGCAACCAAGTACTGACTGATAGTCGTTTGAAAATGAAAAAAATAGCATGATTTAACACATTACATGGTACATATTTTCTTTGTTTGGTTTGCTTACTTGAGATGTCACATTACTGAATACTTTGCAAAGAAAAATAACCAGAACAGGTTATTTTTATCTGGTTAGGAGTAGAAATATCAGGTGTGACTTGACAATGTTTGTCAGCTATTTACTACAGAAAGCTTTTAGATTTTATAATAAACAAGAGGCCCATGGGCCTTAATGATCCCCTGAGGTATTCAGGTGCTTAGACATTTTTAGACCTAAAAACTCCCCTTAAGTTATCATTTTAGAACTTGTTGTAAATTCAAAGTTTTTTGATGATTGTAATATATAGGACCATGGCTGGCACTAAAATAAATCGGGTATTTTATTTCATTTTTTAAAATCTATCTATCCCCTGAAAATACTATGGTTCGTCAAGTGTGAAAATAGTTTCATGTGAAAAGGTCTTTGAAGTAAAATAATTCCATTTCAAGACACAAGACATAACTATTATATAGAATAAGTAACCTTTTTATTTTACACTGAAGATGTACAAATATTACTTTTTTCAGTCATATCACAATGCTATTAGGTATTCGGTAACAAGCATCAGCTGTACACTGACTTAACAAGACCAAATACATTACTGGACAACCAAAGCAAATGTTTCAAATATATTATCACTTCTCTTTTTCAAAAATTGTGATTAACATTATACATAAATATATATCCGATATCCTTAATTGAAAAAGTTTTATTGCTTACGAATATATAGTATTTTCTAAAAAGCATTAAAATCATAATTTCATTTTGCTCAAGTCGGTCTTTAAGTCATCTTTCAAGCCCTTTAACTCGTCCTTTAAATCTTCTTCATCACTATTACTCTCCTCATCATCTTCATCCTCATAGTCATCATCCCCTTCATCATCATCTATAAATACAATAGATGCAGTTTAAATATGGCACCACTTGGTTATGAACTTTTAACAAAGAAAATTATGAAAGTAACTGTGAAGTAATGATGAGAAAGTATTATCTTGTGTCAGAGTATATGAGTTGAAATAGTTCCCCTATTTGGTGCATCAAGTATGATTTGGTCATTATACCTGGTAATATAAAAGTGTATATGGCTACATTACTTGACTTGTTGAAATGATAATATCTGCCACTTAATAAAAGATATCAAACATAAAAATAGGAAAAAAACTTAAAAAAGATTTGTCAAATTAAAAGTTCTGAAACATGGGCTGAAGAGAACTTATATAATGACACCAACTTTATGGTATATACGTGCAGAAATAGAAAGATTTTTGTTATAGATTGAGCCCATTGACAAACATTCAGTAGAATAAACGATATACACATTTTTCAGACTTTCCTACTTTGGAGTTTTTTTACAAATACAACTTCTCTAAAACCTATACCAATATCCGTAACTTGTTAAGTCTTCAGTTGAAATATTACCATCATATCCATAGGAGTAGCCGTCCCCTCCTCCTCCATAGGAAAACCCTGAGGCACCTCCGAAGGTGAAACCACCATCATCATTATAATCATCGTCATCATCATCGTCTCCACGCTGCCTTCCAAACTGGTGACGACGAGCTGAAGATATGAAGAGAATATTGGATCAGTAATATCACTTGTCAGTGTTATGAAAAGTAAACATTTTGCACACAAAGAGTATTTGAATAATTAGTTTCACTTGTTCTCAGTTCAAAATATAGGTAGTAACATTTGGGAACAGATTTCTTCTTGTTCAAGGGATGAACTAATCTTAATTGTAAAGTAAAGGATAAACACACACATGCAATTGACTGTATTGCAGACTTATCACCCTTATGAATTCCAAAACAAAATTAAAAGCCAATACACAGACAAGCAATGGTCATGTTTAAAAGGTCAATTGCTGTAACTTTAATATGACAGATACTAAATATACTATTGGACAACAGCTACTGATATAAAGAGGAGACAACTCTTAAATGCTAAAAAGTTAGATACTTGAGTTCATATTAATACTAAATAAATGTGATTAAATATTCTTTAACTTACTTTCATTACATTAAAAATAAAGACAGATATAAAGGTTTTGAATTCTTTGAATCCATGTCATTTAGTGTAAAGATAAAGAGGAACAGCATACTTACTGTTGATACTCATGTCCTTGGTCTCCTGAGTTTCAAAGCCACACTTAGGACATGGAATGGGTTGTCCCCGCACATATTTAAAGCCTTTCCTCTTCACATGGTCATCACAAAAGCACACCTGTCCCAAAGAAATTACAAATAATAAATTCCAGTTACTGGAGGTGAGAAGACTATTAACAATGCTGTTGTAAGTGTGAAATATTTTGTCCTACATGCACTCTCCAAAATTCTCAGTGCTACTGGACCATGTAAATTAGAATTGGACTTGATGCAATGCCTGTAAGTATATTTACTTCACTTAAATAGTAAATTGTTTTTTGGTCCAAGACAAACCCTTTTTACTTTCACATCTTTTTGGTCTAAGTCTTTGATCTAAAAACATGTGCTGAAGTTTTTAAAATCTCCAATTGATATTTCAAACAATACTTAAGATGCTATGTTTGAAAGCTGTAAAGAAAACTTTCACTATTCAACAATTTGTTTTTTGAACAAAATTATTTTGAATTGTAACAAATGATACAGTAAACAACTAATTTACCAAAATTCATACTCGCAACATCAAAATGACTTTTTAAATGGATTTGATAGAAATTCATTTCAACGTATTTATTTGTAGGAAAGTCATTCATTACCTTGCATCGTAAACAGGAGAACTGTCCCAATCTATTGCAGGATCCACCTAAACAAAGCAAATATCTCATAAGTGTTGTATATCCATGGCATAATTAAGTATCAGATAATACTTTATGCAATATCAATACTAGTAACTTCAGCAATGTAATTTAATATAGGACTATATCTTCATAAGATTAACATTACCAATGTTTTATTGATTTCCTCAATCAAACAAGTACTGTCTGAAAACCTACGGAAATTAAAAAGTTTGTCCATTTTATATGTTTAGTACTCAGGGTCAGGGTCACTTTGAGTGTTCTGGCTCCTCATAATAATTGTTGGCTACCTCATTGTGGAGAAGCCTGTTGCAAACTATTCAGACTATCTGGGTTTAAGTGTCTTGCCCTAAGACACATCAATGACAGATGAAGGTCTGTGATCTCAGTCATGTAATAACAAAACACTATTCTTGGTATGAGACAAGCTGCATACCTCAGATCTTTACCTCAATACCAGGTTTGGGTCAAAGTGCACATCTAAGAATTTTACCTTCATTCTGGGTATAGATCAAACTACACACCTCAAATTTCACCTCCATTCTAGATATAGATCAAACTTTCAGGTGTGGACCTAACGACACACTTCATAACTTAACCTAAGGTGCAGTATCAAATGGTCTACCTACTAACTTTAAAATTTGTGATAAGATCAGTAACACAACTGCTTTGGAAGACCATGTAACCTTAATCGTCATGGCCACGCTATTGCTTGGGAATAGCTGACATCAAATCTTCCTAGTCAAAAGGAATACTTACACTTGAATGATTCAGTGTCCAGCTGTTGACAGCTAGCCTGATGCTCGAATTGGTCATCTTCACAAAGAAACTTCAAACAGTAGGAACATTTAAACACGCGACCACCTACCAAACAGATGAGACATCTTACAAACATAATGCTGATGTAGTGTTGACAATATATCCACTTAACAATGACAAAAGATATTGAAATTTTGAAAACAGTGAAACTGTTTTAGCTACCAATAGCAGGTTCTGCTGCCTGATCTTAAATTAACTGCTTTGAACAATTGCCACTTCATTCTGTTGTAAATCAATGAATTGTGCTATAACCTTGCAAAAAAAAACTGACAAACACTACTTATCATTATACACATACTGACCATGCGACCACACATCCCTCTTACACTCTGTACACACAGCATCCTGGAGTGGACAACTACAGGCATGTGTTGTCAGACACTTACGACCATGGCACACCCAAGCTTCACAGAAGTCACACACAGCACCCTGTAAACATAGAAGAAAAGCAGTGTTTTGGAATAAAGATTTAAAGGCTATTTAGACAGATTTTAGGAAGAAATGTTACGCTATTTTGAGAAAAATCAACATAGGAACAATATTAATCACAGCCCTCACTATATTTGAGCTCATCTGATACACTTTTTTACGATCTGAATTTTCTAACTAAGTCTAATAAATACCGGTAAATAAAGAACTCTTTCAGTTTAGGGATAATAACATAATCCATTCTAAAAGGTTTTTCATTTGGTTTAAACACATCATGTGTAATACAGAATTTTTGAAAATAATGTTCGTTAAAACTGAAGACCTGATTTCAAATCAACAAATAAATAAAAACCACCAAGTGTTGAACAACAGAGTTTTTACTACATCAGGTGTTAACTTGCTTCAAATTACATTTAACGGTACATTATGAATTTAGCTTGTTGCACCAACTCTTAAGTCAAAAATGAAGAGTTCCGGTATAGGGCCAACACCGTTCGTCCTATTAAGGTGGGTTGTTGTTTCCTTCACTCTGCAGCTGGATACCCTAAGGGTATGCTGGGCGATTGAGCAGTAGAACAAATCTGATGGATATATCAACCATCTCCAAGGCTGTTGTGATGGATATATCTATCTGATTTAGTAAAAAAGATGTAATCTGTTTTATGACACTGTAATATGAGAGCTGAACACAACAAGCTATTTCAGCAATTTTATTGAGCACTATTAAGGTAAAATGTCTACAGATTTACAAAAAAAACATTAAGTAAAAATGTGAAAGAGAATGACTTGCTTATTAAGACCCCAGTGATTGAATTCACAATTATCTTTCAATACAGGAGTTATACAAAAGGTTATCTACTGAGTACTTACTACCATGCTAAGTCCTGTTGTAAACTGTCCAGAGTGTTTTATAATACAGTCTCCCAATTTGGCCATACATTTCTGCTTCCCTGCATTAATGAACATAAAAAGAGATTTATAGTTAGAACATTGCTTCTAGTCCTCAATCAATTATATAATTAATTCGCTGGGTTTATCAGTCATTTTGAGGCAGGATCTCCTTGACGAAGTTGGTGACCACCTCAATGAACAACATACAGGAGGCTCATCGCATGCCATCCAAAGCAATTAGGATAAAGATTTTTGCCCAAGAACATAACCACATCAGTATGTTACTCAGCTTCCAGAGAAACACAAACTGCTATGTATAGGGAACATCAAACCATGCACTTCAGATCTTAACCTGGGGTTAGGTAGGAAAATGCTCTTACCTAGCAAGATAACATAGTTAAAAAGTTTGTTAAATACGCTTACATGTCACAGCATTAAATACACTTATATCTACAAGAAATACTTACTCCCCTCCCAACTACCTTATAATATCTGAACAAATTCTAAGATAATACTCCTCCTGGTTCCCCTTTAGTTTCATGTTGACCATGACCCTTGTCCTCTTGTTTAAGAACTCTCATTTCCATTTTGTCCAGCTATACCTTGAACAGAAGTGAACAACCATTTTTCCTCCATAATTTTTTTTATTGTTCCGCGATTTCCAGGCTAAAGCCTCTTCCGACCTTGCATAGCTTAAATTTGAAAATTAACTGTATTTTTACATTTAATCCCCATGGACATACTTGGCTAAGTCAACAGTACTGTAGCTAAACATAGGTTGACATTTCTGTTTCAGATACATGTAATTGATGATTTTATTTTACAAGCTTAAGAGACAAGTAGTCATTAATCTTTCAATAAATTAGTAACTAAGAAATTAAGTTATCAATTTGATACAAATCTTACCACATTGTGCACACACTGGCAATCTTTGAAGAGCCATACAAAAGTAACAGAAGGCACGGTTCTTTTGTGTTCTGAAAAAAACCCATTGCAAACAATTCATCAGTTTATTTTCCTCTGACCTAGGCACAGTTCTTTTGTGGTTTGAAAACAAAATTTTGTAGAAATGTGCAAGCATTGCAAACAATTTATCAATAAATTTTCTTCTGATCTTCATTCTAGTGAAATGAAAATTCATTTCCCTATCTGACTTTAAATGAAAATTAATGGATAAGACAGTTTCATATAATTTTCAGTTACAGATTAGAATGTAGTGCAGCTGACACCAGGCCAAGTCCAACTTGAAATGTTTATGTTCCTTCAAAAAGCGAGCAATAAGTCATTTCAAACAGATTTCAACTGACATTGATTAAAAGAGTTATTTTCTTAAATATACCAGGTACTTGCATATATAGATTTAGATTTACATAAAATTGTTGGAAAAAAAACAGCAACCATAAAAACACAACCTGTAGAGAAATATGAACCTATTTTACATAATAAAGAAAGAAATTTTTTTTTACTATACACAGGATATAAACATTTCTTTTTTATTTTAAACAAAATATGTTGAAGAAAAAAACAGAGAGTTAACCTTGAATGAGCTGAAGAGAAATTATCTGACAGATTACTGTTAATCAAGTCAAAATAAAAAGGAATGCTTCTTCATTGTCCTGTTATATGCCCATCCCTGAGTTTGACTACAGAGTACTAATTTGGACACTTTGACTTACTAAAGGATTGATAAGGAACAGTATACAGAGATTATCAGGTTAAACAGAACTTTCCCAATATCAGTTAGTATTTCATCTCAACGTCTCAAGTAACAGTACTTACCTTCTACATTGATCACATTCCTGTTTGTGAAAAAATAAAATAAAAAAATAAATAAATAAAAAGCACAATTTAATTAATTTATATATATCTGTACTTGAATATGAGATTATTAAGTAAGAAAAAAAAAAACAGGGCAGAACATCATATGCATGTTCCCATGTCAAAGAAATATTCAAATTATTCACAATTTATTGTATAAAAAAGAACACAAATATGAAAATGTTAGTAATGAGTCAAAACATCAAGATTCAGAAATTTGTTAAAAACTGAGGAAGTAGATACCTGGACAAGATGCACTATATGATAACAAAGGGAGAAAACTCCTCCCTAAAATTGTAAAATCAGAATACTATTGGGAATATACAATTTACTGTAATGGATAAATTAACAAAGCTTTCCAAATTTCAGAGAGTTGAAAACTGTGAGAGGAAATCTTTGCACAAATAAAAATGAAGGATGGATGAATGGACAGACAATACCATAATTTGTTATGGGTGTATAAAAATCATTTGGCATTAATTCTTCAACTGAATATATATGCAAATAACAGTATACATAATCATTTTATATGACAGTTAACTTGAGGTGTTACACTTTAACATTAATAATATAGTTATCTCCCCTTCCATTTTTTTATTGTTTATTTTTCTAACTTTTTCACAATTATAAAAGTATATAAGCAAATGGTCATCAGCAAACATCTGCCATCACCATCATCATCATCATCACCATCACCACCAACATCATCATCATCATCATCATCATCATCATCATCATCTTCATCATCTTCATCTTGGATATTAAAGTAGATCATTACCATTGCAATATAAAAAAAAAAAAAAATAACTATGGGTACATGATTCATCTTTAGTAAACAAAATGTGCAGTAATTTTTCGTAAAAAACAAATAATATTGCTTCACTTCTCAATGGTTGACAAAGAAATGAATGGATTGTCTGGCCAGCTCTGTGAAGCTGCATTAATTATACAGTTAACTTACTGCAATCTGAATAAGGCATAGATATAGGTAGATAAAAACTGAGAGAGAGGCTTTGATGACTTCACCACTCAGTGAACAGTTACAACTAGACACAAAACTCTATTGCTGTACAAGTATCCAGTTCCCAGTTTTTAACAGGTTGTTTACAATCCCTTTATCTAACTATTATATGTCAGAAGCTGATAAAACCATGATCAGGTGACATGTCCTTCACATTTACAACATCCAACAGGAACCTTGACCATTCAGTCTTTATTTGTTCTTTAAAAGAGGGAGTTTTTCCCTTCTTTCCTCTATATTTGCTATTAATTACATGAAATTTAAAATTTCATCTTAATAAACAACAATAATGATCTTTACCAAATTAGAGATGATTGTCTGATCTGTCCTAAATTGTACAAGCATACTAAGGGTGAAGAGAAACATACAGTGTACATAAAATTGGAGAAAGACCTAGTGTTCCTTAATAAAGAGCAGTAACAAATTTCTCCTTGAAAAATTACAATTTCGACCATTCAAAATTAGAGCATGTATATTCTCTGATGTATGTGAATTGTTTGAATTCCAGTTTACACGGAAACCTGATTTGGTGTAAAACCTGTTCCGTCTTCTAACTATATTCAAACTGCAAGATCTTGGTGTTCTTTCAATTACCATATGAAATCAATAATGATCAAGTATTTGAATGTTTAGAAATTTTCTAGCAAACACTTATACAGCACAATGCTAAGATTACTACTAGTGGTGAGTTTTTTTTCAGAAAAAGGCAATTTATGTAATATATTGTGACTTTAATAAGAATCTCATTTAAATATATGTACATTCTGTAATTAAATTGATATTCTGAATTAAAATGCATAACAGAATAGTCTCAGCAGTGTTTACAACTTTACCATCTTTTTTGTATCAAGACAAGTCAGTATTGCTTAAAAACCTGAAGGTTCTGAAGCATTTGATGATCTATTAATTAACAGAATGAAAACTCTCAATAGCGAAGAGAAAAGAAAATGGTTGGTGAGAACATTCTGATTTTAATAATGAAAACTGGTTAAACACATAAGCACCTTCTTTACCAATCCAACCAAAACTATATTGTTTTTCACCATATTTTAACTCTAAACTCATTTCTTTTTCAAAGTAAAGATGATAGATAGTCCTCTCTGCAATCTCTGTAACTGTGAAAGGGAAACTTGTACATTTATTTTGAAGATTTTAAGATATGTTGTCAAAGCCTTTATTCATACATTTTCTATTACCATGAAAGCAGATAACCTTCATCACCAATTTCAGTTTTTCTGGGCCAATGATCTGAAACCATTCAAGATAATTGCTCAAAACGTTTTACACTTATTAAGCTAGTGGTATCTTTTGCTATGGAGAAGTTCGCCATTTAAATTCTTTTTCTGTTACCATGGAAACAGTAAGGCCAAATCACAAAGTTAAGTTTTTTTTCAGACCAGTTCTCTTAAACTGTTCCAGGTAATTACCTGTTACTCAAAACTCTGTACAGGCATCAAGCTAGTGCTCTAGCAGAAGTTCTCAATTTCAATACCTGTGTAATTTGTATAGAACAATTAACGATAACAAAGAGAAATTAAAACTTGCTGTAATATTAACATATTTATATGATTGATGAAGTATTGTTTTCTACAAGAAGAAGAAGAAGACGATGATGATGATGATTAATATATACCGTTTTTAAGTGTCTATGGTACTATGGTAGACTGAAAACCTACAAGGTGCCCATTTTTAGTAATCGATCGTTTGGTTTCAAATGTTTACGTTGAAACTTTGTCAAAATCAAAACATATTTCATCTCACCATTACAAAATTACAAGGTCTTTCTGCAAGGGGTCTTTCAATATTGCCCGATCGTATTTCTTTCTGTCTCTCCTTTTGTTTATCTGCTTTTTTACGTTGTCCTGTTTTCTTCTTTGGCATGTTGAAATCAGAATTTCTCTTTTCTTACTTTGGTCAGACACACTAGGCAGAACAGAACAACTGTTAATATCTATCTGCGATCCTTGACACATGTGTCCGAAATGTAACCGGAAATGAGAAGTGTTGAGTTCCGCCTACATGGAGCATGCGCAAATCTTAACCCTATGCAGGAAGTGGACGAAAATGAATGAAACACAAAACGTCAATATCGCTACTTTGTGATTGTCATTAAGAAACTGAGAACTATTAATAGCTGCAATGGGGCTGGAGCCTCTCGAGTTTGCAGAATGTTTAACAGACAGTCCATTCTTTCGTGAAAAACTGCATGATCACGAGAAAGAATTGGAGCGCACTAGTAAAGCAATCAAGCTGCTGATAAATGATGGAAATAACCTTTTGCATGTCGCCAAAAGTAAGTATACACTGAATTACGGTAATATCAGATCAGGAGCTTATGTCGCGCTTATTTGTTTGTTCGGGTATATTTGAGTTCAAATGTAAATAAGTGCGAGGCGCGACTTTGTGTAAACGCCCACTCTGTGTAACATAGCTATGCTAGTCTGAACCGGGGCCGGCCGCTGTTTTAAAACTGGGGATGGCAATAACGGAGTCTAGCATTAATCCTATTGGATTTGTTTCGTTACAGTATATAAGTGCAGGTAGCAATTATACTTATCTTATTAGTTACCGATAGTTTGAAATATTTTTCGAATTGAATGAAAATGTTTAAGCGATGAACCATGTGGTTTGTATTTTGTTTGTGTTTACTAATTTTTTTTATTGATCGGTATAATTTGAATTCTCTGTAAGCTTGTTACTTTTATGGTCAACAGAATGATTAAAAATGATGTTAGTCAATACACTTACATGGGATTCCAAAACATTCTTAATGTGAAACTTCACCTGAAGTGATTTAGCTGAAAACTTAATCAAATTTAAAAATGAAATTAGGTTTACTTATTGAACATTAAATAAGCCTTATTAAAATATTTCTGTCGACATAACTGAATCTTCTTCAGATATATAGTGCAGTATGGACTACTTTATTTCCTGAAAACCCCAATATCCAACAGGCCTGATATTCCAAAACTGGTAAATAATAATGACCTTCAGAGCAACTGGCCTTCAGAATGACCGTCCTTCGATATATATAAGGGTATTTTATAAGCATGCCATGTGTTTTCCAGGCCACATGATTGTTTCTCTGAAACAATAGAGATGACATACACACATATATATATGGTAGACTAAAGTTCTTACAACCAGTAGGAGATTTGATTGTGTTGTTTTGATGACCACATGGTCCCCTTTGTCAGACAAATGACAAGCATGAAACGTTCACATGTTCTACCACTGGCATACATAGTGTTTAAGGAGATGGAAAGACACTGACCAACTTTTTTGGCTGCTGTATAATCTTATGTATGCTTGTGAATAATAAATAGTGTGAAAAGATAGTAAACAGATTATAGACAGAAAAAAAACAATATTAATGTACTGTATGATGAGAGGGAGGCATAGATTCTCACAGATCTATGACAAAGTGTTTAAACAAAGTGAAACCAGATCAATAAAAGAACATTGATATTGTTTCTATCTTGTTTACTTTTGTTTTCACATTACTATCATGGAGAAAATGTATAGTATGTAAAAGTATAGGTTATATCTAAAAGTAAAAGCTTTGTGTAGACTCTTTCCTAAATATGGTCCGTCATTACCAAACCATTATTAAAAAGCAGTGAACAAAGTCCCTGAGACCACCCATAATTTTCTAAAGGATTTTTTTGAAGGAAGTCTAGAATGTCATTTTTGAAATGTTGATGAGTCTCCTATTACTAAGAGATAAGTGGATTCTCAAAACTTGAGTGAGTCCTACAGGAAAGTCATGAGTACTCCAAGACCTGAACATCTGAGTCTCCAAAAGTGCTGGGCCATGTACTTTAATATGATACCTTTATCATATTGAGTTACCCATGTTGTTCTCCATCTACAAATTCAAATTTAATGATTTTATCAACAGGGAAATGTTGTGTTATAATATGTCAATGGTTTTATCTTTTAAGTCTACAGCTGTATGACATTTACCCTGGTGCAGTGGTGACATTTCTACCCATAGGCACTGTGCTTAGCAAGAAAAACAGAGAGATCAAGCATATACTGTACTTTTGTTAACATTTGGATGACTATATAATTAACACCTTTTCATTTTTTTTTTTTTTTTGTTATTTTTTTTCCGTCAGATTTCAGACACTTTATTATAGTATACATTTCAATGGGAGATACTATTTTGACTTACTCAATATATATATATGAGAATAAATCTTACTATATGTACATTTCATATCCTTTTCTGATGATAATACAAATCAGGCATCAGTAAGTTTATACAAATTAATTGATACACTGATACATGGCTATATAGCTATATATTATATAATAATTCACATTATATAACCTAGCTCTTTATGATTTGCTAGACTTTTTAAAGGTGAATGCTTGAATATAAAAATGTAATATATAAGATATAAATATAAGAATACAAGACAATGTTCTTTTGAAGTAATAATAATTGTTTTCTTCATGGTCGACCTTGATCCTTATACATTATTGTACCTGTACACTTGTGTTATACCTAGTAATAAAATTCATGACAATCAGATTCTTATGTGTTAATAATAGAACAGATCTTTGATTTGGACAATACCATATATATACCTTCCTACAATAGATACTAGAGGCCTATACCCCTGTATACATGATTGTAATAAGAAATTTGGTGGTCCTTTCTTATATTGAAATGTAAAAGAGGGACATTGTAGATGGACTAATGTAAATATAGATCTGCATGCCCACACACATTTTGATACTCTAAAGATATTAATTATAAAGCTATGTTAAAATATCTTCTTCCTGAAATTGCTAGGATACTTTTCAGCAAAGACATGGCATGTATAGCTTCATCTTAGGCAACCATATATGCATGTCTAGTAAAACTTAAAGCCTGGTATCATAACAGTTATCATTCATGATATATACATATATGTATAGATACATTTTTATGTGGTGGTACTTCTGATTAATTGATTCATTATATAATTATGGTACAAATCATTTTCATTATTGTCCTAAAAGGACAAAGCATGTCACAGAAAATTGGAATAACCAATCGTACACTTTGGTGAAAACTTTGAACTCCGGTAAATATAGATATATATCATCACTGTAAGCTCCTGTAAAACTGGCGAAAATTCCTCGGAGTTAATAACGCCTAGCTGGCTGTTAATACAGACCAGAGGATATTATTTACTATAGAAACATAAACACACTTGTCAGTGAAATACTTCGCACTGCCAAAGAACAGTCAGTGTTGATCAGAATAAAAAACAGATGTGTAAACAGAAAAGGAGAAAGTTTTGTCTGGTCAGTAATAAGCTATACAACAGAATTCTAGCTATTCAGATTCTCAATGAAAATGTTTTGCAGTGTTATTTTAAACTGATATAAATATAGACCAATGATTTTGCTGAAGTGGTACCAGTAATTGCTATTTGTTATTAAACCACGATGTTGTGTATTGATTGTTTTACAAAGTTCTGTCTACATCAACTTTTAAGCAAGAGGTCCAGCTGAGTCATGTTTGACTGGTCACAAGCCAGTGATCATGATTTAGGTCGGATTTTTTTCAGATGAGTCCAGAGAACAGTTAAATACTTTGATGAGTCCAGTTATGAGTATATATAATGGGAATTTAAGCGAGTCCCTCAGGAAAAGTATGAGTCAAATGTGATATTCTCAAAAATCACTGCACAAGCATGCTGCATAGATATTTGTTCATTTAAAGTACCTTGACCCACTTTCAAGGTCATAGTGTCAAATGTGCTGAATCTTTAAACAATATTATGAATAACTATGAAAAGAGGCAAGGGGTTACATGTGATATTGGCTGAAAGTGAGTGAATTATGGAATTAATCTAGGTTTTAGGAGAAGATTAGTCCCTAGTAGAAATATAGGGCAAAGATAGACTTAGCAATTTAGCAATTAAGGGGAAAGTCTAAGCCAATGTACGTGAAACAACCGAAACCGCAAGGGGAGCCTAGGCTGAGGGCAAACTTTAATGAATTTGTTTTCAGAAATAGATACAAAATGCCACATACTTGGAGCATTTGATGATATTTATATAAATATAATAATTACATATATTGGTGTTACGAAAACAGCATAAAAATGATGGAGTTTAATGAACTGAATTCTCATAAGTAGTATTGAAAATTTATCAGCAAATGAGAAATTTTCATCTATTTCCATGGAAGAAAAACTATCCATATATGACTACAAATAGAAACCTTATCTTGATTGGGCCTAGCTATTTGTATATGTACTGTATATATTGCTGGCAGAATCAAAAGTACAAATATATTTAATTTGTTACATCATAATTTCCCTATGGTGCTGTATCTGTATGTATTAGGTGCCAGTCAGTAGAAAAATTTAACCATTCTCTTGATGTCCTAATTACAAGAAATAAAATTCACGGCCCATAAAATATTGTTTGGAAAAAAAAGTATTTAAAAATATCTTATGTTGTAAATCATTTTAAGGGCTATTCCAATGTATGATGCACACAGATGGTACATAGAGCATGAAGGTGGGAATGTACCAGTAAGCCGTTTTATTGCATCACCATGTACTTGCCTGATGGGTTTTTATACTCATTGTCATTACCATCACACTTCAGTCTAGTTTTCATATAGAGATGAACACAAAATCTTGGCTTTGACCAGGATTTACATTGTATGTGTAGAATAAGATGACACAACATGTACATGTTTGACTTTACACATACGTAGTCTTCTACAACACTTGCTCGTGTATTGTGTTTTGTTTTTGCACACATGTATGAATCTGCTCTTTGTTTATTATGTTTTGCCATCACTGCAGGTTAGAATGATATACAACTTCTTAACATTTCACTCATTGATTTTTGGGACTGGTATATTTGAGTCCTTGTCTCATGCTTTTCCTGTGAGCTTGCCCAACTTTTGAAAACCATCTGTATCTCTTAGCGTTGGTCCTCATCAAAATTTAGGAACTAGTGCTCTGGTCTAAACCGGAAAAATGCAACAAAAATTACTGTCACATAAGCACAATATGAACAGTATTTGATCGATTTGTCAATGTCCTGACTCATTTTAGCTTTCAATCCCAAATACTGCTACAATGTAGTATGTTTTAGATGAACAATGTCAGATTTTTTAGTTATTTTATATATATATATATATATATACAAGGTATTTGAAGTTTGGTTTCTTTTTTCAGATCTTGGCCTTGCCCAGCGCAAGTTTGCAACCAAGTTGATTGACTTTAAGTTTGAGTGTATTGGCGAGAAGACGACAGAGGATGAGGACAGAATAGGTAAGCTTTGCATGATATAAGTCAGGTCACTCATTCAAACCTGTTTCACATGTATACATAGTGTATGTTGTGATTAAATATTGTCAGTACTATATGACTTTTTCGTGATTGTAGTCAGACTTTGCATTCTTTAAAACTCATAAGCAACTAGAGTAAAAAAGAGATAACTCTCACCAATTACAAACTACTGTGAGATATTGTAAACAATTGTGACCTGGCAATTATATTGAATTGGAGGATTGGGGTCTTACATCTCCATTGAAAAAAAGTGTCTGGCTGTTTTTTATCACTCCAACTTTGGTGATGGCGTAACAGTAGGGGCTTAAGCTATGTGTACCCCGTATTTCAACATCAACATACATTAAGAATGAATGGTTCAGGTATTTTCTAAAGTAGTGAGACATCACCCTACACTGTATAACCTACATGGATTATTCTTTCAAGGATGTTTAAAATGTATTATATTGTGAAGTTGTAACCCTGGTAAAATACTGGCTGCAATATACCACTGGGCTAGAGAGAACTTCTCTTTAGTTCGATTGGTTGAGCGTCAGACTAGTACGCCACGGGTTCCGGGTTTGATTCCTAGCGGAGGCATTGAGATAAAAAATGACCTCTGTTACATTGGCGCCCATGTAGGGACTCAGGAAAAATACTTAGCCATGCCCCACCAGCATCACTGTAACTCCTGGAAATTCAAGGACAAGTTATTTCCTGGAGGGGGAGTATGTAACCCTGGTAAAATACTAGCCGCAATATACCACTGGGCTAGAGAGAACTTCTCTTTAGCTAGATTGGTTGAGTGTCAGACTAGTAAGCCAGGGGTCACGGGTTCGATTCCTAGCGGAGGCATTGAAAGAAGTTAAGACCTCTGTTACAAAGTTACATGAGACTTTTTTCTGGATACCTTTTCTGCTCTGTTACTGATAAATCTGTTGAGGTACAACTGATATAATAAGAAGCTGGGTTAGTCAAAATAAAGCAAGACGTCAGCTGGCCTATTGGGTCAAAGGTCAAGGTCTACAAGTGCTACAGTTGTGTTGTACCTAGGCCTGCCAGCTTTTCAGAATTTCCATTTGGGAGATTGTGCATGTTCAAAACATCAAGCCTCATAAAAGTACACTTTGTATAAAATCTATACAATCTGCACAATGTTGGCTTATTTTTTCTACCATTTGAACAGAAGAATAGTCTAGTCAAGGTTTATTCGTGGGAGAGTCCATGTCGGCTTTGATGTGGTGATAGGTTACAGACTTTTATGGAGACCTCTTGGGACAAGATAGACAATAATGATATTGATTCCAGGACATTTGTGTTAAAATCTGTCAGAAAAGGATTGGTCTCTCTTACTGGTTGCCATTGACTGAATGGTTCTTGTACTTTAGACTGTATACTCTCACATTTCAAATACCTGCTCTAATTCTTGTCAAAGATGAGCTTCAAGATCTTACTACTTAAACATTTGATATATGGTACATAACATATGTTATACACTTACCTATCTTAAGTAGAAACACATACAGAATGCAAACTTTATGCTGGAGGTGTGTATATGTTAGAGTGTTTCAAATGAAGCTTTTGGAAATAATTTGAAAAGTTTCAATTTGGAATGATTGATTAATTCATATAAAATCATATTCGATACCATAATGTATAAATATCAGGAAGCGTTATAGAATGTTATGGGGATATATATAGTAAGAATTGGACAGGTAACTGACATACATGTACATTATCATGTATACCTATATTTATATATTCATGTACATAATATTATCATCACTTCAAAGGGAAATAAGTACTACTGAAATATATCTCAGTTAAATGTTGTACCTGGTTTTTTTTAGTCAAGTAAGCTTCTAAAATTCTGATAACAAATAACACACCCCTTATTATAAACAATGTGTAAAAATAGATATGTGTGAGAGAATACAAGTATCAAAATATGAAAATATGACTAAAGCTTTGAATTACTGTAGAGTACTGATGTAACATGATACTGCAAATTATACTTTTGATGAAATATCAGAATATCTAATTTCTTGTGTAATATATGAGTTCAGAGCTGGACAGCTATATAAAGTTACAGTGATTCAGTTGATGGTTATGATGTGACAGAATTTGATCTAACTTTTCATATGAACATGATTCTGCAAATACTCTATGAGTGTTTCTCAAGTATGACAGTCTATAATAATCTCGTGTTACTTTGTTACATGAATTTGGTGCTTTAGTGTATTCTATTGTGAGATATTTGATTCTTGTTGGTCATGGATGTCATCCTGCAGTTGAGGACCTGCTTGATAACAATTTGTGTCTATTATTTAATAGTACTCTTTGTGGTTCATTTTCTCAAATTGAAAGTGTGAAATTGTTTGAAAGTTCTATCGAGAATTTAAAAATTAAGATAAAAAATCTTGATTGATTATTGTGGATCCTGTTCATGATCAGTTTCTTGTTATGAAGTCATGAGCTACAGGAAGTTACTGATCAAATGCTTAACCTAGTATTTTATAATTTTAACCCCAATAAGTGTGTTCATTGTGATCATTAATGTAAATGGTTGTAATTCATCGATCATATTAAAAAAAAATTATTAGATTTTTATAGAAACGTTGTCATCATACCTTTTATTTAATTAATTTAATAATATTTGTAATTTGTCTCTACATATTCCAAGTGTTTAAATGCACAGACTTGTTCATTGTGTTGAGCCTGTGTTGATAATGATACATTTATAGGTATCACATCATGTGTGTATATTGATGATATATTCATATATTATACCTGGCATGTGCGCTGAACAAGACCTGTGTGTCATGTATATATTCATGTAATATACATGGCATGTGCACTCAGCAAGACCTGTCTGTCATGTATTCATGCAGTCTTATCAGTGTATGCAGTATAAATTAAGTGAACTTTGCCATTTTAAATGCTAGAATATAAGGAATATGAGTCCCTCAATTCACTGCAATGAAGTGGCCCAGGGTGTTACAGTAATGACAAGCATGTAGTTGGTACCTGAATTCATGCATAAATGATCTATCAATGCCTTACCCAGTGGCAGAATGAATATTGGGTATATATGTACCTGGTAGATTTTAGTGTAAAGATTGTTATTTTCGAGACGGTTCTGATGAATATTGTGTATACACATATATGAACCAGGTAGAGAAGTGTAAAAATTGTTATTTTCGAGAGGGTTCTGATGAATATTGGGTATATATGAACCAGGTAGAGTTTAGTGTAAAGATTGTTATTTTTGAGAGGGTTCTGATGAATGTTGAATATACATATACATGCCAACTAGAGTAGTGTAAAGTTTGTTATTTTCGAAAATTTTCACCATGAGGAGATAAAAGCTTTAACAGTGATCAAAATTTCTCAAGCTTATCTGCGAATTTAGGAGTTACTAACAGCTAATCCTTTTGAAACTTTCAATTTTCTTCTAGTTTTTTGTGTGAACTTTCAGCCCAGCAATGTCAGATAGTAAACTGTTCATGATGAAATCTCTGTGCATATATTGTTTGTTTATCCGTCGTCTGTCATTTAACCATTCTTGTTATCATTACAATCTTGAGAAATACAAAATGGACTTTTATCAAATTGCATGTGAACTTTCCCCATGGTCCCTATTTGTGTCTGTTTGATTTTTGGACTTATTAGAAAAACAAAATGGCTGACAGGAAGCCTTCTTTGAATCTTACAATGAAAATGTTTAATCACAATTTTGTGAGAAGCATTGAATAGATCTTTCTCAAATTTCATATGTGGGTTCCTCTTGATCCCTAGTTGTGCCCTTTTGATTTTTAAACTGATCTGAAAGACAAAACAGCTAGCAGGTGACCATCCTGGATTTGACAGCTTAACCATTATTTCTTCAGAGGGATTTTCAAATTTTACATAATTCAGAGCAAAAGCAGATCAAAGAAAGAAGGGAGAAAATTTCACTTTGGAAAAACAATAGTAATCAATCAAACGATGGTGGGCATCAGGAATTATAAAGTACATACAAGGAAGAACCTATGGTAAGAGAGAAATGGAAAGAAACCACATACTCAGAATGTACCAGTAATTGTTTCAAAAATAGTATAACTGTATAACTGTGTTTTGACCTTAATTGATAGAAAAGCTTCAATGGTCTTAGGGGATATAGATAAATCTACAGAGCTATATTAACAAAACTAATCAAAATATGCTGAGATAGCCCAATTCATCCTGATTCTCATCCAGCTGGGTCAGTACTTCAACTCACCAGAGGCAGGTGGCCACCCCAACCTGACCCTTCAGTGTGTTAGATAGTATACCTGACAGTGAAGAAAATGGAATGGCTTATAGCTTGTATTCACATGTAGCTTGGTATTGCTTTAATTCAAAATATTTGTTTATAAGGTACATTTCCCTATTGGTTTAGTAAAACAGTTAGATATAGATTTTTAATATATAAATTCTGATCATCAAATCCTTCTGAGGCAAACATCATTTCATTGTCACAAACAGAAAGGCAAATAGTTTACAGCGTGTCAGGTTTGTATCAGCATAAATAGTTCATCAGAATATTTCCTCAAGATAAACTCCGTCCAGTTTCCCGCAGATTTAATTATCCTTGAGAAATAGTTTGCTTATCAGGAACAGTGAGGTGAATATTTCTAGTTACAATGTTCATAGTCTTGTTCCAGCATTCTATAATAATGTATTTAATTTAAGAACAATAATGTAAGGTTGTTTACATACAATATATTTATCAAATGGTGAAGTGTAAAGAATTGAACATGAGGTTACCTCTGAGTACAAAATATTATGATGATGTACACATGAATATTTGCTATACTGTCAGCATCTGTAACTCGATTCTGACCTCAATCTTTAACAACAGACCAAGTGACCCCTATACATGTTATTTACTTGGGAATGATCAGCTGCTCTGCTTCGTACTTTATACCCTGCCTTATGTATGTGGGATTGATTGAAGTGCATCTGCTCTTTTTTAGCTGCTCCCCCCCCCCCCTATCCTGCTCCATATACATCACACAATTTATGGGCTGGTAGTCCTTGTAGACACATGGTACTTCCATCTTTAAATATTTTTGGAATGTGATGAACGTTTAATTGTTTTTATTGATCTTCTTTTACTTGTCGGTTGATTGATAGAGACAAAGCTCAATCTGTAGAAATAATATCAGTATGTATCTCTAGTTCGGCTTTTCTGGAATCTTACCAAAATTTTTCACTCCATAATATCAGAAACCACAAGTTGATGAAAGAACATTGAGCTGCATAGCTACTGTTACACTCAAAGCATACATTCTCATTAATTTATGTACAATGTATTTATCCAAACACTTAGTTCTTCCATCAGAAGTATGCCGGGTTGGTGGGGTAACAATATTGTAATGTACCGTAAAATCATATAGATCAGATGTAAGTAAACATATACACTAATTAATACCACATACCCTTATATATCATTATACTGTAGAATTTGTTTGGTAACATTTACATTACTATAATGTACATTTGCACACACATACCATATAGGTACCTAAAGGATTTGTTCTTTGTTCGTGTAAATCAGAAATGACTTGGATATGTTCTTATTTATGTTAGATTTGTCTTTAATGTGCCATTCTGTTTTTGTTAAATAAGAAACTGATTGTGTTTTTGGCCACATAAAGCATTAACTGTAATTTCTTTAAATTTGTTTTTTCATAGGTTTATTTTCATTTTTTCAGCAAAAACTTAAAAAAATAAAAGAGATATATGTTTCACAAAGCTGTAACAAAGACAATGGTTTAAATTTAAAATGTTAAAACTTAAAGATCTGTTTTTCATATTTATGTTGAATCTTGAGATAAAGAACTGCTTTGATATATCAACCATTACAATGAATAAATAACAGGAAATAGATATTCCAGACTCTTAATTCTATAATGTATTTCACACAAATTATTATTGTTTTATCTCTATAGTACTACCATTAGTATTGTAATGTATTGTTATCAGAATGGTAGATATCTCCTTTGTTTTTCTATCGGAGTTGGGGGGGGGGGGTTATTGAGGAGTGATCAAACCATTTGACCCTCCTTTTCACTCTAGGTTGTAGTTTTGAGACCTACATGGGGCTGTCACCAGTTTCTGACCACAGGGCAGTGGTTTTTCTCCAGGAACTGGGGCTTCCCTCCACCAACCAAACCTGGCACATCCTTAAATGACCCTGGCTGTTAATAGGATTTAAAGCAGTAACAAACTATACTTCCTATAGTGCATTGTTGTTGACATCAGGACAGCTTTTTGTGTCTTCAGTAAAAGTCATACAATCAAATCTAAACAGAAATTAAATCGAGCTTCCTTCATATTGTAACAGAGGTCAATATTTATTTCATTGCCTCTGCTAGGAATCGAACCTGGGACCCTTGACTAACTAGTCTGATGCTCAACCAATCTAGCTAAAGAGAAGTTCTTTCTAGCTGAGTGGTTTATACCGGCTTGTGTTTTACCATGGTTACATACTCCCCCTCAAGGAAATAACTCGTCCTTGAGTTTCCAAGGGTTACAGTGATGCTGGTGGGCCATGTCTAAATATTATTCCCGAGTCCCTACATGGGCGCCAGTGTAACAGAGGTCATTACTTATTTCAATGCCTCCACTAGGAATTGAACCTGGGACCCCTGGCTTACTAGTCTGACGCTCAACCAATCGAGCTAAAGAGAAGTTCTCTCTAGCCGAGTGGTATATTGCGGCTAGTATTTTACCAGGGTTACAATATTGTGATTGAGGAAAAATGAATTTATATTTATATGCCTTTCACATTTTTTCCCAAAAAGGATGTTTATAGAATGTATCAATGCAATAATTTCTGACCTTACAGTAATATTTTCAGGTCATTGTTTCCTATTTGTATTAAAACTTGTGTCATTCTGATTTCACAGCTGGTGCCCTGAAAGAGTTTGGAAGACTGATCCTTCGTGTGGAAGATGAAAGGGATCGAATGGTAAGTACAAAACAACCTTATTGATATCTTCTTTGATTTTACCAAGCTGACAAAATCAAATACGGTTATCATAGTCATTTTTACTTCATATGAATAAAATGCCAATATTAATTATTATACATTATATTTTATCTATGTCTCGTTTTATTAAGGGGATAGAATAATATCACAGATTAGAATTAAAGTTTGGTTTGAAATATTTCATTTTTAAATGACTTTGAAACAATTTGAGATCTATAACTATTAACAGGAACGTTTGAATCTTTTTAATGACAGATTTCTAATGCTGCTGACCAGTTTCAGAGACTAGAAAAGTTCAGAAAGGAGCAACTAGGTTCTGTCAAGGTATAAAGTGTGTTATACTACTAGACAAGGAAACTCGTGGAAATAATGATCAGACACATGAAAATATTACAATTTCCACAAATTCAATTAGGTGTACTTTACAAGTGAATGATCAATTTGCTGGATTAAAACTTCAACAACCAAAATTTTACAATTAAATTCTGGGACCAAAGGCAATTTGACCCTATATATATATGTCTGTATCTGTTCAACAAACATTTCTATTAACTACAGTGGAATTCAGATAGGAACAACAATAATAAACAAGGGTTGATTGACAGGCGTAGGAATCCTAGATAAAATTATCACAGACTCCTTGTTATTTCAACTACAGTTAATTGATGGTCATGTGTTTTGTTCTCCCTGAGCTGCAAAATATAGAGATTATGCAATTAGACTGGTGCACCACTGCACCTTGACAAGCTGCAGATATACATTGTACATGTATTATACAGAACTTGACTTTATACACATGTACATCATGTGTAAACTAACACTTCTGTTTCTCTTTGAAATGGATGTCTGATATATACACCTAAGTGTTAGCCAGTAGCAATCTGTTGTTATGCTTGGTTGTATGAGCTGGCACTTTTTATAACTAAGAATGAGAGTTCACATTGAATGGTGTATATATGATGTTTCAAAGGAAAATAATGGAGGATAAATATTAATGTACAAATCACAGCAAAACTCAATCTCTCAGAAATTATTGGGTGTTGATCAGGAATGTAGTGGTACAAATCACAGCAAAACTCAATCGCTAAGAAATTACTGGGTGTTGATCAGGAATGTAGTGGTACAAATCACAGCAAAACTCAGTCGCTAAGAAATTACTGGGTGTTGATCAGGAATGTAGTGGTACAAATCACAGCAAAACTCAATCGCTAAGAAATTATTGGTGTTGATCAGGAATGTAGTGGTACAAATCACAGCAAAACTCAATCGCTAAGAAATTATTGGATATTGATCAGGAATGTAGTGGTACAAATCACAGCAAAACTCAATCGCTAAGAAATTACTGGATATTGATCAGGAATGTAGTGGTACAAATCACAGCAAAACTCAGTCGCTAAGAAATTACTGGGTGTTGATCAGGAATGTAGTGGTACAAATCACAGCAAAACTCAGTCGCTAAGAAATTACTGGGTGTTGATCAGGAATGTAAAGCTACAAATCACAGCAAAACTCAATCTCTCAGAAATTATTGGATATTGATCAGGAATGTAAAACTTATTGTAAGATTTTTGTGCTTTTTGCTTGTTGACTATTGTACTTATCGTAGTTTCCATGTACTGGAATTGTTTACTTTTGGAAATATTTTGGGTGTGTTAATTCATCATTGTTGAATGTCAATGCAGTATTTTAAATGTTTTAAGTTATTTTGTGTAATTTTGATTCATGAATAATGTAAATTGAAAAAAGAAAAACAAAATTGTTAAAGGACAGCATTAAAAAAAAGTGTGACATTCTCTTTAGAAACTAATCTTTTCGACCTTCACAATTTACACTCAGAAGATTATTCAAGGGAGATTTAGAAAATTTAAAGTAATGTATGTAGCCTTGTGTTGGGAGATCCACTATACAGTAATAAGTTGTCGTAAATTATTTTATTTTACAGGATGAGAAAAAGTCTTTCGACAAACAGACAGTCAAGATTTGTCAGTCAATGGAGCGTTACCTTAATTTAAAGACAAAAGTAAATGATAACATGCTACAGGAGGTAAGGTTACAGTTCATAGAGGTCAAGGACACTGTGTGACAGGAAGTAAGTTATAGTACATAGAGGTCAAGGACACTGTGTTACAGGAAGTAAGTTATAGTACATAGAGGGGAAGGACAACATGTTACAGGAGGTAAGGTTTCAGTACTTACAGGTCAAGGACACTGTGTTACAGAAAGTAAGATTACAGTACCTAGAGGTCAAAGACAACATGCTATAGGAGGTAAGGTTACATACATAGAGGTCAAGGGTAACATGTTACAGGAAGTAAATTACAGTGTATAGAGGCCAAGGACAAAGTGTTACACAAGGTAAGGTCAAGGACATTATGTATATCTCACAGATACTGTCTTTTTTAACACTAAAAGTTGATGACTTGCCAATATTTTTTGTTTAAAATAAAGTTCAAGTCTCACATATATTGTCTGGTTTTAACACTTAATTGATAAATTCATAAAAAAATGATTTAATTTGATTTCTTGTGACCATTTTCCATCATGTAATCATTTTAGGCCGATGCCCAGCTGGAGATGGAGTGTCGAGGATTTCGAGAAGCTTCAATGAAATATGTACTTAAGGTTCAAGAAGTACAGGAGAGGAAGAAATTTGACTTTGTAGAAATGGTAAGGTCCTAAAGAGTGTTGCTAAATCAGTAACAAATGCGACCATAATTTTGTTATGTTGTTGTTATTTTTACCAAGAGTAAACTCCCATATATATTAAAGGAAGCAACTAAACAGATTTTTCCTGCACTTTGAGTTATGTACTCTTGTGAGTTGTCAAATTCTGACACTATTTGTTCATAATTCTGTAAGTCATTTGTAGATACAGACCCAGCAGTACACATTTCTTGCACTGTAACTATATAAAAAAGATTTGAAATTTTGTACAGACTTTAAAGATTCTTGATTACCATAAGAATTCTTACTTACTTCTACGTTAATGCCATACCATTGTCATTTTCTTAAGAAATGAAAACCACTGTGGCTATTTTGTGGAAAAATCAATAAGTTACATCTATGTACACACCTGTAATTTATCTTATATATGCTACAAAATACACCAGTGAGCAGACTGTCGAGTTGGAAATTGTCACCGACCTAAGTAATGATAGAAATACCAAAGTTTTTCATTACAGTACTTGTAATACACTGTTAGATTTATTGTTATATTGTCTTACAATCATTCTTTGCTTTATTCCAGATTTTGGCTTTTATGTACAGCTTGTTTACATTTTATCATGAAGGTACGTAGAGCATACAACTCTAACTTGTATATATGATCATGTTTCCGCAGTGTCTGGAGCTGTCTTTGTTAACACTAACTTGTATATATGATCATGTTCCCGGAGTGACTGGAGCTGTCTTTGTTAACACTAACTTGTATATATGATCATGTTCCCGGAGTGTCTGGAGCTGTCTTTGTTAACACTAACTTGTATATATGATCATGTTCCCGGAGTGTCTGGAGCTGTCTTTGTTAACACTAACTTGTATATATGATCATGTTCCCGGAGTGTCTGGAGCTGTCTTTGTTAACACTAACTTGTATATATGATCATGTTCCCGGAGTGTCTGGAGCTGTCTTTGTTAACACTAACTTGTATATATGATCATGTTCCCGGAGTGTCTGGAGCTGTCTTTGTTAACACTAACTTGTATATATGATCATGTTCCCGGAGTGTCTGGAGCTGTCTTTGTTATTCTGAACAAAATTTTATAAGTACTTTTGAATGTATTTAATAATTTGAGATCTGTGTAAAGTGACATGCTTTGATATTGTTCTATATTTCCTGAGACAAAAGATAAAAGTGGAGAAAAGAAAACCCGTTATGCATTCGTAAGCTAGAAATAAATGAATCAGGTTTTTTAGTGTAGAGAAAATTAGATGATAGAAATTAAACTGTCTCATGCCGATTCTTTAACCTTATCTGTGAAACAGATTGCAATGTAAATATATGTTTTTATTGTTTTAGGATTTGAAGCAAAGACTGAATTAAATGATTACTCATCTCAACTACAGAAGATACTGCAGAAGGTGAGGGTTCTTACCTGACAATAAACAAAAAGTTTGAGGTAGTTGAGGTGGAGGTGGGGGTGGGGAGAGAGCTAACGACGATCAAAACATACAGTGTTTGACAAAATTGTTTTGTTTGATCTTTTCATGCATGATACATTTCATAAACTCCTAACACACCTAACACTTGCTTACGTTTGTTTTCTTTTTCTATTTTTAGACAAGAGAGAGTTTTGAAATGACCCGGGAGCAGACTGAAAAATTGATGTTAAAAACTTTAGATAACAGAGGAACGGTAAGTCTCTAACAAGTGATTTGGTGTAGAAGTTGTGTACGGATACTGACCAGAGTTGAGGAGTCACGGTCCAGTAATTATCAAAAGAAGTTAGGAACAGATACCAACTAAAGTAAAAAAATCAGTATGGAGTATCATTAATAATTATTATTACAAATTTAACGGCCTGTCAACACATAAAAGGTCACAGCAATTCAAAATGGAAATAACATGAAACAGACTAAAAGGCAAAAGACAAATGTTAAAAATCTTAAATGGCAATATTCTCAAAAAAGATTAAAATGGTCAGTCATGGTCTATAATAAAGACCAACATCTTGCAGGTAATCTAGAATTTTTGAATCTCAGCAGTTTCAGAAAGGGTTTTTTGACTTGTAACATTACCATCAAAAATTTCTCGAGTAGACGGAAGGTCATGTTGTAGAGGAACAGTTAATTTCCTAGTAGACGTTAGATACTGGTCAATAAAGAGAGACTGTAATTCACTGACCAGTAATTCTTAACAGAGGTGAGGTACAAATTCTTACCATAATAGGTCAGTAAATCACTGACCAGTAAGTTCGGGAAGAGGTGAGGTACAGACACTGACCAGTAAGTTCAGGAAGAGGTGAGGTACAGACACTGACCAGTAAGTTCAGGAAGAGGTGAGGTACAGACACTGACCAGTAAGTTCAGGAAGAGGTGAGGTACAGACACTGACCAGTAAGTTCAGGAAGAGGTGAGGTACAGACACTGACCAGTAAGTTCAGGAAGAGGTGAGGTACAGACACTGACCAGTAAGTTCAGGAAGAGGTGAGGTACAGACACTGACCAGTAAGTTCAGGAAGAGGTGAGGTACAGACACTGACCAGTAAGTTCGGGAAGAGGTGAGGTACAGACACTGACCAGTAAGTTCAGGAAGAGGTGAGGTACAGACACTGACCAGTAAGTTCAGGAAGAGGTGAGGTACAGACACTGACCAGTAAGTTCAGGAAGAGGTGAGGTACAGACACTGACCAGTAAGTTCAGGAAGAGGTGAGGTACAGACACTGACCAGTAAGTTCGGGAAGAGGTGAGGTACAGACACTGACCAGTAAGTTCAGGAAGAGGTGAGGTACAGACACTGACCAGTAAGTTCAGGAAGAGGTGAGGTACAGACACTGACCAGTAAGTTCGGGAAGAGGTGAGGTACAGACACTGACCAGTAAGTTCAGGAAGAGGTGAGGTACAGACACTGACCAGTAAGTTCAGGAAGAGGTGAGGTACAGACACTGACCAGTAAGTTCAGGAAGAGGTGAGGTACAGACACTGACCAGTAAGTTCAGGAAGAGGTGAGGTACAGACACTGACCAGTAAGTTCAGGAAGAGGTGAGGTACAGACACTGACCAGTAAGTTCAGGAAGAGGTGAGGTACAGACACTGACCAGTAAGTTCAGGAAGAGGTGAGGTACAGACACTGACCAGTAAGTTCAGGAAGAGGTGAGGTACAGACACTGACCAGTAAGTTCAGGAAGAGGTGAGGTACAGACACTGACCAGTGTAGAGAAACATTACATGATTGCCCAGTAATTCCCAGATTAGGTTAGGCACTGATATATGATAGACAGAACCGATCATCTTGAGAAAGTAATCACACCAAGAAAAGCTCCTCTCATTTTAACTCTGATTTAACAAAAGAATAGTTTAAACGTGGAAAACATCGAAGTTTACCGATCAGATCCCTGATTTAAACTGGACAGAAAAAGCAGCATGCCTGAAGAATGTCATTTGGTTTGTTGATATTTGTTATGTGTAAATACATCTTAGAGATAGAAGAAATAGTTGCATGGTATGTGTCTTCTTTTAATCCAAATTGACTAAAAGACATTAACTAAAGTTGATAAATTGCCTTATCAAGCTAGAGCCATTGTTAGGTATGTAAAAAAATTTGACCACTGATTATCAACAATCTGAGAATACAATATACTATAATACATAGTCAAACCTGACTTAAAGGCTACCTGTATATATCACTACCTCTCTATAAAGACCACTTGTATACTGCAAATAACTGTCTAATAAGGTCACTAGTCTCAGATCTCAATGAAACAAATTATTGTAGTTGAACTTTTATATATAACAAATACCTGTCTAATAAGGCCACAAGTTTCAGATTCCAATGATACAAATTTTTGTAATTGAACCTCTATATAAAGGCCACCTGTCTGTTAATTACACATTTCTTGTTTCATAGAGTTAACTTTATAGAAAAGTTTTATTGTAATTGAATCAGCGTTTACTTCCATAATGTTTCATTCCATCACTAAGCATTGCAAACAGAAATAAATGATTTGTTGCTAACAGCATTATGTAAAAGCTCACCTGGTGTCTGATAAGCTTTACACAAAACCTGCTTATTCTGCTGACATCAATAGTCATCACTCTGTATACATGTGATGTTTGGGAGACGGTATTGCACACCAATGCTTAAACCACTGTTATCAGGCCACCTGTGATTGCTATAACTCGGTGCATTAACGGATATCAGAGCTTAGACTGGTGAAGATAAAAGTTGTTAATTAACATCTCTATGCTTGTTTGTAGTGATTTTTAGGGGAATAATGATAGAATATAGAAGTAATCTAAAAACTGTGTGAATGTTTGTTAACCTGGTGTGAATTGGATGATGCACAAGTAATTGTTCCTTGTGTGTTATAACTGATAATCATGTTTCCTTCCTCATGCTTCAAACCCAGGCTGCTGAGATGTTGGTAAGCATGCCTCGCAACTCTTCACATTTTCTTACTTTACTCTGCATGTTAAATCACAACAAGTTCCTCATTTTAAATCAGAAATGGGAAAAAACCTGTTTTTATCTTCTACATCATGTACAGAATAACATATTATCAGATGCTTGTATCTTAACACCTATGTACAAACTTCCTGTTTTATTTACAGGAAATTTGACATTAAAATTTTCAGTGTAATATTATCAAGAAAATTTAGATTTGAAGGAAACAGATTTTTTAATGAAGTTGTTTTGCATGGTCTTTGATGAATTAATACAAATACACACATTATTTTGATCTCCATTTAATTCGTACCACATTGGTCATCACAGTAATTAGGACCTGTTCTAAATTCACGGTGACTGACACGGTCACAATCATGCAAACCTTGTGAAATCTACTTCTCATGAGTTTTATCAAGGCAAGATTTTGATTTTAAAACTTGGAAAAGTCAGATTTGTAATCAGATGGAAACAAGAACCATATTCTAAATTGTAAACAAAATGTCTGTCACCAGCAGCGCTCTAGGTTCTCCTGGATTTTTTTTTTTTTTTTTTTTTTTAGAAATTTTTTATTACATAGTGATGTATCCAGGTTATTTCTTTTTGCTTTTAGTTTTTCTTTATGTATAGAATAGAATTTAGTAGTACTTTACTAATCCAGTTGAGGTTTATTGTACTTGCCACTTTGTCACATTTCTAGGTATATGTGCTGGTGTCATAGAAATCCTAACATCACATCAGTCACATTACTAGGTATATGTGCTGGTGCCATAGAAATCCTAACATCACATCAGTTATCTTTCTTAATTTTGAAGATTATTTACCTTAAAGGCAAAAATATCAAAAAGACTTTTATGTAATTAATTCCATTGGACACAAAATAGGAATGAAACTCTGTACTTGAAGATGAAAACACTATGTGCATTTATGAATTACAATTTTGAGTCAATTAGGCATGTACATGGAATTGATAGCTGTTTATGTTGAGTTTGGTAATTAGGGCCTTGCATCGAGATGAGGGTGTCCTATCGTGATCAGCTTGTCCCTCTATTTGTTTAGCTTTCCACACAATAACTTGTGTATTTGCTGGATTCTCGTTGAATTTTGTATGTGGCATTATATTGATGAGACCTCGCATGGGTTCAAAAACCAGAGTTATGGAACTTTGAATGATGAAAATTGACTGTTTTATTACATTCTGCACAATAACTTGCATATTTGTAGTTGGATGTTCTGAAACTTCATATGTCGGTATATATCAATTAGACATCACAGTAGTTTTTTTACCCAATGTAATCCATCAATATTTGCAAGAGTTGTGGGACTTAGAATGATCAAAATATACTGTTTATTACTTTCAGCTTACTGGGTATTTGGTGTCAGATTTTCACCAAATTTGGTTTGTGGGATTATGAATACAAGACACCACATGTATTGAATAAGCATTGGGATCTATGTATATCTACAAGAGCTATAAGAGTTACAAGACTTTGAACACTGGTACAAAGGATCATCATGACATCCCTCACAAGTTTTTCATGTGGATTTGAAAATCCAAAATGGCTGCTGTAGCTTCTGATTGGCTGAGACATTTTTTACTTCTTCTCAAGAACGTTTGGTTCAATTAACTTTTGATTATATATGAATGATCCCTATGAAGTCCTGTGAAGATCAGATAACCCAAAATGGCCACTGTGTCTTGTGATTGGCCAAGACATTTAAAAAAAGTTTTAAAGAATGGATGATGTAATGGGTTCTTAACTTGGTATTAAATTATCCTAATTACATCAGGACCATGCAGTGCTTATAGGGGTGACCCTGCCTTGACATTGGTCTACGTTATTGTATTAAAAAAAAATTATTAAAAAACAACATATAATTAATTATCCTACGCAGAAATTACCCTACATAGAGAAGAATATATGAGCACGCCGTCATTTAGAGAATGTAGCAGGGAGGATATAGACTTAATTACCAGAAATATTTATGAAAGTGCAAAAAAAAAAAAAGTAAAGAATGGTAATCTTTTAATAATGGTCACATGATTATAGTGAGAATGATATTACAACCTTAATTAACTTCTGTGTATGTAAGTGTGTAACATTTCTGTTTGTTTTGTGTACTTGTACCTGATTGATTATAACTAGCATTACCTGTAGATGCATTTTGTGTTTGATATATTTCAAATCTAGTAATCCTAAGCACACTGTTCAATATGATTTCCATAGACTTTAACCCTGTGTGACCAACCAGTATGATCCAAGATCATTTTTTTATGATTAATTCTATTTCGTAATAAGATGTACTGTCATGTTTTAGTAGAATTAATTTCTTTTAGTGTTATTAGCATTACTGTGCACTTATTGTAAACATCATAAAAATACAATCATTATGCTGCACTTTTAACCTGAAATATACATTTTTCTTTGCATGCTGCATCAAATCATTGTAAAAGTTTGGCCAATTTTCTTTCTTTGAATATTCTCATTCATTATGCATGTGACACATAGACTTGTTTGTATCTGTAGATCAATTTTTAAGAGCTGTCAAAAGTATATAGATATCAAGAAGGTACTTTTTATCTGGTTTCTTGTTTCCTCCATCAATTCCTTCTTTGTAGGTGTAATGAAAGTTACTAACAGTTTTCTGGAATACTGTCCTCTGCCTTAATAGTTGCCTTTACATCTGTTGGCTTCTGATGTCGTGCTTTATGATAAAGATGAAATAAAATCTGATGCTGTTTGACTGAAACAAAGTGTTTTTGAAATATAATATTATCTATCTTGCATTGAAATATGATATGTATCATTATTATGTTTTTGATAGAAACCCGTAAATCAGACAGGGGCCAGTAAGGGATGTACTCGGGAGGGATATCTCTATCTTATGGAGAAAAGTAAGTACAGATACACTTTTTAAGGATTTATACAAAGTTTTCATTCTGTTTAAATTTCATGTGAAATTATACATCATATTGGTAAATTTTCATATTGATGAATCTGTGCTGGATGAAAGTTTATTATCAGCAAAATATAATTTTCTCACACATCACTGATATTTTGTATACTTTTTCTTTCTTTACTGATCATTGTCATGGCAAAGTATCACCTCAATGAATTAATTTCTGAGAGGGATATTTCAGTTGTTATACCATTTAAGTAAAATAAATGAAGTCACAAGTCTGACCGGCCAGTTGTTCCAAGGCTGTTATATATGACCATTTCTTAGTTCGGTAACTACAGAGGTCTAATTTAAAAGTAGATGATATTGAAATTAGTCGTACAATTAACTGATCTCTGTTTAAATAATTTACTGTCTGCATCTACAGAAGCACTGGGTGTATCCTGGATAAAACATTACTGCTGGTACAAGAAGGAGAACAAAGAGTTCCATATGATGCCGTATAACCAGGTGGCTGGTAAATTGGTGAGTGTGTTCACACTTGTAATCATTCAGGTTCATTTTTCTGCTTGTAAACAAATTTTGATTTACTCAATTCACAAGTTTAGTTTGAAAGCACATCAAACAAGTTAAATTTGTATAACAATAAAATTTCTCTGCAAAATTTACCAAACTTTACAGTTAAATCCCACAAATTGTTGTGTAAAGTTGCTGTAATATATTGTAATACAGAACATGATATTGCAATATATTGTCACTTGACCAATGTCGCAACATATTGACTGTTCGATGTTATTGTCCACCCCTAATCATTAGTAGTCTAAAATTGATGATATGGTGGTTTTGTTTGTTATTTTTTAGCAAAATATTCCATGTTTTGAATCTAACTTTTCCACACCAAAACTCACCTTTCTAAGTTTTTGATAAGATTCCAAGACCATATGTACACATTCAAACTATTTGTCTTGTAGATAAAGACTGTTAAAGCTGTTTTAAAGAGAATGAAACTAATATGCATATTTTAAATCAAATCAGAAAAGGCTAAGTTCTTTGGTATGTGAAATTGTGAGAAAAAGAGCATGATTGAATTAATAAGTGTTGTTTGTTTTACAGATCCAGTCAACTACTGAAAAACTAATATTGAAATCTTGTGTGAGGCGACCTTCACAATCAATAGACAAACGGTTCTGTTTTGATCTTACTGTGATGCTCCCAGACAGCAGGTATTTAGATCTATAGGCCATTCATTCATTTCTTTATTCCTCCAAAATTGAAGAGTTACAAATGAAGATACATGTAATTACATATTATTACACAAAGTATTTAGAAATATAATGAACAAAGAGAAAGACACAGAGAAAAGATAATGAAGTGATAATTACAAAGACATAAAATTAATGATGATCAAAGGCTAGTTAGATGTAAGTAAAGAGGCATTTTCGGCAAAAATACAACAATCTTTTGCAAATGATGCAAGAAGATAATCAGTGTTCTGAAAGAAGTCTGCTACGACAGCTGGACTTCCAAGAATAGTTGCAATTTGAACCTCTCTACACGAGTTAACTAGCGTAACATAGACATTCATCGGGTAGGCGTTGACTATTTTGGTGAAAAATTTCTTTTATAACAATGTTTTTATTTACTTGTTTTTTTAGGAACATGTTTTTTGTTCTCTTGTCTTTCACCAAAAACAATTGATATTGTCTTTTATGTAATTCAAAACAAATTGTTTCATGTCTGTGCATTTTTAATTGTTTCTTCTACAAAAATATTTTAAATCTTATTCAACACTTATTCAATACTTTTTTCAAACTTTTTACAGACAAGATCAGATCACGTTTCAGTCGCCGTCCGACCAGGACAGGAAACTATGGATGGATGTAATGGATGGCAAGGAACCGGTATGTTTGTCATATTACGTGTTATGACTATTCAAAGGGCATGATAGTACCAGTTTTCTACTCAGAATTTGTCTGTAGAACACTGTTATAAAACTTTGTTTAGTTTCTGTACTTCAGAATTCTTACCATAGTCAGACTTAATGTGGGATAATATTTTAAGTTAGGAGTTATATATAGACATAGTTGCCTGATCTCTAGTATTAGCTTAGATTTTTTGGTTCGTCTACCATATTCTTCCAACCAGAGGTGAAATCTTTTTGAATGAAATGGAGACTGCATATTCCCTTCTTTATGAAATGAGTTTAATGTACATTTTAATATCATTTATGAGAAAATAGGATCACAAAGTGAAAAAAGAACAAGTTAAGGTATTTCTGTCTGTAATGCTGTACTGTACAATGTATGCCATGATTTTAACTGTATCTGAGAATATATATATACACTTACACGTTAATCCTGCTAGTTTCAGATCTACCATTACTAATATCTAGAAAGTTTGCATACTGCATATGTTCATGCATTGAGGAATTCGAAGTGATACTAAATATCACTTTTTGTTCAATTGTCTAAGTTAAGGATAAACATAGGTTTTGTGTTATTGCGATTAAGTTCTTGCTTTCACATAAGCCCATGGCCAGATGTGCTGTACAATCGTTTCATTTAACTATTGTAATTAAAAGATTTTTTTTTTAAAGATAATTTTGTTCTAAATATTTTTCTCCTGATGTTTTCTGATTAAACACTAGATATACACAACAAGTTTTCCTACTGCAGGAGGATTATCCACCTTCTATAGTGTAAGGTTTTACCCTCATTATATGAGGTCAAAGTCACAAATTAGCTCTAGACTAATATCATAGTATAACGCTGGCAAAGTCCTACATAGGATGCTTTCTTATAGTATACAGGATGGGTATAGGTGAAACCGTTTATTTTGAAGAAGTCTTCAGGTAGTATTAAGATTGTAGATAAAGTTATCACTTTCTGGCTCTAGTATGTAAGGAGAGGGGGGCTATCTTTAAAACATGAGAGGAAAGAAATTGAGAGAAGTATTCAGGTAAACTGTATTATAATGTTATAAGTGTTGGATTTTGGCCTTCATATACAATCAGTATTAAGGCAGTGTCGGAGGCAGAAAGGGTTATAGCTCTATTTGTAACAGCTATAATTTCTCCTCTGATATCAGTATAATAAGAAGTTGACAATGAAATACTAGCACTATCTCAAGTGACGAAATTTTACAGCTTATATAATGTGAAATTCGAAAGAAAGGATGTAACATAGTTGCCATACAGCAATATAAACAGATATTCATCTACTGCCTGCTTTCTACTATGTGTGAAAACTTTTAAACTCTGCCCACTTTATATTCATTATATATGAGGGCTGATCGTTAAGTTGTGAGCCTTGTATTGATGAAGTTGAGCAGGGATGTCCTTTTTAAGCTCTTCTATTCCTTGACTATTTAAGGATGTATACCCTAAGACTGGTGTCATTTGGTCAGTTTATGTCACAAAGGTAGCACTTTAAAATAAACAAGGCATGTGACTATTGCAAAATAGAAAAAAATCACTGAAAGAGCCTTAATTTAATATTTGCATAAGAAAGGTCGAGCACCTAAGAATATCCATACTGATATGGTAGCAACACTAGGGAATGATGCCCTTTCATATGCTACAGTGGAAAGGTGGATGGCAGAATTTAAGCATGGCAGGCAGAGCCTTGGGGATGACACCTGTCCTGGAAGGCATATCACTGTTGCAACCCCAGAAATGGTCAATAAAGTCCATGATATTGTTTTGGTTGACAAGCGAGTTACAGAGAGATATATAGCCGGTACAGTTGGGATTTCATAGGAAAGAGTACATTCCATTCTTACGGAAGATCTTTCAATGAGAAAGCTCCAAGCCCGTAGGGCACTAAAACTTCTGACAGTTGATCAGAAGCACACCAGGCGGACTTTGTTTGCCATTAACGGTTGTTGCTTTGAATTGGTTTAGTATCTGCCTTTTTAGCCTGATTCCACTCCATCAGACTTTCATCTATTTCCAAAATTGAAAAAGGCCATTTCTGGTACCAACTTTCAGTCAGATAATGACCCTTAAGCCCTCAACAATGAGGCTCACAACTCATTAGTCAGCCCTCGTAACTCCCTATTTCTGACTGCTACTTGCTCAGTATAAACATTTCTAAATTCTGGCTACTTTTTATCAGAACAGTAACTAATATTGAAGCTACTCTACTTGCTCAGTATAAACATTTCTAAATTCTGACAACTTTTTATCAGAACAGTAACTAATATTGAAGCTGATAATCAGGTATGCTGTGTTTATTACCAATCAGTGCCTTTGTATATTCAACAAATATGGATAATTATCAAATTGCAACGTTCCACTCATCTGATACTAAATTAATACAAGTTTCTATATATAGCTGTACATAAGAAAGTGAAGTTTAATGTTACTGCTGCATACAAAGGCAGCTTTTATAAAACCACGAATTTAAGTAATTAGAGTAAAAATACAACATAAACAGCTGATCAAATGGACACGTAGGGGTCTGACAAAAATTACAGTTGTTATTGAAATGATTTTCAGTCATGCAAAACAACTAGAAATTGTTTTCTTAATATTCAAGTTACACACTGATCACAAATTTATTTAAGTTTTGCTTTTTCATTACAGTTAGCATTGTTTAAACTTAATGTGGATTCTACCTTAAATCTCTGTCTATCATTTTTTCATATCAAATAGTTAAGTCTCATTTACTATTATATCTACATTTGCTAGTCTGTATTTCTTGTTGAACGCTATTCTGCTGTGTTATTTTTAGACCTTACAAACGTATGTGGGCTTAGGGTTTCTTTAACTTCGCTTTCTTTAAGTGTGACTTAAATTTCATTCTTCAAGTTATTTTGCTTATTCATTAGCAAACTCTGATAAATTCAAGGTTTGTGTCCCATGCACAATAGAAATAATTGAAAATTACAATAAGATTTTTTATCCTAACCTAAACCAGCTTTTTTCCACTTTTACTGATATGATTACAAATAAAAAATCTCTGTTTCTCATTCAGTAATGTTGAAGTTTTGAAAAAGTAAGACGAATATCTTAAAAAAAAAAAAATGTGGTTTAATGTTATTTGTTAATTAGAACTGTTTGTTAATAAAACAAACTTTTTAAGGGCCGTTTAAATCAGGGAATGAATTAACAAATTTACTGTATTGAGGTTAGGTTTTGAGATTTAATCATACTTTTTCAGTTGTTTTACTAACAAACTTATTTTTGTTTCTTGCAGGTTTATAATGCACCAAAGAGTAACTCGGATGATTGTAAGTGTATTGAATTACTTTTTTGTCGGAAAGTTTGCCCCATTTTAGCTTTTAAGTAAAGAGGAATATTTTTTCTTAGTTCAGTACAATAAATGTTTTATAAAACTTTGTACTGGTGCAAGTGTGGTATGCGTTTTGAGGTCATGTGAACTTAATTGCCTTTGGTCTTCAAGAATCTTCCGAAAACTAGTCAAGTTAGTTTGGACTGCCCATGGGTGGAACCATGATACTTAAATCAATGGCATCAGAGTTGATAAAATTTAATTCCTGAGGGGGTAAATTGGCAGGGCCAGAAAGAGTTCAGTTTGTACAATTTTTGAAAATCTTCCATAGCATAATACAGTACTCTCATACACTAGATTTGATATAGATTACCAAGCAACACAGAAAAGGTAATTGGCTAGAGTTTAAAAATTAAAATATATCTTGGATTATTATTTTGGTGTAATAATCTTCACTGATTTAGAAGCATCAGAATCAATGCTTTAACAGAACTGTATATTACATTTCAACTAGATTCATCATTTGTTCTATGTAAAAAATAAAGATTGATTGAAACCAAGTATTTGTGAAACTTAACAGGAAATTTCCGTTTGAAATTCAAGATGGCCGTCACAACCACTAATTTGAAAACATATTTTTTTGATAGTTAGCTACGGACGCTGTTATGTAAACTGCCTCCTGATAGACCATTATGGCCTGTGGAATTCTGATGTATTTTTGTTTATCTTATCATAGTACTTCGGTGGCATTTGAATTTTAATATTGTTATTGACTTTAAATTATATTAATAATTGATAGTTAAGACAAAAACTTCAGGGATATGTGTATGTATAATATGTATGTATCTAATTGCAGCCTCCTTGGATGAAATAGGATTTGGTTTTATAGAAAGATGTATCAAATGTGTTGAAGAAAGAGGTTGGTTTCCTTTAATATTTTCTATAGTTTGAGATATAAATGTACTCAATATTCATCTCAGAATTATCATGTAAAAGTTTTACTGATTGACATACAACATGATGTCACAATATTTAGAGATGTTAAGGCATGTTTTAAAATTTCTACAGATCAGTTCAGTTGTCATTCTTAAGTTGGAAAGTATGATATTCAATTTCAAATGAGTTGATGAGGAAGACTTGCAAGCATGTTATCATTTCAAAACTGTCCATAATTAGAAGTGACATGGTTATATGTCATTGTTTGGCGATGGAAAGGAACAGAATGACCTAATCAGTCATCGACATTTAACCTTATAGGTGTTGTAGGGAGGTAAATGTAAAATAGACCAGAACAAAGTAAATTGCTATGGTAGTTTCATACCAGTCTCTTGTTACAAATATTGTGTGTTACAATGTCTGTTCTTTTTCAGGCTTGTTTGACCAGGGACTTTATCGTGTTGTGGGTGTGAGCTCTAAGGTCAGCAAACTCATAACACTAGGGCTGGGTAAGTTACCTCTCTTGCCAAGTAACATCAAATGCCATGCTGTAAAGGTAGTAAATTTAGAACTCAATGACTGGACAGATTACCTCCCTTATTAAGTTATTTATAAAGGCATGCTGTATAAATGAAAAACTCATAACTGTAGTGGTTTTTAAGTTATCTCCCTTTCTTCAATTATATCTTATATCGTTCTGTATAGATACCAGACTCATACTTCTATGGCTAGGTAAATTATCTCCCCTACTTTTTATATTTTATATTTAATGGTATTCTGTATAGATATTGTACTCATAAATGAAGAGCAAGTTAAGTTATCATTCCTTAAATTTTAATTTCAAGGGCTGGTGAGTTATCTCCCCTTCCTGGTTATAGCTAATGTCCTGATGTATGGTTCATAACTTTAGGGCTGAGTAAGTTATATCTCCTACCTAGTGACATCTAATGTCATATTGTATAGCTCACAACTTTAGAGCTGGGTGAATTATCTCCCCTTCCTAGTAATATCTAATGCCATGCTGTATAGGACAGGTGAGTTATTTCCCCTTCTGAGTAATATTTAATAACATACTGTATACATGTCATTTGACAAGGTGATGGCAATCATATAATTGTAACATATTTGTTGGATAAGAGACATTCATGTTAGCTGTCATAATTAGCCTTTAAGCATATACCTGATTATAGATATAAATTTATTGGTATGTCATGTGACTACGAGATAAAGTTTTTATTAATTGGTGTTATCATTAATTGCTAGTTTCCTTCAAAAACAAGAAAGTGTGTAAATCCTTTTAATCTTAATACATTTCATGGTATGGTTTTGTTTGTCCCCCTTAGAGCATGTCAAGATGTTTGATCAATTTACTAACATCCAGTGCATTCTGATTTCTATGAATAGAGCTTGTGGTTTTGCTTCCGTTTACAATACATTATATAACATACAGAGATGTATCAATTAAAATCATGCATCAGTATACAAGGGTCTCAGCTAGATATTCTAGTAATGTACATGATTCTGACATGTAACATCCATAGTGTTAGGAACTTTGTGATAGTTACTGAAGAAAAGTGTTTTTGAAAACATTGCTTTAGAAAATGACCTGAGATACTGATGCTATGATATTAGAAGCTATGGTTGTTATATCCAATGCATGCTTTGATTCTTTGTGACAGATCCCAAGAAAAAGGATAAGATAAATATAGATGACCCTTCCCAGTTTGAAATCAAGACTGTAACAAGTGCTGTGAAACATTATCTTAGGTATGTATATATCTAACCTGCTAACCTCCAACCTTTGACCTTTCCTCCTCAGTGTATCCATTCCCCTCACTCGTTGTTCAAATACCTGAGTAAAACTTAGTACTCAAACTACTGTATATCAATAATATTTTATGTGGGACTTACTTTCATCTTAATAAGCAAATTCAAATCTTTTGCGATTATTTTTACAAATATTACTGTGGATGGCATTCAAGTTGATTTGGTTATCGATATTGACGTCTTAAGAGTCCTGTTCTCTAATTACTCATTATTTCAGTATTCAGGAAATTATGTATTCACAAATGTGTCTGAAAAGGTAAGTTAACTGAATAAAAGTAGGCGTGAAATTTAAGTGATTGATAATATGAAGAGAACTGAGGGAATTATCACTGTTAGAGGGTTTGGTACTGAGGGCTTCAGTTGTCATGGAATTCGGTATTACATGTATCACAGGCATCTCTTAAAGAGGTCGTTGAATTTTATTTTTCTAGAGTTCTGACCCTCTAATATTAAATTCAGTTGCTCTGAAAAAACAAGCAGCAAATATAATTGATTGTTTGAAATGAACCTGTACCTTTTATGGTATTTGATATCTGCAGTTAATGTACAAGTAACTGAATAGAAAACATGTATAGATATCCGTTTTATTGGGAGGGCTTGTTATTTGTCATTTAACAGTGTACTGTGCTTTAGTTTTCATTGATACCCCTGTCTGCTTCTCAATACACACTAACAAATAATGGTTTTTATTGGTATTCATCCTTTTGTCTGCCTGTTCTATAACATCAGTTAGATCTACTATTAGTAACAAAAACAATTATTATGTCTAGTCATGATGTCGCCTCTGATCAGTTATTATGTCTAGTCATGATGTCACTTTTGATCAGTTGTTATGTCTAGTCATGATGTCACCTCTGATCAGTTGTGATGTCTAGTCATGATGTCACCTCAGATCAGTTATTATGTCTAGTCATGATGTCACCTCAGATCAGTTATTATGTCTAGTCATGATGTCACCACTGATCAGTTATTATGTCTAGTCATGATGTCACCTCTGATCAGTTATTATGTCTAGTCATGATGTCACCTCTGATCAGTTGTGATGTCTAGTCATGATGTCACCTCAGATCAGTTATTATGTCTAGTCATGATATCACCTCAGATCAGTTATTATGTCTAGTCATGATGTCACCACTGATCAGTTATTATGTCTAGTCATGATGTCACTTTTGATCAGTTGTTATGTCTAGTCATGATGTCACCTCTGATCAGTTGTGATGTCTAGTCATGATGTCACCTCAGATCAGTTATTATGTCTAGTCATGATATCACCTCTGATCAGTTATTATGTCTAGTCATGATGTCACCTCTGATCAGTTATTATGTCTAGTCATGATGTCACCTCTGATCAGTTGTGATGTCTAGTCATGATGTCACCTCAGATCAGTTATTATGTCTAGTCATGATATCACCTCTGATCAGTTATTATGTCTAGTCATGATGTCACCACTGATCAGTTATTATGCCTAGTCATGATGTCACCTCTGATCAGTTCTTATGTCTAGTCATGATGTCACCTCTGATCAGTTGTGATGTCTAGTCATGATGTCACCTCAGATCAGTTATTATGTCTAGCCATGATGTCACCTCTGATCAGTTATTATGTCTAGTCATGATGTCACCTCTGATCAGTTATTATATCTAGTCATGATGTCACCTCTGATCAGTTGTGATGTCTAGTCATGATGTCACCTCAGATCAGTTATTATGTCTAGTCATGATATCACCTCTGATCAGTTATTATGTCTAGTCATGATGTCACCACTGATCAGTTATTATGTCTAGTCATGATGTCACTTTTGATCAGTTGTTATGTCTAGTCATGATGTCACCTCTGATCTGTTGTGATGTCTAGTCATGATGTCACCTCAGATCAGTTATTATGTCTAGTCATGATATCACCTCTGATCAGTTATTATGTCTAGTCATGATGTCACCACTGATCAGCTATTATGTCTAGTCATGATGTCACGTCTGATCAGTTATTATGTCTAGTCATGATGTCACCTCTGATCAGTTGTGATGTCTAGTCATGATGTCACCTCAGATCAGTTATTATGTCTAGTCATGATGTCACCACTGATCAGTTATTATGTCTAGTCATGATGTCACCTCTGATCAGTTGTTATATATAGTCATGATGTCACCTCAGATCAGTTATTATGTCTAGTCATGATGTCACCTCTGATCAGTTATTATGCCTAGTCATGATGTCACCACTGATCATTTATTATGTCTAGTCATGATGTCACCTCAGATCAGTTATTATGTCTAGTCATGATGTCACCTCTGATCATTTATTATGTCTAGTCATGATGTCACCACTGATCAGCTATTATGTCTAGTCATGATGTCACGTCTGATCAGTTATTATGTCTAGTCATGATGTCACCTCTGATCAGTTGTGATGTCTAGTCATGATGTCACCTCAGATCAGTTATTATGTCTAGTCATGATGTCACCACTGATCAGTTATTATGTCTAGTCATGATGTCACCTCTGATCAGTTGTTATATATAGTCATGATGTCACCTCAGATCAGTTATTATGTCTAGTCATGATGTCACCTCTGATCAGTTATTATGCCTAGTCATGATGTCACCACTGATCATTTATTATGTCTAGTCATGATGTCACCTCAGATCAGTTATTATGTCTAGTCATGATGTCACCTCTGATCATTTATTATGTCTAGTCATGATGTCACCACTGATCAGTTATTATGTCTAGTCATGATGTCACCTCTGATCAGTTATTATGTCTAGTCATGATGTCACCTCTGATCAGTTGTTATATATAGTCATGATGTCACCTCAGATCAGTTATTATGTCTAGTCATGATGTCACCTCTGATCAGTTATTATGCCTAGTCATGATGTCACCTCAGATCAGTTATTATGTCTAGTCATGATGTCACCTCAGATCAGTTATGATGTCTAGTCATGATGTCACCTCAGATCAGTTATTATGTCTAGTCATGATGTCACCTCTGATCAGTTATTATGTCTAGTCATGATGTCACCTCAGATCAGTTATTATGCCTAGTCATGATGTCACTTCAGATAAATTATTAGGTATAATCATGATGTCATGTCAGATCAGTTATGTGAAAATATCCCCCATTGTGGTGTTTCCTGTTGGTGATGTGATGTCGCAAGTGCTTTATTCTATTCTAAGCTCAGATTTAAGCTGTGTTATATAAACTTAAGTATGACAGCAAACATTGCACATTTTAAACTAATGACAAAAACTTTTACTCTTGCACAAACCAATTACGATAGAGATATTTATGAATACAAATATTTGGGTTGGTAAGCTCCATCTAGAAACGATGCAATACAAGGCTTAGCATTAATATTATGGTTTGTGACAGAAAAACATTAATAATGTACTTTCTTTATTTTAACTTTGTATAATTTTTCAGATGGAAATGAGACAGTAATTTAGAATCGCCAAATTTTCTTTTCTCTTATTGTTAGCTGTTATTTTCAGACATCATTAATATTTCAGCTACAGTGAATATAGTGTGTGACCTGATATATAATTAATTATATCATTTTACCATTAACAGGTCATTACCAGAACCGCTGATGACATTTAAATTTCACTCGGACTTCATAGCTGCTGCCAGTAAGTATATAAAACTGTTATATAATGCTTTTGTCAGTTTAGATTTTATGGAAAATATTGTACAATACAAGGTTTAGTGTTGGTTTGGGACTGTAAAACAAACACATATTATCAGTTTATTCCAACAAGCTTTTTATTAGAAAACATAGTGAAAAATGACATCCCAGTTTTACTTGTATTAAGGCATAGTGATATTAATGAAATAATAGTTTATTGGCTTTTTGTTAGCCAGGAATGGTGTACAGAATGTGTACAACTAGACATTGGGAAAGTATGTGGAAATATCTGATTTGTCTCGGTTTGAGTGTACCTGATTAAAGTGAAACAAGTACCGCGTATGTTGTTTGGCTAAAGCTTTTGTGCTATTATGTAATATTTACATAGTAGCCAAGCATTTTCATACTGAATTTGCTGCAAACTAATATGTACTTTTACAACATAGAATTATTCACTAAGACAATTATTTGATAAAAAATGAAAAATACAACATTTTATATTGGATTCTATTTTTTTTTCTATAATATAAACTAGACGTGGTGTAATAGCATGAGTTGTATATATTTTTTTTTCAGAACAAGAATCCAAGACACTGCGTATACATGACATTCACACTCTAGTTCACAAACTACCAGAGCCTAACTTTGAAATGTTGGAGTTATTGATAAGACACTTGAGAAAGTAAGTGTTGTAACAATATTTCTGATACATTCACAAAAGTCACTTCTTTCCACACATTTATCTGAATGGTAAATTTAGAATGTAGCTACAAAATTTTAATTATCACTGGTGCTTCCACAAGAATTAAACTGATGGCAGTCGGTGCCAGCTAAAGCTTATCTCGACATAACCTTTGTTTTACAATAATTAATTATATCGCATGAAATCTTAATCAGTTATCCAAAAATTCAGGTTTTTGCAAATGAAAATTTAGAGCCAGAGCTAGCCCTGTTTAGGAGTGATATTCTTTCAGACAAATCAATTCAATTGTCACTTCAAATCTAAGGCTTTCTCAGAAGAAATGTGGCTTATATTTCTTCTAGGTAGCAATAATGATCACCATTTATTTGGTAAGAGAGTGTATGAAATGTCACAGGAGGTCAATATTACATGTTTAAGTGTTTATAACTCTGTCTGTCCCTCTGTTGCCAGTGTTTCCGAGCAAAGTGATAAGAACCTGATGACAGTCGCAAACCTCGGTGTGTGCTTCGGTCCAACGCTGATGAGATCGGAGGAGGAGTCAGTCGCTGCCATCATGGACATCAAGTTCCTCAACATTGTTGTGGAAATACTCATACTACATTATGACAAAGTAATGGATTCCATACTTGATCTTGTAAATGTCATCAAATCTAATCACTTACAGAAATGGAGATTGAGTGGTCACGCTGTTTCAGTGTAATGTTTGACAGAGAAGGGAGCAAACGTGCATTATATTTAATATAATTAGATATTAGAGTAATCATTAATAGTATCTCTAGTCATTCTTCTTACACATTCATATTATCATAAAGTTAATTGCTTTTAATTATCAGCAATATTAATGACTATTGACGCTCTCAGCAAAATTATGTAAATAAGATTATTATTTTAAAATTTTAAATGCTTTTGAAATTAAATGCAAACTTTTGTTATATTACATTGAATAGTAGAAATGAGTGTACTTCATCAGATTGGTGTGTTTCTGTGTATTGTAGATATTTAAAACGGCCCCCGAGGGTGCTGACATTAGTGAGATTCGTGTGCCGCCATCTTCTACAGCCATGCTGACAGAGAGACGTGAACCGAGCAGCAAGTTTGTACCACTCAATGATCACATGATGATGGCCAGTCCTGGCTCAGGACATGTTTCCCACGCCCCACAACCTATTTATGCAAATAAAGCACCACGTGCCCCTCCTCAAAGTTACCAGGCAAGCAAAGCAAAACTGCGTGGAGTGGAGGTGTACAACCCCCAAACAGGAGGTACATGAACAGTGTGTTCAGAATTTGTCTAAATTTTCTATGAAATTTCAGTATTGTCTTTAAGGGTTATATAGAAGATAGTGGTAACGCTTACCTATTTAGCTGAATAGTATACATGTGCTTTAGAGTAGATACTAATTTGTTAATTTGTAAATGTTGTTTCCTTTGAATTAAAATTTGTGTTTGAAGAAACACCCTACATGTAATTCAGAAGACTATGGGGATAAAAACCCATTTTAACAGTTTTGAAAAGTTGTTGGTGTCGTCCTGTTATTTCTTTAGGTTTTGAAATGGCGACAGGGAGCAGTACCAGTGGGAGTTCTGAATCACTAAACTCCAGTCACTCTAACCACGTCTCCAAGAATACCTCATCTCCTCCAATCAACAGCCAGCGCAAGGGTCCTGCTCCTCAGGTCCCTGGTCCAACCTATAGCAATGTCAACGCTCTAGGTAAACCCACACAGGATAAGTACATCAGTGTGTATATATATCCTGTTGTGTATATTATATAATTTGGTATTAGGTTGTAGCTTGTACACTCAGCATTATTACTAAGTAATAACTTGTTTTAATGTAATTAATGTTTTGATGTTTGACTGCATAAACCATTGAACCCACATCTCAAGTTAGCAGTTTGTTAAACATAAATTCAAAGTTCAAAGTCTTGTAGCCATTTATATAAGACTGAGGTAAAATTTTATAAACGTTATAGTGACTGTTTGTCACACTAATGTGATTTCTAATAGTTGTCAACTGTATTTCACCTACAAATATTCAGAACTTATTTATACATGAATAATATGTTAAAAACTTTCCTCTTTCTTCAGCCAACAGATTTAACTTACATATGACAGGGTCGGATGTGCCCACATTGTAAGTATGGACCAACACTCTGTTGATCCTTTCTCTTTCTTATGGTTAATGTACATAAAAATCAACAAACACCACAATTTTATTTTACTGTTGAAATTGTTACGTTAAATTGGTGTTGATGTCCTGTAAGTCATATTGTACTCCATACATTTATATGTACTAAGTATGTGCTATTATGAAAAACAGTGTTGGAATTGATGATTTCTGAATCCACACAAAGACCTGAAGCTGATGATAAATTATTGTGTAGGACTATTGATGTCATTCTTATTTTATTTCTTGGGACCTTGAAATATTTTTTTTTTGAATAAACTAATGCAAGTAATACTTTTGTGTGTAGATTTTCAGATGATTTGATAATTTTACTTCATGAACTTATATCTTAATGCTTTGTCATAATTTTGCTTCTTAAAAATCATAACACAAACAAAAACATCAAATGCTGTTGGTCAATATGAATGGTACATGGCAGAGAGTTTAAGGTTGACATTGGATATTTTCTGCTATAAAGTGTTGGTACATGTTGTCAGGGAACAGATGTACCTTTCGTGGTAGGATTATTGCACTAGCTAACATTGTAGTATAGGTATAGAGTCTGGTGTAGGCTGCACAATGTCACTAACGCTTAGTGAAAGCTTCTAGTGGGGAAACTCAGCTAGGCCTTTATAGCACTGAGGAACATGTTTAGGTGTCTCAGTCTTATCGGCATTAAGAATCTCTGTTTGAAACACAAGAAGATAACCAAAACCTTTATAGTTAGACAAGTATAGCTATCATATATCACTTAATGTAGCATCAATGTAAGTATGGAAAGTATATTGATGGTTTCAGAATTTTAATTGTTAACTGATGAGGACCATCATTTTTTCCCACAACCACTACTAATATCACTGTTATCTTTTACACAAGACAGGAAATTGTCATGCATTTTTCAGAAATAGATTTGTCCTTCTTTCATCCAATCAAGTCACTTTATGAAAAAATTTGACATCTCTTACTGCAAAATATAACTTCATCTATCGACCAGGTAATTTGTCTTTCTAACGTGTAACCTCCAAGGGAGGTAATTTATATGAATTAAAGAACATCGGTATGTGTTTGAAAGTTTTATCTCAGTTTTGGCTGACGTTCAATTCTGTTACATCTTATTTGTGCCAAGACAAAGCTGAGCATTGATTTCTTATGGAATATTTGCTCTCATCAGAGATAAACATATCTTGAACACGTACAGGTAAAACAGATCTTGAACATGTACAGGTAAAATAGATATTGAACATGTACAGGTAAAACAGATCTTGAACATGTACAGGTAAAATAGATATTGAACATGTACAGGTAAAACAGATATTGAACACGTACAGGTAAAATAGATATTGAATATGTATAGGTAACAGGTTCTATTTTACTGTAAGTATGATGCTGTCTCTAACCAGATAATCTAACTTGTTAGATCTTTACTATAGACTGTAGAAATAGTCTCCTGTATTAGGATTTCAGTATTTCTTAATTCAAACTTGCATATTGAAATTTAAAGTTTTGAAACGTAAATTGAAAGATTTAAAAAGAAAATGAATTACAAATTAAAATTTTGAGAAAAAAAAAAAAACTTTCTCTTGTCTCTATCTTTAAGATGGTTTGTATTGTGTTTGAATTATTGTCTCTAAATTTATTTTTGTCATGTCACTGGGTTCTGGAATGTGTTTTGCTTGTTTTTGGTCTATCCCCTGTACTGGCTGATTTTGTAGAAAACCATACACATCACCTCACAATATGCAGGTTTGTGTGCACTGTGTTTATCTCAAGTAGACATCCCCATTATTTCCATGTCTGAAAAAGTTAGCACACATTCTTGTTTTTGAGAAATGTTTATTCAGATATATACTTTGTAATCAAGAAGAGCTCTTTATGTTAACTAATTTGCGAAGTCATGTAACAAAGTACTAGCCTTGCCAACAACTCCTGCACCCCTACTGACTGATATTGACTCACCCTAGAGTAGCATCAGAATTCTGTAAATATTATGTAACGTAGGGGTGGAGGGGTGACTTATCGGCACCTGTCTACCCTAATGAGTACCATGTCTCTGTAAAAACTCCTCACACTGTTATTTGACAAGAAAAGTCAAAGTATACAATGTATCGGAATTGTTTCTGCTTTGAATGAAAACTTTGCTTGAAACAGAATCAACACTTGGATAAGCAGTTTTGATAAGTTTGATGAAACCTTCAATTTTTTTCTGACTCTTACCCTAGATGAGTATTGCGAAAGTCCATTTTAACGTGTCAATTTCATGTCTAGATAAAATTGAAATGCAAAATTGAAAAAAGAGATATTTTTTTCTTAAAATAAAGACATCTAGTCCAAATGTATTACATTTTAAATTGATCAATTTTAGATTGGTTTCTAAGAAATGTTTTAACAGATTATGATGTTTGACTAAACAAAACACTCTTATGCTTGGATACATAAATGAAAGTTCTGATCAACATTTTACTGAACCAATTATACTTAAATGAAAATCAACAATACTGATTGATATAAATTTACAGAAAACTAGAAATAAGCCCAGGTCAAGAAAAAATTTTGGTAATGTGTTCATTAAATGGTACTGTGTGCTGCATGTCTTTTTGATTCTGAATAAGAGTGGATTTGGTACTCGAATGGTGGACAGATGTCCGGTCTGCTGTTTGCCTGCCCTTTATTGGATATGCTGCCTTATCCATGTTTTGCTTTTTTTACTTTAGCGGAAGCATCAAGAAAAGAGGTTCCAATGACTCCTCGTATTCCACTTCCATGTAAGCTTCTGGTACACAGAGTGATTCACTTAGGGAGTTACAGCAGGAAACAGTATAGAAATAAGGGAGTTACAGCAGGAAACAGTATAGAAATATAGGGAGTTACAGCAGGAAACAGTATAGAAATAAGGGAGTTACAGCAGGAAACAGTATAGAAATATAGGGAGTTACAGCAGGAAACAGTATAGAAGGTTCACTTAGGTCATATACACCAGGGCTCATTATAGAAATATAGGGATATAGGGAGAGTTCACTTAGGTCATATACACCAGCTCATTATAGAAATATAGTTACAGCAGTAAACAGTATAGAAGTTTCACTTAGGTCATATACACCAGGGTTCATTATAGAAATATAGGGAGTTACAGCAGGAAACAGTATAGAGATATAGGGAGTTACAGCAGGAAACAGTATAGAAGGTTCACTTAGGTCATATACACCAGGGCTCATTATAGAAATATAGGGAGTTACAGCAGGAAACAGTATAGAAGATTCACTTAGGTCATATACACCAGGGCTCATTATAGAAATATAGGGAGTTACAGCAGGAAACAGTATAGAAATAAGGGAGTTACAGCAGGAAACAGTATAGAAGGTTCACTCAGGTCATATACACCAGGGTTCATTATAGAAATATAGGGAGTTACAGCAGGAAGCGGTATAGAAGTTTCACTTAGGTCATATACACCAGGGCTCATTATAGAAATATATGGAGTTACAGCAGGAAACAGTATAGAAGGCTTCACTTAGGTCATATACACCAGGGCTCATTATAGAAATATAGGGAGTTACAGCAGGAAACAGTATAGAAGTTTCACTTAGGTCATATACACCAGGGCTCATTATAGAAATATATGGAGTTACAGCAGGAAACAGTATAGAAGTTTCACTTAGGTCATATACACCAGGGCTCATTATAGAAATATAGGGAGTTACAGCAGGAAACAGTATAGAAGTTTCACTTAGGTCATATACACCAGGGTTCATTATAGAAATATAGGGAGTTACAGCAGGAAACAGTATAGAAGCTTCACATAGGTCATATACTCCACGGTTCATTATAGAAATATAGGGAGTTACAGCAGGAAACAGTATAGAAGTTTCACTCAGGTCATATACACCAGGGTTCATTATAGAAATATAGGGAGTTACAGCAGGAAACGGTATAGAAGCTTCACATAGGTCATATACACCAGATTTTCAGTTCAGAAAAAAATAGATTTTTTGTATATGGAAATGTTAGGTGAAAAGGGGAAAAAACCCAGATTTTCCCTGTGGAAAGTTAAGTCAAAAGCAGTAAAATTCCTGAAGAGAAAGGTCAGGTCAGATTTAGGAGATTTTCAGAAGAGAAAGATCGGGTCAGGTTCAGCAGATAAGGTTAGGTCACAAACCACAGACTTTCATTACAGAAAGGTTCGGTTAAAAACAAAAAGCTTAATGTCAGAAGCAGAAGCACATAAAGTAGATATTTGGTTGTGAAATGGACACGACTGAAGAAGTAAGTTTCAGTACAGAACCACATAAAGTAGATATTTGGTTGTGAAATGGACACGACTGAAGAAGTAATTTTCAGTACAGAAGCACATAAAGTAGATATTTGGTTGTGAAATGGACACGACTGAAGCAGTAATTTTCAGTACAGAAGCACATAAAATAGATATTTGGTTGTGAAATGGACATGACTGAAGAAGTTATTTTCAGTACAGAAGCACATAAGGATATACCTATCATACATATTTTCATTATATATGGACAGGAGGATACTGTACTGGGGGATACATAGTACATTATAATACAGAGTCAAATATATTAGATTTGGCAAATTTTGAGTACAGAACAATTACCAATAGATAAGTAAGAATTTTAGTTCTGAAGGTCAAGTTAAATACAGGCAACTTGTAGAGTGAGAAAAGATTTGTGCAGTTATTGAAGATTTACAGTAAAAAAAATGTTGTTCTGGTATACATAGCAGATTCCATTGAGCCAGTGGATGAAGTTAAATTACTAAATGGATTAAAAGACAAACCAGTATAATTAAGTTTATTTTTCTACAAAACAGTAATCATTTAGAAATAGTCAAGGTTATATTGTGTATTTACATACTGTAGATTTTAATATGGGAAAAAAATGAGGAAAAAAATGAACAAAATAAAAAATATTAGTCAGAAATGATAAAATTAATTTTGTAATGTGCGTTATCTTATATACATGTTATAGAAAGCGTCACTTGCTCAGGTGTAGTATAGCTCCTTTAATGTTGTACACAATGAAAAAAAATACATGCTTTCATATTGCCTGCAGCAAAGATATATAAATTATAGAATTTAAGAAAATTAAAATATTAAGGATAGTGTAAAAGTCTCTGTTGATTTATATGTGAGGAAGAATTCAAATATTAAATGTTATAAGGCTAGCTCAAAGATTTAACAGAGAATTTTTATCCGAAAATCAGTAAGCATATGGAAAAATTGGCGAAAAAAAAATAAAGAATGTTCCGAGCTTTCAGTAGAAATTTTGTACTGTGGTCAGTGAAATTACTGGTGTCAAGTGTGTACATAGCTTGTCTGTCATTTATTTGCTTCTCAGTATGTTAAACAGAAAATAATGCCTCCACGTCACTGGTATTGGGCTTACCTCACGCTGGCAGTTTGTACTACCATGAACGTCTCAGCTTCGTAGCACTCTTGTGTTCCTCAGGTTACAGATATCCAGCTACTCATGTACCTAGCTGCAGTATTTTGATAAATTTCTTAACAGAAACGCTATAAAGCAGGTTTTAGTGATGCAGAAAAATCTATTTTACTGACACAATATAATTTGCTGCCTTTTCCTAACAATACATTTATTCATTTACTGAATTCTTACGAAATCATTTCCTTTCATGAAGGTAGTGTTGGATTTCGGTAGACTCTCACTGATTTTAAGTGTGAAATATTAAGAATTAAATGCATCAGTTTGTAGTTTGTTATAAATAGTTGATGACTTAAGGCTTTGAAGATTAACACTATTTTACTTGTGACATGTAGAGATTGCTGTGTACTCTTGCCCTAACCAATCACCATCCCATCCCTGCACTCTCTAGGTGTGTGACCTTGACAGTTATTTGTAGGTCAGTAGTAATTAACACAAAGTAGTGTCTGTAAAATCATACTACTTGAATGATCTTAGCAAATCTTGGTCATTAGCCTCTTTATAATTCTGGTCCAGTTTTTGACCCTAAAACTACGTGTAGCTAATACTTTAACGGGAATATATGTTCTGAATGATTGAAGTTTCTTGAAACCAAGGCAAGGCTTCAAAGAGAGAAATTTAAAGTTAAAGACTTTGTTTAAGTCTTAAAATATTTTTTGAGGCTTTGACGTAGTGTTATAAATAGTAATATAAAAAGATTTTTGAATTCATAATACTGTAGATCTTCTATGTCATATTGTTTTTGTGTATTTGCAATTATTAAAACTGGATGCAGTTTAGCCTCCCTAAAAGGCATGCATTTTGATAGGTGTCTGCAGGTTTTAGTGAAACACAAATGTAGATATTCATAATCCTGTTAAGATGTCACGAATTTGAAATATGAAACCATTTACTGTTCCTGATACATAATAGTAGGGGGATTCAAACCTTGTTGTGTAATTTCTGACTCTCCTATTGTTTGTTGTATGTGTGGCAATGTTGGATGATTTCAGGACATCCTCGGTCCCGAGTATGACGGGAAGTCTGACTGGATCTCTAGGAGGCTCCAGCAATTTCACAAAACCAAAGAAAAGGTATGGTGTTATGTTGAAACCAGCATATTTTTTTAACCAGCTGCTTAGTACCATAATTATCTCCATAAAATCATAATGGATTGAGACAGTACCCTTTGTTCTGTGCAGAAAACCTGCTCCAACATTCTGTAATATAATATATATTATACAAATTATTTGTATTCGGATTGAAATGAATACTTCAGGTAGGAACAGATGTTTGGATTATGCATAACATGTATTTAATGTTTTATTGTAACTTTACAGAACGGTGCGAACCTTATACCACTGTGATGCTGAGAATGATTCCGAATTGTCGTTTGAACCCAACATGATAATTACGAATGGTATGTTCTTGTTAGCAACTGATTCATTGGATAAAGAATGGAGACATTTCTGTAATAACTTGTGACTATGAAAAGTTCTAGCAGTCATATGAAGTACAGTAATTATGAACATCACTTAATAGTTTTTATCTTATCCTAACATATAATCGTATGGGCATGTATTATGGTGTAACAATGCCTGCCATTGTGATACACTATGAAAATATTTAAGTTATTTTGAATGTCAAGAGAACATTTTTATTGTTTTGTTGGGTAGTGCGGCCTTCAAAGGAACCAGGTTGGTTGGAGGGGAGTCTGGACAACAAGACTGGCCTCATTCCAGAGAATTATGTTGAGTATGTGGACTGACAAAGGTTAAGCTCTCAATACAAGCGTGTTAGAGAGCAAGATCAGTGTAGTTAAGAGCCTGACTGACCAGGATCAGTGCATGAGCTTTCTAATTATAGTATGTCCAGAATCCACAATTATAAGTGCTTGGCGAACCATTTTAGAAGACCGCAGGATTGATGCTTGTTACCTGGACAACATGGATGGACATTGGTCCGAGGAGAGAAGAAGAAAACATAAAGCTATGTTGCCTGTGAGAAGAATGCACAAGATGACATCACAGTATTATTAGTACTTAGTTACAATTTAGGTCCCATATACTACACAGTGTTTAGCTGGCTTAAGTACAGTACAGTGTGCAGAGTGCCAGCTTTTAACCCAATGTTGATTATCTATTAACAATTTACGTAGTTGTCTAAAAGTCTTGTATTTTTCAACCAATTTTTTTTAGAAATTACACATAATATTAGGAAAGATTTGAACTGTCTTAGATATCTGAAAGATAGCAGGTATTTGGACAATTTCCTTTGACAGGGCAATCTGTAAACAGCACTTTAATACTTAATATTGAAACAAAATCTTGTAGATTTAAGAAATAATCATTTGATTGTTAAAATTTCAGTTCATGAGATATTCTTAAATGCATTTTTTTTATATTATATCATTGTGTTGGAGATATCCAAGTACACTCTAGTACAATGTAGTGTGACTGACACAAACAGATATCCCATCATTGTCATAGTTAAATGGTCACAATTGATTTAACTAGGATTGATTATATTTCATGAAATCTTGCACAGGTTGGAATTAAGACTATTTATCAAAGTGCAATATTATATATACTATACATGCAATAACAGATTGTATTGTGTTCTGAATTCTCATTGGAAACTTTTAACTGCTGAAAGCTTTTGGCTTCGATGGTCTAGTGATTGATTATTTGAAATATGTATTAAATGTATTTAGAGTGATTTCAATGGCATTACATATACACCAGTTCCTCTTCCAGATTTCTATGATAACATATCACAAAAAAACTAACATGATTTTTTTTATTTATTTATACGTTTGAGTTTACAAATAAATTATTTGTGTTGATCATTGGCAGGAAATATCTGTGTATATTGCACTAGAAATACTTCATTGGTCCTAATAACAATGATCTTTCTTCAGTGATAGAAAAACATTATGAATTCAATTCAGTTTGAAAATTTGAATTGTTTAGAATAAATCTTAAAGAAAACAGTTTTACTGATATTATTGAAAATGGCCACAATGAAAAAGGTTCCAGGCTTGTTTTCTAGCAACAAACTTTAAATAGAAATGTGTTGGCCAGGATACCTTTATGGTGTCACTGAAAAGGTGAACTGTATTACTTTTACTGGGAAGTGTTTTGTAATACAGCACTCTTCTCCTCTCAACCATCCTCCTTAAAACAGACATATAATATTGTTCAAAACTTTCATGAAGACTAAAAATATATTAGATTTAGATATTTATTTATTGCGGTTTTTCGCTTCACAAAATTTAATATTAATACACGTGGAATAGTTTATTGATATAGTTTTAACAACAGATTTATTGATATGAAATGCACAATTTAACTAAATGATCACACTATGCACCAATCACTTAGTGGTATCAATTGTATATGTGTCCGTTATATATTACAGGTATGTAGAAAGGCTTTTTGTCCGTTACCATCATGGTCCTTCAGTAAAATAGTCATTTGTGAAATAGTAACACCTGTATGATTATTTTGTGTACATACCTGTACCAGTAATAACACAGTAATTGTATCATTGTTTATTGATCTGTGAAGTACCTATGTAGATTCAACAAACTCAAATACTCTTAAATGGCAATTAATTACTTACCACCTGTATTAGGTAAAGTGTTCCTCTAAACTTTACTCTAGAGAAAATTATAGAACATTGTGCTGTATTTTACGAAAAAGGCAGTGTAGTAGAGACAGTGTGACTATTAATTAGAAATAAATAGTAAATAACTTTTATGCATTACTAGAGCCCATAGAATCAAAAACAAGTTATTTAAGTTCAAGAAAGTTTTATTAGATTTTGTCTGTTGCTGTTTTGTTATTATCATCCAAATGCTTGTAAAGCTATTAAAAATACAATGCATTGTCTGTTATAGATTCAAAATTTCCCTATTTCTGACAGTATATGGTACGCTATAATAAATGTTTTGTTGGTCAAATGTTAACATTCCATTTATAACTATCCTTTCCTACCTCACACATGTCATTAGTCTCTATTTCAGTTAGTTTATAGACTGTGGTATTGTGGAGTTTAGGGGTGGACAGGTTAGTTTCTGGATTGAGTAGTTGCTCTTTAAAATGATTATAAGTTCAACATGAGACAGAGTCTCATGGTGACCTATTCTAATACCCTTCATCCGGCGTCGTGCGTCCGTAAACAATTTAACACTTTCGACTTCTTCTAAAAAACCCCTTGTCTGATTTCAATTGAATTTTGCAGAAACCTTCCCTGGCTTAAGGTGAACAAAAAATTTTAAGTATACAGTCCCCAACCCCCAGAGGCCTGAAGACTGGGGCCAATATGGTCAAATTGACTTTGATTTCAAAAATCTTCTTCTTTAGACTCAGGTATGGTAGAATCAAATGCTATTCATGAATGGAAGAATCTTAAGGTGCTTTACCAAATTTGTGAATTTGATGGCCCCAGGGTCACACATTTCTCCATGGGGAGGAGGCAAACTTTACTATAGTTGATTTAGGAAAACTAGATTTTTGAGCATAATTTGTTTAATTTCCATTGAAAATATATCAAACTTGGTTAGAATTATGCGCGAATGATGACAGAGTGATGGTATGCCCATTTTGATTCTGACTGACCACCAGGGGCTGATGGATGGGGCCAAAATGGGTCAAATTGACTTAAATTTCACAAATCTTCTTCTCAAGACCCAGATATGGTAGAATCAAATGCTCTTCATGAATGGAAGCATCTTAAGGTGCTTTGATTACCAAAATGAGTCTGACATTTCTTCCTTGGGAGGAATTTTTTTTTAGTCTTTACTGTATTTTTCATAGAAAAATGGCATTTTTGAGCATAACGTTGATTATTTCCCACTGGAAATTACTGTAATAGAATTTTCAGTATGGGATTGCAGTTTGGATAGTATGCATATGTTGACACTTCATGACACTTTATAACTTACCCCTTAACCTTTATATTCAATATTGCTTATCTCAGGTGACCGTCAAGGCCCCTTGGCCTCTTGTAACTCCAAGAAGTCAAATTTCCGAAATCATTTATAAAAGGAAGACAGGGCATTAAAAAAAAATCTGCTTTGTTGTAATATTACTATGAGAAAAGGTTTTATCAGAATTTTTGTTTTGTATCATTTTTTCTTGTTGCTATATTCAAGTGTTCAAAATATTATTGACTCTACAGATCTGGTATGAAAACAATGTATCGCCTTTCATATAAAGGTATGGATAAGGTACCATGATATAGTTGTAATCAATTTAACTTATATGTTATGAAAATCAGATCGTATTTGCGATTTACTCCTCCATGGATCAGAGAGTCCTGCTGTTCAACTTTTGCTGGAGTGGAGAATTGTATCAGAGTTTCAAATAGACTGAAATTGTTGAATTGCCTTTACTTCGTTAGACATGGAGGCAATCACATTTCATTAGATACTTCATTTTTTAAACTCTATATTAATTGGAAAATATAATGAAACTTTAAACTGTATGACTGATCAATGTCTTTAGTATGACAGAGTCAGGAGTCACAAGAGAAGGATAGCTATGTGTTTTTGTATTCATCATGGAAAAAAAAGTACTGTTCTTAATCAATTTTATGATTGTGTTAATTGCTTGCATGGATTATTCACATTTAACTAAGGTGCACAAACAAGGACCCATTATCCATTTCACCTATGCATATGTACGAGATACAGTGACTTTACACATATATGTTATTGTTAGTCCTAATCCCATGTTGTTGTATGGTCGGAACAAAACTTCTCTTCTAGTCTAATAACGTACACTGTGGACTAATTTTCTTGTTGTTTTATGTATTTGTACACATTTACACCACAATAAATCAAGCCTATAATCTATATATTAAATGGTTCCCTTCAATGAAATTTCAATATAATTGTAAATGTATCCAAGTGATATATTGAATTGTTTTTACATATCTATAGTGAAGGAGTGTTTTCAAATTCAACAATCGAGACAATAAGTCCACACAGTGAAATCATCGTTTAGCATATACAATGGATATTCTCTTGTTGGAGTCACTGACTTCGCTCATTTTGGCTAATGATAGCCATGTGACAAGTGTCTATAAGGTACTTCAATGATGGTGTAAATGTACACAATCTCTTTAGATCTCTTAATGAAAAGTAAGTATTTTTCATTTCAAATATTTCTAAATAAAGTTTCTGTGACTCCATGCAAATATACATTTTTCTCAGTATGCAAAAAAGATTCTTTCTTACATTTTTTTTTCTCTCTCAATTTTTCAGTGGATAAAAAGGAGACTTTGGGAAAAAAAGTTATGAAGTTAATGTGCTATGTTATATATTGAAAAATCATTCCTGATACAGAATGGTATTGCGAACAGTAGGTGAACTCAGAGAGTGTCAAACGTGGTATGATAATGTTTTGAGACAGTGTACACGTCATGTGTACCTTACATTGTATAGGACTGTCCCAGTAAGTTAGGCCTTGTAGTATCCTTACATACACTTGACAAGTATTTACATTATATAACATTATAGTGTTCAGAATATGTTGATTTTTACGCATGACAATTGTGTGGGTTTTACTATGTTCATCCAAGTCATGGAAATCGTATATTGTTTTCAAAAATTGAAAACTTATTACTTGTAAAGAAAAAAAATTCAAAATCATATTGGGTTATACTAGTATTAAGAATGTATTAGTCCCCTACCAGTATTTATATAGAAATGTAACTTATTAATCAAACATGATGAATTAATATGAATATTTTATAGGAAATAATTAAGTTATTTAGTCATTATCTATTTTAAAGTATTCATTAATAGTCAAGTAGACATCATAAAATTACCTATTTACACCAAATCTTCCTTTCATACATATATTTGTTAACTTGACAACCTAAGGGAATCTTTTTTAATTTAATATGAAAAATATTATCAAAACACTAATCGAATCTGTTGCAGATGTATTTATTTGAATACAACATGTCTTGGAAGATAAATAATAATTGATACATCTTGATGAAGATGAAATTATTACAATGATAATTTGATTATCCCTCAGTTTTGATATACAGAGTGCACATTCCATTTCGGACACCAAAAGTCGCGTCCACTTGATTGCTTGGTGTCATTGTGTATTGATTATTTGTAATGTTTTTATTTCCTTAGTTGCTTTTTTGTTCCACAGTGGCTAGACTAGGACAGGGAAGTTATAACCGACCAAATGTGTTCATTTACTTCTATGTACTGTTGATAATTTGTAGATGGCAATGTATCGTGTAAAAAGAACAGATTCTTTTATATACGAGAAATATACAGGTCATTCTGTAAAATTACTCATTTCAAATAGTAAAGAGAATTGTAATGATTACTTAGTTTCTTGTTTATACTTTTTTGGTCTGAAAAGAGACGCACATTTACAAGGTCTTTTTTGTCTATGGAAAAAATATTTTCGTTCATATGACCCAAACATGTTTCAACACTTCACGGTTCTTCCTTAATGCACTTGCAAGGGATGTTGACAATCTTTTAATATTTTGAAGTAAGGTAGCCACCAGCTACTACAAGGATAGCGACCTCAAAATGACAGTTGATCTCTTAATATTTTAAAGTGAGGTTGCCACTAGCAACTACAAGGATAGCGACCTCAAAATGACAGTTGATCTCTTAATATTTTAAAGTGAGGTCGCCACTAGCAACTACAAGGATAGCGACCTCAAAATGACAGTTGACATGACTTGACTCTTCTTATCTCACATCTGCTGCAATACATGTTACACATTCACCTCAGTGGAATTCTGGTTTTTATCTGGAACCCTAATTAAAAGAGACTCAGTATAATGTAAAATGGAAAACATTAAACATAAGAAGTAAACAACATTATTAATGTACGTCGATCTTCTGATAAATAGCCTGATCAGTTTTCCATGGTTACAAAGCCAGTGTAGCTGTTTTCGAATACAAAACTGACTAGAGGCATTGTCTGGAGATACAAGTACGTAATCTTCAAAATATTGAATGTTGTTCATATAATGTATTAATTATACGTTGCAGTTTTTACATTGTCTTTATGGATTCATTTTACTAAGAAATATACATCTGATGTAATATACCTATCACTATACCCAGCTGCTGGTGAAGACTTCCGGGCAATCCGTCTGATGAAACCTACATCTCACAATACAAAGCTGTTGGTGTAGTCTTCGGGAAATCCATCTGATGAAGTATCCGTTAGCGTCTGCTGTTTCTCATTTCATTTGGCTGCATAAAGACTCCATACTGTTAACCCTTCACACAAAATGCTATAATGAATTCTGTTAAATCTAGCTTCTACACCATTAGCTTGTACCGTTAAAATGTTACCTTTGAGAGGTTCTGTCGGTCGCTGTAAAATATTATTCGTCAGATGTGAATTTTAATGCAAAAGAAATAAGTAGCAAATTCTTGACTTCCGCGAAAATATACCGGTTTTTTACTGCGAAAATAAAAACCAACTTGTACAGTAATTGAGCAGCTCTGAAATATTGATAGTATGATACTACATACTTGTAAGGTACGGTAGAGTGTTGAATTATCTACTTCTTTGTTTAAACACTTTGCTTTGCTAAATGACGTCAGGCTTAAAGAGATTGATTTGTGCCATGTCACCAAAGCTTTTTATTGCTACTCAAAGTTAGTTCCCAATTCAACTTTTACTCGGTTTGACTACAAGTACATTTCTAACCACCTTTGTACTGTGTGTTGGCCATGTATTGCCCATGCGCATGTTATTGTCCAAGCTGCCTCTTAGCCTTTACTTAGGATGAGTACAGTTCATTGTTACTTTTAATATATGCTTCTATGTGTGAAATTTGGTGTCGCGGCATTCCGGTAACCTCATTAAGTTTCTAAGCGTAGCGAGTTCTTTCGACTTCATAAAACAGGTAGTGCGATATAGATTTTAATGAAACAGAATTGAACGAAAACCAAAACCGTGACCAAACCCCCCTTTAAAGCACGGAGCAAATTAAAATACGGAATGCAACGACACAACAGAGAAAAGTTGTACTGAGGCAGTCAATGTTTAGCACCACTAGTGAGCATCACAAGATGTGTTATGCATTCAGTGTCAAGATTCACATGTACCTTTATAAATGAACGTGATTGTTTCATAAAATGTGCTAAGTTAGAGGAGAATAGATTATTTTATATAGTTCAGATGGTTAAAATAAAAGGAAATGCTCGCGAAGAGCCATTGATATACTTGTAGATATCATTGTGAATTTTCGTCAATCAACATTATAAAGGAGAATACTTATAACTTGAAAACGCAAAATATAACAATGCGAATCCACGATATCTATTTTTCGCAAATTCATAAATAAGCATGTGGATGTTATCGAATAATTTATTTTCCTTTAACTTAACATATTTAATGAAAAACAAATCATATGTCCAAAAGTACCTGTGACAGAGGGATATCTCTAACGTTGATATAAAAATAATAAAAATTACCACTCGATCTAGGGGTTTTTCCGCTTGTGTCGTGAACGTTTAAAATCACTCATCCGGTACATTCTGCGGTGCGTAGTAAAATGATATTATTAGGTCGCCTAATTGTGAACTGATAGACTGGCTCTATAGGGTAACGACCACAGCAACTGGTCAAAGTGGTCAACATGAAGACCATAATATTCTTGTTCTGTGTTTACGCCGCAGTCGGAGTCACAACTGCACAGGGTAAGTAAACTCATTGCAAGACTGTGCCACCACAGCCATTTTGTTAGACGATATTACTTCCTTGTATGATCCAACAACAACAACACAAATCCACCCTGCTGACATAAAAATGGTCTTTGTGTTGCTACTCTAACACTAGACATTGATATATATATATACACACACATATATATATGATAATAATAAATAAATATAAGTTGGGATAAGTTGTCAGTATGTGTACAATAAGATTAAACAAAATACCGTACACACTTTTTTTTTATTATAGGCTAAGACTTTTCTGATAAATATTTTCAGTTCTATCAGGATAACTAATATATTGATTAGAACATAAATAGAACAGTATGCGAACTGTTATCTTTGCGTGTGAGCCGTTTTGTGTTTGAAATGATTGTTTCGCTCTGTATGTATGTCAAGGAAGTCAGTCAGACGTATTTTAATCCCCATTTAGTACTATCGTTATTGTACCTTGACCTGACCAGGCTATTGGTGAATAAGGTTATTGTATATTTGGGTGATATCTGGCTAGATTAGCACGGACATAAATTATTCCTTCTGTTAAAGTTTTACAATTTTCTCTTGTCAATCATGAATATTTATGGTCGAAAGTAAATAAAGTATCTTCTAAATAATTGTAAAACTGATGTTTCATCTATGTTTTAGCTTTAAGTCGGCCTGGGAGATATATGCTTTACACCATATCATCAACATTAAAATTTGACTTGCTTCTTGGTTTTGCGATGACGGGACAAATATCCCTACTACATGTCCGTAATATATTTAACTCATTGACATTTTAATTTCTATTTGTGTTGGTTGTATGTGTATAGTGAAAAGATTATTTGCCCGAAAGATCGACAAAGGTGTTACATTATAATTGTATTCATACAAATATGAGATGGTTTGGAGGTTCCTGACGGACTGGTTTCCGAGGTATATAGCTACCATTACAACTATAATATTTGAAATAGGTTTCGAAAATAGTAAATAAAAAATTGACAAATACATCAATGTAACGTTAATAAACTGTTACTAAAATACATGTGTACTTAGAAATCTAATCTGGTACAAAAAGTATATATATCACTTGATAAAATCTTCATTTTATGTATCTATGTAACAGACAGAGCTACACATGTACAGGATAAGTAAACTTATTTCACGACTGTACTGCAACAACCATTTTAAATAACAATAATAATATTTCCTGGTATGACTAAACAACAACACCAGTACACAAATCCACCAATAATATGAACTGTTACTTAAATATTTGTACTTTCAGAAATACCAACAAGTACTACACAAGTATATCTCTCACTTGATTAAAATCATTATTAAGCAGAATATCTGTGCTTTCAATGTTGGACAAATACATTTTGCCTTATCATGTTACATGACTTTTGGTGATGTTCGTTTCCTGATGAATAACCGTTGGACTGTTATTATCATCGTACCTAGAAAAGAGAGAGAAAGAATGAACTTTACTCACTATTTCCTTTTGCATGCAGGCGTAGACGGATCTTTCCTGCTCGCTGGAGCTGCCGAAAATACCGTATTTCGATTGGAGAACAATACTTTCTCGAAGATAAATATATCGAATGATGTGTCTACCATGGCGTTCGATCCTATATCCAGGAGGATATACTACGGATCGTGGAACAGTATTCACATGTACAGCATGAAGCTGGATGGCTCTGACGTCCGAATAGAAGCAACAATAGGTATGGAACCTAAAACTATTGTTCGTTGATATATATGTACAGACTAATTTAAAAACAAAACCTTAGAGTGATTAAGTTATGGTAAATGAATTACATATTGTTAAGAACATTTAAATTATACTTTGAGTATTTATCGAGATGATGAAATTTCCCAAACAGTTTCTACGTTCTGTAACAGTTTTATCTGCTTAGTGATGTAACATATACTTCCTGAGATGGAAAATATATTGGTAAGTGACAGATGTTGTGTGTGCTATGTGTAGTTTGTCAAATACTAACATCATTTCGTAACTCAGCGATAATATACTTAGAAGTTCTACTGACTAATATAACACGGTGGTAACTGGTTGAAATTGGAAGACACTTCAAGTATGAATGTATAAACAAATCCAAACTCAAGTTCAAGGAAACTAGGGTAAAACGTGTTAAAAAAGAATGTGCACTCAAACTTGTGAAAAGCGTAGAAGGAAAATAAGACAAGGTGTACAGAAGGAGTTAGCGTCTTCTGCTTCATGGACGACACGCGCCATGTAAATATTGGTCAATCCTAGTAGGTAGTGTCACGTTCTTAAATGAGAACAAGGTATCCAAAATTGGAACTAACACTTAAACTATATTCCCCATGGTTTGTCAGTCACTTGATCAATTCGTACAAGGAAATCGTGATAAATGAGACAGGCCCGTTAATATCGAATCAACTACGACATATAAACACCATAGGATGGGGATGCAGAATTGTTGTCATCCAGAAATGGAAAATTCATCAATGGGAAATAAAAATTATTACATTAATCACACGGCATAAAACACGTATGTTACATATGGAAATGTTCAATGGAAGCACGAGACATAATTTTTGTTAACGATTACAGATGTTAGAAGTTGGTCCATTTTTAGAGTAGAATAACTATATGATTTGTTCTTGGCCTATGGCCTTAACATTACTGGTAGAAAGTTGTTGATCGAGAATAAAAAGAAAAGAACAGGGCAGACATCTTAACACAAAAATCTAATCCAAAATCAAAATCGATGCAACGAGGACAGAACACTTTACCTAACCACCCTGTCGTATTGTACTATTTTGATAAATGGTGTTTATATCAGTCTTTCCATCTATTATGGTTATTGTCTCCTGATTCCTGCACCCGCCATCAAACATCAGTTCAGGTAGGTAATTGGAACAACTATACAGGTAATCGAAAACAATGCACCCATCAGGCATACTAACGAACATTGAACATATTGCTTGATTAATAGAATATTTTCAATAAGGTCGTTGTGGCAATTCTCTCGAATCTTAGTGTTACTGTGTTTCAGATTTGTACGTTCAAGCAATAGCCATTGACAATGCCGTTGGTAACATGTTTGTTTATTCACCTGGAAACACTGGGAAAATCTACCGGGTTGTAATGGAACAGGAACCAACTCTAGACCAGAGTGACATCATTCATACAGACGAAAGTGAAGTCTTCCACATGGATGTTGATCCCACGACCAGGTAACACTACAGTAGTCTCGTTATACGGCAACTCATGTTCGCTTCAACAGAATATTATTAAACCAATATATCCTCAGATAAACGATGTTTACAAAGTATACATTTCATTGGGTATAGTTGATTTTTTTTCGTTTCCAGAACATTATTTTGGGGATCGTCAACAGGTATATGGCAATCGAATTATGACGGAACAGACAAAAAACAAATTTTGTCCATGTCTGGGGGCAACGCTGGACTTTCGGTTGATGGTGAGGAATTTATACGATAAAACACAAGTGACAATCACCCAACTTTGTATCCTAAACTAAAGATATATGGTATATGTAATCATTGATTTCTATCACGATATCGATTTTCTTGTTTTCAGTAATACAAACCGTATATCACTGTTAGCATTCTTTTTTTTTGTTTTGTTTTGTTTGTTCTGTTTATGCTTCTTGAAATAAGTTTAACACAACAGATAATAAGGTTTAGATATTTACAGACAGTTGTGTGTGTTTTGTTATATGAATGCTCTATAAATGATACCAATGTCTATAATCCTGTGTGTATGAAACGTTTTGACAACAGAAGTATTGATATTATAGCCAAAATGTCTTTGTTTCGTTCCATAAGACAAAAAGATACTCAGCAAAGAACTCATACTCATGGAACTGTATACTGAGCAGAGGAGACGCTCAATGCAACTTGTTCATTTCAAGCACAACTAGTCCATTGTATCGGATTAAAATAATTCTTTTCAGATGGTAGCGTTTATGGAATAATGAATAACAAGATCTACAAGATCGATCGATCACTGAACCAGTCATTCAGCGAGATTTTTGACATTGGGAACACAAGTACTAGAACCAAAAGTCTAGTCTCAGTTGGGGATAGCTTGTACTTCAGTAGAGCGGTGTGCACCTACAGCCCGACTACTTTGTGTCAGAGGTAAGTGGAACGTGATCAGAATATTATCATTTTAAACCAGTACCTTTTTATGGAGACAAATGTGAGTGTCACTACATCAAAATTGTTGTGTTTATTAGCATACATTGTCTGTGATCAAAATAAACACAGAGACATAGATTCCGCATATGGATATGTGATGCAAGTACCATGAATATATTAGTAAAATGAAGTTTCCTTGTTGTTACCTCAACTTGTAAATGGATACATAATTATGCTAACATATATGAATAGTACAGTAAAGTATTGATATGAACAGATGAAATTAAATGGATATCAAATAACAGATACAGCAATCCTATAAGACAGAAAATATTATCAAAAAGGAAAACACTGTCGCCATAATTCTTTCATCATTTCAATGTCTGCTTTGTTATCTTTCACTCATGTCACTGTTTTGTATATATACAGCTCTATAGTTACTGTACGGAAAGATGGGTCAGGATTCGCACGTGTTAGTCCTGAATTGTTTTCAGAAAACCACGTATATCCATTGACACTTGTATATGTATCAACATCTCGTGTCGAAGTGACAACAACATCGAGGACACCAACAGAGACAACAACGAGAGGTATGGGTTATAATGAATTACATTTTCATGCACTGTCTAAAATTGTGTACATCATATGATCTTTACTAATGGGTTATAATGAATTACATTTTCATGCACTGTCTAAAATTGTGTACATAAGATGATCTTTACTAATCCTCATCAAATTTAGTATTTGCTTCTTTATTTGGCTGTACAGTATCTTTTCATCTGACCCTAAATTTGTAGAAAGATTTGTCTTTTGTACAATTTCCAAAGCCAAAAGCATGTCGCATTATCTATGAAAATAAAAACGCAACAGGTATACTTCCGCTCCCCAACACAAATCAAATTATTATTACTTTAAAAATCTTCATTTTATGTATCTATGTAGCAGACGGAGCTACACAGGTACAGGATAAGTAAACTCATTTCACGACTGTACTGCAACAACCATTTTGAATAACAATAATAATACTTCCTGGTATGACCAAACAACAACACCAGTACACAAATCCACCAATAATATGAACTGTTACTTAAATATTTGTACTTTCAGAAATACCAACAAGTACTACACAAGTATATCTCTCACTTGATTAAAATCATTATTAAGCAGAATATCTGTGCTTTCAATGTTGGACAAATACATTTTGCCTTATCATGTTACATGACTTTTGGTGATGTTCGTTTCCTGATGAATAACCGTTGGACTGTTATTATCATCGTACCTAGAAAAGAGAGAGAAAGAATGAACTTTACTCACTATTTCCTTTTGCATGCAGGCGTAGACGGATCTTTCCTGCTCGCTGGAGCTGCCGAAAATACCGTATTTCGATTGGAGAACAATACTTTCTCGAAGATAAATATATCGAATGATGTGTCTACCATGGCGTTCGATCCTATATCCAGGAGGATATACTACGGATCGTGGAACAGTATTCACATGTACAGCATGAAGCTGGATGGCTCTGACGTCCGAATAGAAGCAACAATAGGTATGGAACCTAAAACTATTGTTCGTTGATATATATGTACAGACTAATTTAAAAACAAAACCTTAGAGTGATTAAGTTATGGTAAATGAATTACATATTGTTAAGAACATTTAAATTATACTTTGAGTATTTATCGAGATGATGAAATTTCCCAAACAGTTTCTACGTTCTGTAACAGTTTTATCTGCTTAGTGATGTAACATATACTTCCTGAGATGGAAAATATATTGGTAAGTGACAGATGTTGTGTGTGCTATGTGTAGTTTGTCAAATACTAACATCATTTCGTAACTCAGCGATAATATACTTAGAAGTTCTACTGACTAATATAACACGGTGGTAACTGGTTGAAATTGGAAGACACTTCAAGTATGAATGTATAAACAAATCCAAACTCAAGTTCAAGGAAACTAGGGTAAAACATGTTAAAAAAGAATGTACACTCAAACTTGTGAAAAGCGTAGAAGGAAAATAAGACAAGGTGTACAGAAGGAGTTAGCGTCTTCTGCTTCATGGACGACACGCGCCATGTAAATATTGGTCAATCCTAGTAGGTAGTGTCACGTTCTTAAATGAGAACAAGGTATCCAAAATTGGAACTAACACTTAAACTATATTCCCCATGGTTTGTCAGTCACTTGATCAATTCGTACAAGGAAATCGTGATAAATGAGACAGGCCCGTTAATATCGAATCAACTACGACATATAAACACCATAGGATGGGGATGCAGAATTGTTGTCATCCAGAAATGGAAAATTCATCAATGGGAAATAAAAATTATTACATTAATCACACGGCATAAAACACGTATGTTACATATGGAAATGTTCAATGGAAGCACGAGACATAATTTTTGTTAACGATTACAGATGTTAGAAGTTGGTCCATTTTTAGAGTAGAATAACTATATGATTTGTTCTTGGCCTATGGCCTTAACATTACTGGTAGAAAGTTGTTGATCGAGAATAAAAAGAAAAGAACAGGGCAGACATCTTAACACAAAAATCTAATCCAAAATCAAAATCGATGCAACGAGGACAGAACACTTTACCTAACCACCCTGTCGTATTGTACTATTTTGATAAATGGTGTTTATATCAGTCTTTCCATCTATTATGGTTATTGTCTCCTGATTCCTGCACCCGCCATCAAACATCAGTTCAGGTAGGTAATTGGAACAACTATACAGGTAATCGAAAACAATGCACCCATCAGGCATACTAACGAACATTGAACATATTGCTTGATTAATAGAATATTTTCAATAAGGTCGTTGTGGCAATTCTCTCGAATCTTAGTGTTACTGTGTTTCAGATTTGTACGTTCAAGCAATAGCCATTGACAATGCCGTTGGTAACATGTTTGTTTATTCACCTGGAAACACTGGGAAAATCTACCGGGTTGTAATGGGACAGGAACCAACTCTAGACCAGAGTGACATCATTCATACAGACGAAAGTGAAGTCTTCCACATGGATGTTGATCCCACGACCAGGTAACACTACAGTAGTCTCGTTATACGGCAACTCATGTTCGCTTCAACAGAATATTATTAAACCAATATATCCTCAGATAAACGATGTTTACAAAGTATACATTTCATTGGGTATAGTTGATTTTTTTTCGTTTCCAGAACATTATTTTGGGGATCGTCAACAGGTATATGGCAATCGAATTATGACGGAACAGACAAAAAACAAATTTTGTCCATGTCTGGGGGCAACGCTGGACTTTCGGTTGATGGTAAGGAATTTATACTATAAAACACAAGTGACAATCACCTAACTTTGTATCCTAAACTAAAGATATATGGTATATGTAATCATTGATTTCTATCACGATATCGATTTTCTTGTTTTCAGTAATACAAACCGTTTTTGTTTTGTTTGTTCTGTTTATGCTTCTTGAAATAAGTTTAACACAACAGATAATAAGGTTTAGATATTTACAGACAGTGGTGTGTGTTTTGTTATATGAATGCTCTATAAATGATACCAATGTCTATAATCCTGTGTGTATGAAACGTTTTGACAATAGAAGTATTGATATTATAGCCAAAATGTATTTGTTTCGTTCCATAAGACAAAAAGATACTCAGCAAAGAACTCATACTCATGGAACTGTATACTGAGCAGAGGAGACGCTCAATGCAACTTGTTCATTTCAAGCACAACTATTCCATTGTATCGGATTAAAATAATTCTTTTCAGATGGTAGCGTTTATGGAATAATGAATAACAAGATCTACAAGATCGATCGATCACTGAACCAGTCATTCAGCGAGATTTTTGACATTGGGAACACAAGTACTAGAACCAAAAGTCTAGTCTCAGTTGGGGATAGCTTGTACTTCAGTAAGGCGGTGTGCACCTACAGCCCGACTACTTTGTGTCAGAGGTAAGTGGAACGTGATCAGAATATTATCATTTTAAACCAGTACCTTTTTATGGAGACAAATGTGTGTGTCACTACATCAAAATTGTTGCGTTGATTAGCATACATTGTCTGTGATCAAAATAAACACAGAGACATAGATTCCGCATATGGATATGTGATGCAAGTACCATGAATATATTAGTAAAATGAAGTTTCCTTGTTGTTACCTCAACTTGTAAATGGATACATAATTATGCTAACATATATGAATAGTACAGTAAAGTATTGATATGAACAGATGAAATTAAATGGATATCAAATAACAGATATAGCAATCCTATAAGACAGAAAATATTATCAAAAAGGAAAACACTGTCGCCATAATTCTTTCATCATTTCAATGTCTGCTTTGTTATCTTTCACTCATGTCACTGTTTTGTATATATACAGCTCTATAGTTACTGTACGGAAAGATGGGTCAGGATTCGCACGTGTTAGTCCTGAATTGTTTTCAGAAAACCACGTATATCCATTGACACTTGTATATGTATCAACATCTCGTGTCGAAGTGACAACAACATCGAGGACACCAACAGAGACAACAACGAGAGGTATGGGTTATAATGAATTACATTTTCATGCACTGTCTAAAATTGTGTACATCATATGATCTTTACTAATGGGTTATAATGAATTACATTTTCATGCACTGTCTAAAATTGTGTACATAAGATGATCTTTACTAATCCTCATCAAATTTAGCATTTGCTTCTTTATTTGGCTGTACAGTATCTTTTCATCTGACTCTAAATTTGTAGAAAGATTTGTCTTTTGTACAATTTCCAAAGCCAAAAGCATGTCGCATTATCTATGAAAATAAAAACGCAACAGGTATACTTCCGCTCCCCAACACAAATCAAATTATTATTACTTTAAAAATCTTCATTTTATGTATCTATGTAGCAGACGGAGCTACACAGGTACAGGATAAGTAAACTCATTTCACGACTGTACTGCAACAACCATTTTGAATAACAATAATAATACTTCCTGGTATGACCAAACAACAACACCAGTACACAAATCCACCAATAATATGAACTGTTACTTAAATATTTGTACTTTCAGAAATACCAACAAGTACTACACAAGTATATCTCTCACTTGATTAAAATCATTATTAAGCAGAATATCTGTGCTTTCAATGTTGGACAAATACATTTTGCCTTATCATGTTACATGACTTTTGGTGATGTTCGTTTCCTGATGAATAACCGTTGGACTGTTATTATCATCGTACCTAGAAAAGAGAGAGAAAGAATGAACTTTACTCACTATTTCCTTTTGCATGCAGGCGTAGACGGATCTTTCCTGCTCGCTGGAGCTGCCGAAAATACCGTATTTCGATTGGAGAACAATACTTTCTCGAAGATAAATATATCGAATGATGTGTCTACCATGGCGTTCGATCCTATATCCAGGAGGATATACTACGGATCGTGGAACAGTATTCACATGTACAGCATGAAGCTGGATGGCTCTGACGTCCGAATAGAAGCAACAATAGGTATGGAACCTAAAACTATTGTTCGTTGATATATATGTATAGACTAATTTAAAAACAAAACCTTAGAGTGATTAAGTTATGGTAAATGAATTACATATTGTTAAGAACATTTAAATTATACTTTGAGTATTTATCGAGATGATGAAATTTCCCAAACAGTTTCTACGTTCTGTAACAGTTTTATCTGCTTAGTGATGTAACATATACTTCCTGAGATGGAAAATATATTGGTAAGTGACAGATGTTGTGTGTGCTATGTGTAGTTTGTCAAATACTAACATCATTTCGTAACTCAGCGATAATATACTTAGAAGTTCTACTGACTAATATAACACGGTGGTAACTGGTTGAAATTGGAAGACACTTCAAGTATGAATGTATAAACAAATCCAAACTCAAGTTCAAGGAAACTAGGGTAAAACATGTTAAAAAAGAATGTACACTCAAACTTGTGAAAAGCGTAGAAGGAAAATAAGACAAGGTGTACAGAAGGAGTTAGCGTCTTCTGCTTCATGGACGACACGCGCCATGTAAATATTGGTCAATCCTAGTAGGTAGTGTCACGTTCTTAAATGAGAACAAGGTATCCAAAATTGGAACTAACACTTAAACTATCTTCCCCATGGTTTGTCAGTCACTTGATCAATTCGTACAAGGAAATCGTGATAAATGAGACAGGCCCGTTAATATCGAATCAACTACGACATATAAACACCATAGGATGGGGATGCAGAATTGTTGTCATCCAGAAATGGAAAATTCATCAATGGGAAATAAAAATTATTACATTAATCACACGGCATAAAACACGTATGTTACATATGGAAATGTTCAATGGAAGCACGAGACATAATTTTTGTTAACGATTACAGATGTTAGAAGTTGGTCCATTTTTAGAGTAGAATAACTATATGATTTGTTCTTGGCCTATGGCCTTAACATTACTGGTAGAAAGTTGTTGATCGAGAATAAAAAGAAAAGAACAGGGCAGACATCTTAACACAAAAATCTAATCCAAAATCAAAATCGATGCAACGAGGACAGAACACTTTACCTAACCACCCTGTCGTATTGTACTATTTTGATAAATGGTGTTTATATCAGTCTTTCCATCTATTATGGTTATTGTCTCCTGATTCCTGCACCCGCCATCAAACATCAGTTCAGGTAGGTAATTGGAACAACTATACAGGTAATCGAAAACAATGCACCCATCAGGCATACTAACGAACATTGAACATATTGCTTGATTAATAGAATATTTTCAATAAGGTCGTTGTGGCAATTCTCTCGAATCTTAGTGTTACTGTGTTTCAGATTTGTACGTTCAAGCAATAGCCATTGACAATGCCGTTGGTAACATGTTTGTTTATTCACCTGGAAACACTGGGAAAATCTACCGGGTTGTAATGGGACAGGAACCAACTCTAGACCAGAGTGACATCATTCATACAGACGAAAGTGAAGTCTTCCACATGGATGTTGATCCCACGACCAGGTAACACTACAGTAGTCTCGTTATACGGCAACTCATGTTCGCTTCAACAGAATATTATTAAACCAATATATCCTCAGATAAACGATGTTTACAAAGTATACATTTCATTGGGTATAGTTGATTTTTTTTCGTTTCCAGAACATTATTTTGGGGATCGTCAACAGGTATATGGCAATCGAATTATGACGGAACAGACAAAAAACAAATTTTGTCCATGTCTGGGGGCAACGCTGGACTTTCGGTTGATGGTAAGGAATTTATACTATAAAACACAAGTGACAATCACCCAACTTTGTATCCTAAACTAAAGATATATGGTATATGTAATCATTGATTTCTATCACGATATCGATTTTCTTGTTTTCAGTAATACAAACCGTTTTTGTTTTGTTTGTTCTGTATATGCTTCTTGAAATAAGTTTAACACAACAGATAATAAGGTTTAGATATTTACAGACAGTGGTGTGTGTTTTGTTATATGAATGCTCTATAAATGATACCAATGTCTATAATCCTGTGTGTATGAAACGTTTTGACAATAGAAGTATTGATATTATAGCCAAAATGTATTTGTTTCGTTCCATAAGACAAAAAGATACTCAGCAAAGAACTCATACTCATGGAACTGTATACTGAGCAGAGGAGACGCTCAATGCAACTTGTTCATTTCAAGCACAACTAGTCCATTGTATCGGATTAAAATAATTCTTTTCAGATGGTAGCGTTTATGGAATAATGAATAACAAGATCTACAAGATCGATCGATCACTGAACCAGTCATTCAGCGAGATTTTTGACATTGGGAACACAAGTACTAGAACCAAAAGTCTAGTCTCAGTTGGGGATAGCTTGTACTTCAGTAGAGCGGTGTGCACCTACAGCCCGACTACTTTGTGTCAGAGGTAAGTGGAACGTGATCAGAATATTATCATTTTAAACCAGTACCTTTTTATGGAGACAAATGTGAGTGTCACTACATCAAAATTGTTGTGTTTATTAGCATACATTGTCTGTGATCAAAATAAACACAGAGACATAGATTCCGCATATGGATATGTGATGCAAGTACCATGAATATATTAGTAAAATGAAGTTTCCTTGTTGTTACCTCAACTTGTAAATGGATACATAATTATGCTAACATATATGAATAGTACAGTAAAGTATTGATATGAACAGATGAAATTAAATGGATATCAAATAACAGATACAGCAATCCTATAAGACAGAAAATATTATCAAAAAGGAAAACACTGTCGCCATAATTCTTTCATCATTTCAATGTCTGCTTTGTTATCTTTCACTCATGTCACTGTTTTGTATATATACAGCTCTATAGTTACTGTACGGAAAGATGGGTCAGGATTCGCACGTGTTAGTCCTGAATTGTTTTCAGAAAACCACGTATATCCATTGACACTTGTATATGTATCAACATCTCGTGTCGAAGTGACAACAACATCGAGGACACCAACAGAGACAACAACGAGAGGTATGGGTTATAATGAATTACATTTTCATGCACTGTCTAAAATTGTGTACATCATATGATCTTTACTAATGGGTTATAATGAATTACATTTTCATGCACTGTCTAAAATTGTGTACATAAGATGATCTTTACTAATCCTCATCAAATTTAGCATTTGCTTCTTTATTTGGCTGTACAGTATCTTTTCATCTGACTCTAAATTTGTAGAAAGATTTGTCTTTTGTACAATTTCCAAAGCCAAAAGCATGTCGCATTATCTATGAAAATAAAAACGCAACAGGTATACTTCCGCTCCCCAACACAAATCAAATTATTATTACTTTAAAAATCTTCATTTTATGTATCTATGTAGCAGACGGAGCTACACAGGTACAGGATAAGTAAACTCATTTCACGACTGTACTGCAACAACCATTTTGAATAACAATAATAATACTTCCTGGTATGACCAAACAACAACACCAGTACACAAATCCACCAATAATATGAACTGTTACTTAAATATTTGTACTTTCAGAAATACCAACAAGTACTACACAAGTATATCTCTCACTTGATTAAAATCATTATTAAGCAGAATATCTGTGCTTTCAATGTTGGACAAATACATTTTGCCTTATCATGTTACATGACTTTTGGTGATGTTCGTTTCCTGATGAATAACCGTTGGACTGTTATTATCATCGTACCTAGAAAAGAGAGAGAAAGAATGAACTTTACTCACTATTTCCTTTTGCATGCAGGCGTAGACGGATCTTTCCTGCTCGCTGGAGCTGCCGAAAATACCGTATTTCGATTGGAGAACAATACTTTCTCGAAGATAAATATATCGAATGATGTGTCTACCATGGCGTTCGATCCTATATCCAGGAGGATATACTACGGATCGTGGAACAGTATTCACATGTACAGCATGAAGCTGGATGGCTCTGACGTCCGAATAGAAGCAACAATAGGTATGGAACCTAAAACTATTGTTCGTTGATATATATGTACAGACTAATTTAAAAACAAAACCTTAGAGTGATTAAGTTATGGTAAATGAATTACATATTGTTAAGAACATTTAAATTATACTTTGAGTATTTATCGAGATGATGAAATTTCCCAAACAGTTTCTACGTTCTGTAACAGTTTTATCTGCTTAGTGATGTAACATATACTTCCTGAGATGGAAAATATATTGGTAAGTGACAGATGTTGTGTGTGCTATGTGTAGTTTGTCAAATACTAACATCATTTCGTAACTCAGCGATAATATACTTAGAAGTTCTACTGACTAATATAACACGGTGGTAACTGGTTGAAATTGGAAGACACTTCAAGTATGAATGTATAAACAAATCCAAACTCAAGTTCAAGGAAACTAGGGTAAAACATGTTAAAAAAGAATGTACACTCAAACTTGTGAAAAGCGTAGAAGGAAAATAAGACAAGGTGTACAGAAGGAGTTAGCGTCTTCTGCTTCATGGACGACACGCGCCATGTAAATATTGGTCAATCCTAGTAGGTAGTGTCACGTTCTTAAATGAGAACAAGGTATCCAAAATTGGAACTAACACTTAAACTATATTCCCCATGGTTTGTCAGTCACTTGATCAATTCGTACAAGGAAATCGTGATAAATGAGACAGGCCCGTTAATATCGAATCAACTACGACATATAAACACCATAGGATGGGGATGCAGAATTGTTGTCATCCAGAAATGGAAAATTCATCAATGGGAAATAAAAATTATTACATTAATCACACGGCATAAAACACGTATGTTACATATGGAAATGTTCAATGGAAGCACGAGACATAATTTTTGTTAACGATTACAGATGTTAGAAGTTGGTCCATTTTTAGAGTAGAATAACTATATGATTTGTTCTTGGCCTATGGCCTTAACATTACTGGTAGAAAGTTGTTGATCGAGAATAAAAAGAAAAGAACAGGGCAGACATCTTAACACAAAAATCTAATCCAAAATCAAAATCGATGCAACGAGGACAGAACACTTTACCTAACCACCCTGTCGTATTGTACTATTTTGATAAATGGTGTTTATATCAGTCTTTCCATCTATTATGGTTATTGTCTCCTGATTCCTGCACCCGCCATCAAACATCAGTTCAGGTAGGTAATTGGAACAACTATACAGGTAATCGAAAACAATGCACCCATCAGGCATACTAACGAACATTGAACATATTGCTTGATTAATAGAATATTTTCAATAAGGTCGTTGTGGCAATTCTCTCGAATCTTAGTGTTACTGTGTTTCAGATTTGTACGTTCAAGCAATAGCCATTGACAATGCCGTTGGTAACATGTTTGTTTATTCACCTGGAAACACTGGGAAAATCTACCGGGTTGTAATGGGACAGGAACCAACTCTAGACCAGAGTGACGTCATTCATACAGACGAACATGAAGTCTTCCACATATATGTTGATCCCACGACCAGGTAACACTACAGTAGTCTCGTTATACAGCAACTCATGTTCGCTTCAACAGAATATTATTAAACCAATATATCCTCAGATAAACGATGTTTACAAAGTATACATTTCATTGGGTATAGTTGATTTTTTTTCGTTTCCAGAACATTATTTTGGGGATCGTCAACAGGTATATGGCAATCGAATTATGACGGAACAGACAAAAAACAAATTTTGTCCATGTCTGGGGGCAACGCTGGACTTTCGGTTGATGGTAAGGAATTTATACTATAAAACACAAGTGACAATCACCTAACTTTGTATCCTAAACTAAAGATATATGGTATATGTAATCATTGATTTCTATCACGATATCGATTTTCTTGTTTTCAGTAATACAAACCGTTTTTGTTTTGTTTGTTCTGTTTATGCTTCTTGAAATAAGTTTAACACAACAGATAATAAGGTTTAGATATTTACAGACAGTGGTGTATGTTTTGTTATATGAATGCTCTATAAATGATACCAATGTCTATAATCCTGTGTGTATGAAACGTTTTGACAATAGAAGTATTGATATTATAGCCAAAATGTATTTGTTTCGTTCCATAAGACAAAAAGATACTCAGCAAAGAACTCATACTCATGGAACTGTATACTGAGCAGAGGAGACGCTCAATGCAACCTGTTCATTTCAAGCACAACTATTCCATTGTATCGGATTAAAATCATCCTTTTCAGATGGTAGCGTTTATGGAATAATGAATAACAAGATCTACAAGATCGATAGATCACGGAACCAGTCATTCAGCGAGATTTTTGACATTGGGAACACAAGTACTAGAACCAAAAGTCTAGTCTCAGTTGGGGATAGCTTGTACTTCAGTAAGGCGATGTGCACCTACACCCCGACTACTTTGTGTCAGAGGTAAGTGGAACGTGATCAGAATATTATCATTTTAAACCAGTACCTTTTTATGGAGACAAATGTGTGTGTCACTACATCAAAATTGTTGCGTTGATTAGCATACATTGTCTGTGATCAAAATAAACACAGAGACATAGATTCCGCATATGGATATGTGATGCAAGTACCATGAATATATTAGTACAATGAAGTTTCCTTGTTGTTACCTCAACTTGTAAATGGATACATAATTATGCTAACATATATGAATAGTACAGTAAATATTGATATGAACAGATGAAATTAAATGGATATCAAATAACAGATATAGCAATCCTATAAGACAGAAAATATTATCAAAAAGGAAAACACTGTCGCCATAATTCTTTCATCATTTCAATGTCTGCTTTGTTATCTTTCACTCATGTCACTGTTTTGTATATATACAGCTCTATAGTTACTGTACGGAAAGATGGGTCAGGATTCGCACGTGTTAGTCCTGAATTGTCTTCAGAAAACCACGTATATCCATTGACACTTGTATATGTATCAACATCTCGTGTCGAAGTGACAACAACATCGAGGACACCTACAGAGACAACAACGAGAGGTATGGGTTATAATGAATTACATTTTCATGCACTGTCTAAAATTGTGTACATCATATGATCTTTACTAATGGGTTATAATGAATTACATTTTCATGCACTGTCTAAAATTGTGTACATAAGATGATCTTTGCTAATCCTCATCAAATTTAGCATTTGCTTCTTTATTTGGCTGTACAGTATCTTTTCATCTGACCCTAAATTTGTAGAAAGATTTGTCTTTTGTACAATTTCCAAAGCCAAAAGCATGTCGCATTATCTATGAAAATAAAAACGCAACAGGTATACTTCCGCTCCCCAACGCAAATCAAATTATTATTACTTTAAAAATCTTCATTTTATGTATCTATGTAGCAGACGGAGCTACACAGGTACAGGATAAGTAAACTCATTTCACGACTGTACTGCAACAACCATTTTGAATAACAATAATAATACTTCTTGGTATGACCAAACAACAACACCAGTACACAAATCCACCAATAATATGAACTGTTACTTAAATATTTGTACTTTCAGAAATACCAACAAGTACTACACAAGTATATCTCTCACTTGATTAAAATCATTATTAAGCAGAATATCTGTGCTTTCAATGTTGGACAAATACATTTTGCCTTATCATGTTACATGACGTTTGGTGATGTTCGTTTCCTGATGAATAACCGTTGGACTGTTATTATCATCGTACCTAGAAAAGAGAGAGAAAGAATGAACTTTACTCACTATTTCCTTTTGCATGCAGGCGTAGACGGATCTTTCCTGCTCGCTGGAGCTGCCGAAAATACCGTATTTCGATTGGAGAACAATACTTTCTCGAAGATAAATATATCGAATGATGTGTCTACCATGGCGTTCGATCCTATATCCAGGAGGATATACTACGGATCGTGGAACAGTATTCACATGTACAGCATGAAGCTGGATGGCTCTGACGTCCGAATAGAAGCAACAATAGGTATGGAACCTAAAACTATTGTTCGTTGATATATATGTACAGACTAATTTAAAAACAAAACCTTAGAGTGATTAAGTTATGGTAAATGAATTACATATTGTTAAAAACATTTAAATTATACTTTGAGTATTTATCGAGATGATGAAATTTCCCAAACAGTTTCTACGTTCTGTAACAGTTTTATCTGCTTAGTGATGTAACATATACTTCCTGAGATGGAAAATATATTGGTAAGTGACAGATGTTGTGTGTGCTATGTGTAGTTTGTCAAATACTAACATCATTTCGTAACTCAGCGATAATATACTTAGAAGTTCTACTGACTAATATAACACGGTGGTAACTGGTTGAAATTGGAAGACACTTCAAGTATGAATGTATAAACAAATCCAAACTCAAGTTCAAGGAAACTAGGGTAAAACGTGTTAAAAAAGAATGTGCACTCAAACTTGTGAAAAGCGTAGAAGGAAAATAAGACAAGGTGTACAGAAGGAGTTAGCGTCTTCTGCTTCATGGACGACACGCGCCATGTAAATATTGGTCAATCCTAGTAGGTAGTGTCACGTTCTTAAATGAGAACAAGGTATCCAAAATTGGAACTAACACTTAAACTATATTCCCCATGGTTTGTCAGTCACTTGATCAATTCGTACAAGGAAATCGTGATAAATGAGACAGGCCCGTTAATATCGAATCAACTACGACATATAAACACCATAGGATGGGGATGCAGAATTGTTGTCATCCAGAAATGGAAAATTCATCAATGGGAAATAAAAATTATTACATTAATCACACGGCATAAAACACGTATGTTACATATGGAAATGTTCAATGGAAGCACGAGACATAATTTTTGTTAACGATTACAGATGTTAGAAGTTGGTCCATTTTTAGAGTAGAATAACTATATGATTTGTTCTTGGCCTATGGCCTTAACATTACTGGTAGAAAGTTGTTGATCGAGAATAAAAAGAAAAGAACAGGGCAGACATCTTAACACAAAAATCTAATCCAAAATCAAAATCGATGCAACGAGGACAGAACACTTTACCTAACCACCCTGTCGTATTGTACTATTTTGATAAATGGTGTTTATATCAGTCTTTCCATCTATTATGGTTATTGTCTCCTGATTCCTGCACCCGCCATCAAACATCAGTTCAGGTAGGTAATTGGAACAACTATACAGGTAATCGAAAACAATGCACCCATCAGGCATACTAACGAACATTGAACATATTGCTTGATTAATAGAATATTTTCAATAAGGTCGTTGTGGCAATTCTCTCGAATCTTAGTGTTACTGTGTTTCAGATTTGTACGTTCAAGCAATAGCCATTGACAATGCCGTTGGTAACATGTTTGTTTATTCACCTGGAAACACTGGGAAAATCTACCGGGTTGTAATGGAACAGGAACCAACTCTAGACCAGAGTGACATCATTCATACAGACGAAAGTGAAGTCTTCCACATGGATGTTGATCCCACGACCAGGTAACACTACAGTAGTCTCGTTATACGGCAACTCATGTTCGCTTCAACAGAATATTATTAAACCAATATATCCTCAGATAAACGATGTTTACAAAGTATACATTTCATTGGGTATAGTTGATTTTTTTTCGTTTCCAGAACATTATTTTGGGGATCGTCAACAGGTATATGGCAATCGAATTATGACGGAACAGACAAAAAACAAATTTTGTCCATGTCTGGGGGCAACGCTGGACTTTCGGTTGATGGTAAGGAATTTATACTATAAAACACAAGTGACAATCACCCAACTTTGTATCCTAAACTAAAGATATATGGTATATGTAATCATTGATTTCTATCACGATATCGATTTTCTTGTTTTCAGTAATACAAACCGTTTTTGTTTTGTTTGTTCTGTTTATGCTTCTTGAAATAAGTTTAACACAACAGATAATAAGGTTTAGATATTTACAGACAGTTGTGTGTGTTTTGTTATATGAATGCTCTATAAATGATACCAATGTCTATAATCCTGTGTGTATGAAACGTTTTGACAATAGAAGTATTGATATTATAGCCAAAATGTATTTGTTTCGTTCCATAAGACAAAAAGATACTCAGCAAAGAACTCATACTCATGGAACTGTATACTGAGCAGAGGAGACGCTCAATGCAACCTGTTCATTTCAAACACTATTCCATTGTATCGGATTAAAATAATTCTTTTCAGATGGTAGCGTTTATGGAATAATGAATAACAAGATCTACAAGATCGATCGATCACTGAACCAGTCATTCAGCGAGATTTTTGACATTGGGAACACAAGTACTAGAACCAAAAGTCTAGTCTCAGTTGGGGATAGCTTGTACTTCAGTAGGGCGGTGTGCACCTACAGCCCGACTACTTTGTGTCAGGGGTAAGTGGAACGTGATCAGAATATTATCATTTTAAACCAGTACCTTTTTTATGGAGACAAATGTGAGTGTCACTACATCAAAATTGTTGTGTTTATTAGCATACATTGTCTGTGATCAAAATAAACACAGAGACATAGATTCCGCATATGGATATGTGATGCAAGTACCATGAATATATTAGTAAAATGAAGTTTCCTTGTTGTTACCTCAACTTGTAAATGGATACATAATTATGCTAACATATATGAATAGTACAGTAAAGTATTGATATGAACAGATGAAATTAAATGGATATCAAATAACAGATACAGCAATCCTATAAGACAGAAAATATTATCAAAAAGGAAAACACTGTCGCCATAATTCTTTCATCATTTCAATGTCTGCTTTGTTATCTTTCACTCATGTCACTGTTTTGTATATATACAGCTCTATAGTTACTGTACGGAAAGATGGGTCAGGATTCGCACGTGTTAGTCCTGAATTGTTTTCAGAAAACCACGTATATCCATTGACACTTGTATATGTATCAACATCTCGTGTCGAAGTGACAACAACATCGAGGACACCAACAGAGACAACAACGAGAGGTATGGGTTATAATGAATTACATTTTCATGCACTGTCTAAAATTGTGTACATCATATGATCTTTACTAATGGGTTATAATGAATTACATTTTCATGCACTGTCTAAAATTGTGTACATAAGATGATCTTTACTAATCCTCATCAAATTTAGCATTTGCTTCTTTATTTGGCTGTACAGTATCTTTTCATCTGACTCTAAATTTGTAGAAAGATTTGTCTTTTGTACAATTTCCAAAGCCAAAAGCATGTCGCATTATCTATGAAAATAAAAACGCAACAGGTATACTTCCGCTCCCCAACACAAATCAAATTATTATTACTTTAAAAATCTTCATTTTATGTATCTATGTAGCAGACGGAGCTACACAGGTACAGGATAAGTAAACTCATTTCACGACTGTACTGCAACAACCATTTTGAATAACAATAATAATACTTCCTGGTATGACCAAACAACAACACCAGTACACAAATCCACCAATAATATGAACTGTTACTTAAATATTTGTACTTTCAGAAATACCAACAAGTACTACACAAGTATATCTCTCACTTGATTAAAATCATTATTAAGCAGAATATCTGTGCTTTCAATGTTGGACAAATACATTTTGCCTTATCATGTTACATGACGTTTGGTGATGTTCGTTTCCTGATGAATAACCGTTGGACTGTTATTATCATCGTACCTAGAAAAGAGAGAGAAAGAATGAACTTTACTCACTATTTCCTTTTGCATGCAGGCGTAGACGGATCTTTCCTGCTCGCTGGAGCTGCCGAAAATACCGTATTTCGATTGGAGAACAATACTTTCTCGAAGATAAATATATCGAATGATGTGTCTACCATGGCGTTCGATCCTATATCCAGGAGGATATACTACGGATCGTGGAACAGTATTCACATGTACAGCATGAAGCTGGATGGCTCTGACGTCCGAATAGAAGCAACAATAGGTATGGAACCTAAAACTATTGTTCGTTGATATATATGTATAGACTAATTTAAAAACAAAACCTTAGAGTGATTAAGTTATGGTAAATGAATTACATATTGTTAAGAACATTTAAATTATACTTTGAGTATTTATCGAGATGATGAAATTTCCCAAACAGTTTCTACGTTCTGTAACAGTTTTATCTGCTTAGTGATGTAACATATACTTCCTGAGATGGAAAATATATTGGTAAGTGACAGATGTTGTGTGTGCTATGTGTAGTTTGTCAAATACTAACATCATTTCGTAACTCAGCGATAATATACTTAGAAGTTCTACTGACTAATATAACACGGTGGTAACTGGTTGAAATTGGAAGACACTTCAAGTATGAATGTATAAACAAATCCAAACTCAAGTTCAAGGAAACTAGGGTAAAACATGTTAAAAAAGAATGTACACTCAAACTTGTGAAAAGCGTAGAAGGAAAATAAGACAAGGTGTACAGAAGGAGTTAGCGTCTTCTGCTTCATGGACGACACGCGCCATGTAAATATTGGTCAATCCTAGTAGGTAGTGTCACGTTCTTAAATGAGAACAAGGTATCCAAAATTGGAACTAACACTTAAACTATCTTCCCGATGGTTTGTCAGTCACTTGATCAATTCGTACAAGGAAATCGTGATAAATGAGACAGGCCTGTTAATATCGAATCAACTACGACATATAAACACCACAGGATGGGGATGCAGAATTGTTGTCATCCAGAAATGGAAAATTCATCAATGGGAAATAAAAATTATTACATTAATCACACGGCATAAAACACGTATGTTACATATGGAAATGTTCAATGGAAGCACGAGACATAATTTTTGTTAACGATTACAGATGTTAGAAGTTGGTCCATTTTTAGAGTAGAATAACTATATGATTTGTTCTTGGCCTATGGCCTTAACATTACTGGTAGAAAGTTGTTGATCGAGAATAAAAAGAAAAGAACAGGGCAGACATCTTAACCACCCTGTCGTATTGTACTATTTTGATAAATGGTGTTTATATCAGTCTTTCCATCTATTATGGTTATTGTCTCCTGATTCCTGCACCCGCCATCAAACATCAGTTCAGGTAGGTAATTGGAACAACTATACAGGTAATCGAAAACAATGCACCCATCAGGCATACTAACGAACATTGAACATATTGCTTGATTAATAGAATATTTTCAATAAGGTCGTTGTGGCAATTCTCTCGAATCTTAGTGTTACTGTGTTTCAGATTTGTACGTTCAAGCAATAGCCATTGACAATGCCGTTGGTAACATGTTTGTTTATTCACCTGGAAACACTGGGAAAATCTACCGGGTTGTAATGGAACAGGAACCAACTCTAGACCAGAGTGACATCATTCATACAGACGAAAGTGAAGTCTTCCACATGGATGTTGATCCCACGACCAGGTAACACTACAGTAGTCTCGTTATACGGCAACTCATGTTCGCTTCAACAGGATATTATTAAACTAATATATCCTCAGATAAACGATGTTTACAAAGTATACATTTCATTGGGTATAGTTGATTTTTTTTTCGTTTCCAGAACATTATTTTGGGGATCGTCAACAGGTATATGGCAATCGAATTATGACGGAACAGACAAAAAACAAATTTTGTCCATGTCTGGGGGCAACGCTGGACTTTCGGTTGATGGTAAGGAATTTATACTATAAAACACAAGTGACAATCACCTTACTTTGTATCCTAAACTAAAGATATATGGTATATGTAATCATTGATTTCTATCACGATATCGATTTTCTTGTTTTCAGTAATACAAACCGTTTTTGTTTTGTTTGTTCTGTGTATGCTTCTTGAAATAAGTTTAACACAACAGATAATAAGGTTTAGATATTTACAGACAGTGGTGTGTGTTTTGTTATATGAATGCTCTATAAATGATACCAATGTCTATAATCCTGTGTGTATGAAACGTTTTGACAATAGAAGTATTGATATTATAGCCAAAATGTATTTGTTTCGTTCCATAAGACAAAAAGATACTCAGCAAAGAACTCATACTCATGGAACTGTATACTGAGCAGAGGAGACGCTCAATGCAACTTGTTCATTTCAAGCACAACTATTCCATTGTATCGGATTAAAATCATCTTTTTCAGATGGTAGCGTTTATGGAATAATGAATAACAAGATCTACAAGATCGATCGATCACTGAACCAGTCATTCAGCGAGATTTTTGACATTGGGAACACAAGTACTAGAACCAAGAGTCTAGTCTCAGTTGGGGATAGCTTGTACTTCAGTAGGGCGGTGTGCACCTACAGCCCGACTACTTTGTGTCAGAGGTAAGTGGAACGTGATCAGAATATTATCATTTTAAACCAGTACCTTTTTATGGAGACAAATGTGAGTGTCACTACATCAAAATTGTTGTGTTTATTAGCATACATTGTCTGTGATCAAAATAAACACAGAGACATAGATTCCGCATATGGATATGTAATGCAAGTACCATGAATATATTAGTAAAATGAAGTTTCCTTGTTGTTACCTCAACTTGTAAATGGATACATAATTATGCTAACATATATGAATAGTACAGTAAATATTGATATGAACAGATGAAATTAAATGGATATCAAATAACAGATATAGCAATCCTATAAGACAGAAAATATTATCAAAAAGGAAAACACTGTCGCCATAATTCTTTCATCATTTCAATGTCTGCTTTGTTATCTTTCACTCATGTCACTGTTTTGTATATATACAGCTCTATAGTTACTGTACGGAAAGATGGGTCAGGATTCGCACGTGTTAGTCCTGAATTGTTTTCAGAAAACCACGTATATCCATTGACACTTGTATATGTATCAACACCTCGTGTCGAAGTGACAACAACATCGAGGACACCAACAGAGACAACAACGAGAGGTATGGGTTATAATGAATTACATTTTCATGCACTGTCTAAAATTGTGTACATCATATGATCTTTATTAATGGGTTATCATGAAATACATTTTCATGCACTGTCTAAAATTGTGTACATAAGATGAACTTTACTAATCCACATCAAATTTAGCATTTGCTTCTTTATTTGGCTGTACAGTATCTTTTCATCTGACTCTAAATTTGTAGAAAGATATGTCTTTTGTAAAATTTCCTAAGCCAAAAGCATGTCACATTATCTATGAAAATAAAAACGCAACAGGTATACTTCCGCTCCCCAACACAAATCAAATTATTATTACTTTAAAAATCTTCATTTTATGTATCTATGTAGCAGACGGAGCTACACAGGTACAGGATAAGTAAACTCATTTCACGACTGTACTGCAACAACCATTTTGAATAACAATAATAATACTTCCTGGTATGACCAAACAACAACACCAGTACACAAATCCACCAATAATATGAACTGTTACTTAAATATTTGTACTTTCAGAAATACCAACAAGTACTACACAAGTATATCTCTCACTTGATTAAAATCATTATTAAGCAGAATATCTGTGCTTTCAATGTTGGACAAATACATTTTGCCTTATCATGTTACATGACTTTTGGTGATGTTCGTTTCCTGATGAATAACCGTTGGACTGTTATTATCATCGTACCTAGAAAAGAGAGAGAAAGAATGAACTTTACTCACTATTTCCTTTTGCATGCAGGCGTAGACGGATCTTTCCTGCTCGCTGGAGCTGCCGAAAATACCGTATTTCGATTGGAGAACAATACTTTCTCGAAGATAAATATATCGAATGATGTGTCTACCATGGCGTTCGATCCTATATCCAGGAGGATATACTACGGATCGTGGAACAGTATTCACATGTACAGCATGAAGCTGGATGGCTCTGACGTCCGAATAGAAGCAACAATAGGTATGGAACCTAAAACTATTGTTCGTTGATATATATGTACAGACTAATTTAAAAACAAAACCTTAGAGTGATTAAGTTATGGTAAATGAATTACATATTGTTAAGAACATTTAAATTATACTTTGAGTATTTATCGAGATGATGAAATTTCCCAAACAGTTTCTACGTTCTGTAACAGTTTTATCTGCTTAGTGATGTATCATATACTACCTGTGATCGAAAATACTTATATCTAAAGCAAAACCAATGTTATTGGTAAGTGTCAGGTGTTGTGCTTTGCTAGTATGTCAGATACTAACATCATTTCGTAACTCAGTGACAATATACTTAACAGTTCTACTGACCAATATAACATTTTGTGAACTGGTTGAAAGTGGAAGACACTTCAAGTATGAATGTATGAACAAAACAACGAGAAAGTACCAATATGTCAACATAATCATAATCCGAACTCAAGTTCAATGAAACTAGGGTAAAACATGTTAAAAAAGGATGTACAGTCAAACTCCTGAAAAAAGTAGAAGGAAAATAAGACAAGGTGTACAGAAGGAGTTAGCGTCTTCTGCTTCATGGACGACACGCGCCACGTAAATATTGGTCAATCCTTGTAGGTAATGTTACGTTCTTAAATGAGAACAAGATATCCAAAACTGGAACCAACACCTAAACTATCTTCCCAATGGTTTGTCAGTCATTTGCCAATTCTTACATGGACATCGTGATAAATGAGACAGGCCCGTTAATATCGAATCAACTACGACATGTAAACACCATGGGAATTGTTGTCATCCAGAAATGGAAAATTCATCAATGGGAAATAAAAATTATTACATTAATCACACGGCATTTAACACGTATGTTCCATATAGAAATGTTCAATGGAAGCACGCGACATAATTTTTGTTAACGATTAACTGATGTTAGAGGTGGGTCCATTTTTAGAGTAGAATAACTATATGATACTTCATATCGCATGTGAAATATAATATTTTCAATAAAGTCGGGGTGGCGATTCTCTCGAATCTTAGTGTTACCGTGTTTCAGATTTGTACGTTCAAGCAATAGCCATTGACAATGCTGTTGGTAACATGTTTGTTTATTCACCTGGAAACACTGGGAAAATCTACCGGGTTGTAATGGGACAGGAACCAACTTTAGACCAGAGTGACATAATTCATACAGACGAAAGTGAAGTCTTCCACATGGATGTTGATCCCACGACCAGGTATTTCTGCAACAAGAAAACGATTAATCTGTGAATAATTGATTGATATATATATATCATCATATCAACTATTTGCACAATGAACTATATATTTCATACGCCATTCATAAAAATATTATAAACTTTTGTTTCCAGAACAATATTTTGGGGATCGATAACCGGTGTATGGCAATCCAATTATGATGGAACAAATAAGCAAATGTTGTCTATGTCTTGGTATAACAATGGACTGACCGTTGCCGGTACGTAACGTAGAGTAGAAAGAACAATGGACGGTCTGTAAACCTTTTAATCATAAAGTGAGAAGAATTGTGATTAATTTCTATTACGAGGTGCTTACAGTTTTCTTATGAATTAACACCTACACTTTATATATACAAGTAATTAAAAAATCACAATGAATTATACACAATAAGATTAACTTGTTTGATGTGTGTTTAATCTTTTTTTTTAAAAAAATTATGACAACTTAAGATAACGTAAAATAAAAATATTGCCTTTATATAATCTTGATACAGGTTTTTTGCGTCCGTCCTACAAGATATATACATCCTTACCTAAAAACCCATATTTATAGAATAGTACAAGAGATTGCAAGGCTAATTCAATAAAAGAGAAGAAATCATTTCTTTATCCTCAGAGGAAAAAGAAAAAACCAACATATCAATAATAATATTCCAAATTCAAATTAAATAAGACTAGAACAACTTATGAGCTAAAGAAGATTATCGGAGACTCCTGCAAAAGTACAGGGATAATACGACTAGGCGTTCCGAAAGATTAAGCGTCTTCAGCTTGATCGAAGACATTCTGTTATTACAACCATATTATTTTCCAGATGGCAAAATTTATGGAATAATGAATAACAAGATCGTGAAAATCGATCGATCACTGAACCAGTCATCCACCGAGATTTTAGATATTGGAGATTCCAGCATCAGTATCAAGAGTCTGGTCTCGGTCGGGGATAGTTTGTTCTTCAGTAGTGCCGTGTGTGTCTACAACCCGACTAGTCTGTGTCAGAGGTAGGTGTAATTGATCAGAACACTATAAGGTGTCAGAGGTAGGCGTGACATGATTAGAACACTACCATTGTAACTAAAATCTTTGTATGAGTGTGTTTCAACAACATTTTTTAGACAAGAATTTACATAATCTTACCACATTTATAGAAATAATCCATTCTTCATTCATTTAGAAAACATTGTAACTAGCTGGACACAGATTCTCCATGTGGATATATGATATAAATACCATGAATATATTAGCAAAATCATTTTTCTTCATTGTTATCTGGTGTTGGTATCGGTACAACATTACTAAAATATTGATATATTCCGATATATTTACAATTATATTTGCTTGTTATTTAATGATCTAATTTGTGTAGCTTATCGAGAGAAAACTACAATTGAACTCGTGTAATTGCAGTTATCCCCGATAACCTGAACAAAGTAAAAATATAATCTCTTCATTGACATACTGTTTTTACATCGATTTAATGGTTACATACACAAAAATAACAGACAACATTCACTTTGCCAGCCTATTGTTTCAGTCTTTCTGATACCACGATGTTAATGGATTACATCTTCCTGATATTTCGCTACTAGTTGTTTATTAATTTGCTTAAAAATCCAACGTTTATTCCATTGTGATTCCGTAAAAGAGAACGTTTGACAAAGACGGACATAAAGCCTATATTTCAAACAGACTTTATTTCGCAGATGCAATTTGAAACGTGTGAAATTCAAATCCAGAGAGTGTTACATGGGAGTTTTTATTCATAACATCATATCGCGTGAGAGA